GGTGAGAGTTTTAGAAGGGGAAAAAAATGACATTAAGGGTCTTTTTGTAATTTAAAAAATAATAATTTTAAAATGTTAAGTTAACATTAAATAGTAAGGTCAATTTTGTAATTTTAAAACTCGATTAACGGGCCGGACATGAATATTGGGGCAATGTGATCATTTTTTTAAATATAGAGGATTTTTTGAAATAGGTTAGGAATTTATGATCAAAATTTGAAAATAATTGATGTTTTTTTAAAATTAGCCCTTTAAAAAAGGGTCAAGTGAGGAAAACACCCCTAAAGTATGCTTACAGTGCATATCACACCCCTCGAGTGCACAAAACACCCTAAAGTTTTAATTTGGTGCAAATAGATCCCTCTAACAAATCTAAACCCTAAGTTGACTAAATTACCCTTACTATTTATAAAATATATAAAAATAAATAATTTTGTAAAATGACCGAAAATGACACTACTGGAGAACGCCCCTCACGTGTAAAAAACACTTCTAAAGTTTCAATTTGGTGCAAATAGGTCCCCTTGACAAATTTAAACCATAAGTTAACTAAATTACCATTATTGAACCATTTTATAAAATATATAAAAAAATTTATTTTGTAAAATGACCGAAAATGATCCTATTGGAGGACACCGACAATGGACAAATAAATACAAAAATAGAAAATAAAAGTATAAAAGAAAAGTAAAGAAAAAAACAGAAAGAAAAAAAATAAAATAAAAAATAAAGTGCAAACTAAATAAAACAAATATGCTCCAAACTCCAAAAATCAGTGCACACTGATATTTGGATTTTTTTTCATTTTTTTTAATAGTGTTAGTACGAAAAAAATAAAGAAAAAAAAAATTAGCAAAAAATATTAAACTAAAATCTCAAAGAATTCAAATCCTTGTTCTACAAATTCTTAAAGTTAAAATTAAAAAAAAATATATATATATATATATATATATATATTTTAGAGATATATATAGAGAAAAAAAAATAATAATAATAATGTGCACACAACATCCCTATACTATGAGATTAGTATCATGTATACCCCCTTGAACATTTTAGGAAGAGTAAAATGATAAAATGGGTATTATAACACTAATTTATGTCAGATTTCTGATTGAGGAGTATTTTTTGCACAATGTGAAAAAATTAGAGATGTTTTTTTCACACTTTTTCAAATAGGGAATAAAAGTGTTACACAAATATACTTTAATGGTGTTTTCTGGACTTGTCCCTCTAAAAGTGATGGGTAATACTTGGATACAAAAAGTGCAGTGTTAGAGCCTTCCTTTAAAGGCCCAATATCACAGCTCACTTAATTTGAGTACCGAAAATAGACAATTCTTAATAAAAGTTGGACTTTTGCCATGATATTCTTTAGCAAAAAAACATAATTTTGTTCTTAATTAAAATTTGCTATTTTGAGACAAATGAAAGTTCCTCCGATTTTTCACAGCAGAAAAGCAAATAAGTATTACAACGTTAATTTGTGTCAAATTTTTTATTGAGGAGTATTTCTGCACAATGCCAAAAAATTAGGAATATTTTTTTCACACTTTTTCAAATATGAAATAAAAGTATTATACAAAATATACTTTAAGAGTGTTTTCTACACTTATCCCTTTTAAGATGTGTAATACTTGTATACAAAAAGTGCAGTGCCAGAGGCTTCCTTTAAAGGCCCAATATCCCATCTCATTGAATTTGAGTACCGAAAAGAGGCAATTCTTAATAAAAGTTAGACTTTCACCATGATATTCTTTAGCAAAAAAAAAAAACATAATTTTGTTCTTAATTAAAATTTGCTATTTTGAGACAAATGAAAGTCCCTCCGATTTTTCACAGCAGAAAAGCAACCAGTGTGGCACGAAAATTTCTCAAAAATTATATATGAATTTATGAGGCAACGTTAATTAGAGAAAAATGGTAAAGGAAAAGAAAACAAAATAATGGATGGTCAGAGAGTTCTTTATAAATAGAGTATTTTAAAACTTTGAAGCAACTCTAACGAAATTATAATTATAATAATAATAATCATTTGATGTGTAAGTGTGTAATGCATCTAAAATTCAGATTTGGGAACCTCTCCGAGGTTCTGACCTTTAAAAAGATCTTGAGAATCTAAATTTTAATAAAGGAGTTAATGGGAAGAAAAGAAAAAAAAATACATTTTAAATATATGGCATGACATTTAAAATGGCAATTGGGTGGCATTTTTTTTTAGGTCAAATAAGCTTTAACCTCCCCCCGCTATTTAAAGTATCTACCAAATGGGTAATAACCTAGTGTTGCAAGGGTGTTCCACGTGTTATTCGATTGAAAAAGTAATTAGGTATAAATGGGTAGATATGAAACACTATTCAATAACTTGAACTTGTGGATAAATGAATAATCCTCCATCCGTTACAATTGGTATCAGAACCAAACCAAATCCTTGATCCGGTGTCACGTCAAGCATCCGGTCTGAAAGGAGTCCGGGTGAGCCACATCGGGTAGGCAAGGTGGCTAGACCGCAATGAGGGCGTTGATGGGAAAGAATATTACAAGGGAATATTTGTCCTACATCAGATTTGGATTGGATATAAATGGATAGGTATGCAGCATTACCCAATAACTTACACTTTTGAGTAAATGAACAAGCAACTACTTGTTACACCCAGTTAGCACAAACTTAGCTCCCCAAGAAGAGATCAAGATTCAAGCCATCCCGAATATCAATTATTTGATTGAAATTGCTACTTTAAATAGATTAGCAAAATGAAATTCATTAAACCACCACAACTAATTAAACAATGGTTAAGTGCAAAAAACCCCGCTCTACTATCGATATAGTGCATATCAATCCCTGTGTGGTAAAAAAAACCCCTATACTATCAATTTGGTGCGATTGGGTCCTTAGTGGTGTAAAATGACGATAATACCCTCACTTCAGTTGAATAAATTAATGATTATAAATACAAGCATGTAAAATGACCCTTTTGTCCAAATTTGTATAAAATGGGATTTGTTTGGAAGAAGGATAATATAAACCTCAAATGGTATAAAATTGAAATAACCTAAACCCGAATATAATTAAATTTAAAACCAAACATGTCCTTTCATATTTTAAAATTTAAATAAATTTGTCATTTATATACATATATATATATATACACACACGTGCACATACCATATATCATTAGGGCAAATCATTTCAGCCTCCGCCTCCATAGCTATTCTCGTTCTCAACTCTGAACTTGCACCCCCCCTCCCCCCCCCGGCTGTCTCTCTCTCTTTGCAGAATCAGAAGTTCAAAACCCATATATTTTAGTTTATCTATCTGCTGCAAGAATCAAAAGTTCAAAACCCATATCGGCATATCATTTCAGATTGTTCAAAAAATCAAAACCCATTGCCCGCTGTTCCAGTTCGGGTTCGCCGTCGCAAGCTTCAGCCGTTGTTCCAGTTCGGATTCATTATTTTATTTTATTTTTTTATTTTTTTTTTTTGTCGTCGTCTAAATCAATGATTAATGGCCATTGTAACTTGGGGATGGGTTGGAATATTAACATATAATCATCATATATCATATGAGAAAGAGACAGATGGGATTCAACCAAAAAAGAAAAAAAAGGCAGATGGGTGGTGTCACAGTTACGCATATATGAGTAGAGGGATAATTGTTTTTGGATCCATAACTGACCTCTTCTTCTCTCTCCCTTTCTCTCTCTAGACGATTGCACAACAGAGACTCCATAATAAAAATTCACGGGTGTTGCTATTTGACTCGGATCCTTGCCGTTTATATGCGTGAGGTGAGGCAAAAGAGGCTGAAGGCGACGTGTCAGTTTGGTGCGGCGGAGGCAGTTTGGTGGAGGGCGCTATTTCTCTCTCTAGTTGTTGGGTGGTTCTTTGGGGTTGTATGTATATATGCGTGTATGTACATTCTGTATATACACGTTTGCCTTTTTAATCAAAATTGGTGCTAATATTGTTTTGCTTATATAATAAGTTAATAAATAGATATAAGATAAATATTATATTTCTGTTACAAAATAAATAAATATTACATCTCTCTAGTTGTTGGGTTCTTTGGGTTTATATATATATATATATATATATATATATATATATATATATATTCTATATTTGCATGTTTGCCATTTTTAATCAAAATTGGTGCTAATATTGTTTTGCTATAATATATAATAATTTAATAAGTATAAGATAAATATTATATTTTTGTTAAAAAATAAATAAATATTACTCCATACATCCATACAAATTCTAAAGGTGAATCAAACAGAATTAGAATTCTAATATAATTAAAAATAATAAATTGAACTAGAATTGTAATTTAATTCCATAACCAAACATACCCACAGTCTTTTTTCTTTTTTTTTTTTTCCCCCTTTTTTTCATTAATAGGCAAAAGTTGCCTATTAATGAAAAAAAGGGGGAAAAAAAAAAAAACAAGAAAATGGTATATTTTACTAGTGATGATAACGTGAAATTTAATTTATTTCTTTTTGTTAATGTTTTTTTTTTTTTTTTTTTGTTAATATTTTTTCTATATCTATATCAAAATATTGGCTGCTGAACACAGTATGGGGGCCTTTTATGCACTGGTGATGGGCAAAATGGGAAACAAAAGGATAAAATGGGGTTTTAAGTTTTACTTTTTGTAAAAAGTTGTCAGAGGGACCGGTTATGCACCTTTTTTGAATTTTGAGGACTTACATGCACTTTTTCAAAAGATATGGACTTATTCTGCACAAAGTCTATGAAGGGTTTTTTTGAACTTAACCCATTAAACAAAAGCTTTGTTGACGACTTTTTTGAAAATGAACAACATTTTTTAATTTTTTTTTTTTTTTTAAGCAAAGCAATAATCGGGGACTCACTTAGGCGGCTTTTTAACATTGCGCGCAATGAAGTTAACGTCACACACGTGTTGAAGTTTATGTTGAAATTGATTCAGCGTGTTTTAATCATCCTTATTCGAAAAATAAAAAATAATAATAAAAAATTCTAAATAATAACAATAACAATAATAATACTAATAATAAATACAGAGAATCTAAACTCCTCAAGTAAAAGAGCCCTTGGCGGTTGTTTGGTTCTGAAAACAAGGATTTACAAAAACTCCAACTTTACGAAACAAGAACCGACCTTGAAGAACTTGCAACTCCCATGTCGTTGAACAGCTTCAAAGAGACCCTCAAGTCCTGCACAAACCTATCATCATCCTCCTCCTCCTCGACGCCCATCTCATCTTATTCACAACCTTCAATTTCCCATCAATTTGACCTCGCAACAATCCCCAGAAAACCCCCTAAATCTTCTCTCTCTCAGCAGCTTCTGCGCCTCCAAGACCCATTATCTTTGCCTCAACCCCAATCACAAAGTCAGCCAAAACAGACCCAATTTGACGACGAAGGTGATGATGAAGACGAAGAAGATGGAAAACACAGTGGGTTCGGGAGGCCCAAATTGGATTCTTTCCAATTTGAACATACAGGTCCCTTTGAACCATTGGTTCTGTCCTTGCCCGGTGAAATGCCAGTGGTTCAGGTGATTTCTTTCTTACCCATTTTGTACCATTGATTCTTATGTCCATTTGGTTATTCTATATTAATTACAATTTGTGGGATTGAATTGTGATTCAGTGTATTTTTTTCTTCGACCTAGACGTTATGGGATTATAATTTGTTCCTTATAATTCCGCGACTGATAATTTTGTCCAAGTTGTTTATATCGTATCAGATTACATTTTTTAATTGGTGATTTATTTTTTTCTTCGACTTTGTTTGATGCCGTTATTTGAGACAATAAATGACCGAGTGATACATAGTTTGCTCAAAACAATGACTAGATTCAGTGTGTCCTTGTTGTTTCCTGCTTATGCTTCCATTATCGCAACTACTATTATCTACTTTGATTCAACCCTTGTGGTAAAGCCTGATCCATCTAAGAATAGGGACATAAATGATTTCTAATATAATGATCCATCACAGCGGGGCAAATGTGGTACTTGAGATGTTCACGATGAATGTGCACATGTGAGTTTGTTGATATTATCCGTTGCTGAATCAACATCAATTTATTCTCATTAATTGGTCTTCTTTTACTGTCTAGCTTCTCATTTTATCATATTTTCCCATAATTTTCTTTTACAGGTAAAAGTAGCCAAGCATAGCCAGTAATTAATGTACAACAATGCATAGCAAGTTAATATTACTTTCATTACCTTTAATTGTATAGCAATGGTGATAGAATATCTATCTTCTTCGCACAGCAGGGCAGCACTGGAATGTGGTTTCTTTTAGTGGGACGATTAGTGACCACACTCCATATTGGACCGGACTTGTTATTTTTTATAAGAATGGATTTGTACCTCTAAGAGCTATCAAAGCACAAATGGGTGTTTCTTTTTGTTTCTATTAATGTTCAATATGACATTAGTTCTTTTATGATATCAATATTTATTAGTGAGTTACAAGTTTTTTACAACCTGTGGCATAAAAAGTTGCGTGAGGAACTTAAAGGACTTCTCAACAAATTTGTTGACAATAAAATAATCTTCTTGCCGTAGGTTCCTGCCTCCATAAACTGTAGGCTTCTGGAACATCAAAGAGCAGGAGTGAAATTTCTGTACAACTTGCATAAGAACAACCATGGAGGCATCCTTGGAGATGACATGTGAGTTATTGTTATTTTTAGTTTTCTATTAATTCTGTTTATTTGTAGTTTAAACATTCGTTGTGGTTGTTTTGGGTTTTGATCCATTCCAGCGTGATAAGTGGTATGACTAATAACTAATAGTGGCTGTTTATGGTTTCCAGTCAAATATATGAAGCGTTGTGCTATAAACTAATGACTTAATAAAGTATTTTTCTTGTTTTTATATAAAATGCAAAATGATTTTATTATTTGATCAATTAAGAAATTTATGATCTTTCTGTGGCATTGAGTTTGATCCTGCGCTAAGCATATTGTTTCTAAATAGTATATGAGAGGTTGAGCTGCTATTTGTTTGTTCTTGGGCAAGTTTTTTTTTTCCTTAGTTGGCACTCACACACCCATGCCTCCACTCAGACTTGAACCCCTGACCTTCCTTTGAGAAGTAGGGGCTTGGTACCGTTGGGCCACTGGCAAGTTGAGATTCAACTTGTGGCTTTCTTAAACAGGACTTCAACAAGTTACACTATGGGCTCTCAAGTCCTCTATTTTCATATTTCAGGTTGTATTTTTGTTAACATGGTTGTCTTATAACTTAAGCAGTTTGCATTAGATACCTGAGTTAGTAGACATCATCTTTCCATTTTGTGTTTATATTTACTATATGAGAGAAATCATCAAATTGCAGACATTATTGGATATGCAGATTGAAGGAAATACTAGTTATATTTACCGGGAAAAAAATTCTAGTTATAATAAATTATAGGTTGATGGATGACTATCATGTTACTCTATATATAAGGAACAATTAATAAGAAACAATTTGCTTTAGAATTGGATTGCCTGACAAAATCTGGCAAATAGCTGTCCATATGCACCCACAATGATTCTTTTTTTCTTTTTCTTTTTCTTCTTATTTTTTCTCTTCTTTTATTTATTTTTTTATTTTTTTATGCTGTCTAATTTAAACATTCTTTGCCTACATTGAAAATTCTTTAGGTGTCATGTAGTTGGTAAGAAATAATGTTGGTCCTATCGAATCTTACTTTCCCAAAAATTTTCTTTTTTTGCTATTTAAATTCTGTAAAGGTTGAAAGATTTTCCATTTCCTGCACTTCCCATAACAATTCGTCTAACCAAGCAATGCCTCATATTAATAAGAAATATACGACTTGATTTCTTATTTTGTTCAATGCAATTACATCAGTTTTAAGAACTACATAAAGAAATATCTCACTTAAATGGTCGTATATAAAATTGTTCATACTTAGGGTAATAATAATGTTACTGTTATCTTGTTAAAATTAATATTTTCATGAATGTCAATCTGTGTATCATTGTGTTGTCCCACATTGGATCTCGATAGGAAAGTGATTGAGCATAAATGGGTGGTGTGTTAGCACTACCTAATATTAGCACCACCTAATAGCTTAAGCTTTTGGATCGGACCGCGAAGCACCTTGCCCACCCATTACAGTTGGTATCAGAGCTAAACCCAATCCTTGATCCGGTGTCAGGTTTGCCACCCCAGGTAAGCAAGTTGGCCCGACCGCAGTAAGGGCATTGCGAGTTCGGGTGGGGGAGAAATTTAGAGGGGTCTTTTCCCATATCGGATCCGGATGGGAAAGTAATTGGGCATATATGGGTGGATGTTAGCACTACCTGATAGCTTAAGTTTTTGGGTCGGACCGTAAAGTGCCCGGCCCGTTGCACAAGGCTTTAAGAGTTTATTTCTAATTTAATTCCTGTTGTCAATTAGAGTTTGAGTAGTACAACACTGCAATAGACTAGTGTTTATTACTGAAAGACCGTGTGAAGCTTGTCCAGAAACTAAATCACGTTACAGCGAAATCCTTTGTGTGGATCAGATTTATATAAGATTCTCTTCGACCTTCTTCTTGCTTTGAGTGATTAAGTGGAGCTACATAATTTGGTTTTAACATTCTGTTTTCTCGAGAAATTTGAAATCAAGAGCTTATATAGTTCCTGGAAAAATTGTTGAGATGGACACCATTTCCAAGCAACCTTTCAGAAGGAAAAAACTTCCAGGGCAAACTTATTCAACTAAAAAAAGTATTTTCCCAACTATTTGGGGTCACAGCTACATGAATTTTATTTTGCTATTTTGCTCTGTCTAAGGTCAAAGATTTAGCACATTATTATATTTTTGTTACTATCTCAATCCATATTAGTTTTGGACCTTGGTCTTCCCCTGGACCACATCGATGGTTTGTTACTTACTATAGTAATTATCTGCAGAGTAATGTATAGCTGAATTTGAAAACCATTTGAACCTACACCTTCTGCAAAGTTCAGTTGTTATATGTTGAATTTATATGCTTTATCTTGTATGGCATATGGACCAGAATGAGTCCTGTTATAGATGTGATTTCCTATGGGAAGATTCTCTTCACCTCCTTGTTAGTTTTTAGTTAGGTTAGGAAGTGTGGCTTCCTGTGGACAAAAATAAACTGTCAAACATGTTAAGTTTCATTACTCTGACTTTATTTGATTGGTTTGACACTAAGAGAATCGAAATTCCTTCACCATTGACCATCCTCATTCAGTAAAGTATTATATTTGCTACACTCATGCCTTATGACAAAAATTGAAATCCAGATAATGCGTTCTAACAACTTTAATAATTGTCTATGGCCATGATACTTTGGAACATGGTATTTTCTGCTTAACTTTATATACACATAACTATATATACATATATATGGTGCTCTTTTTCATCATGTGCTAATAATCAACTTTTTTCAATTTGGATTAGGGGACTGGGGAAGACAATCCAAACAATAGCTTTCCTGGCTGCTGTGTTTGGAAAAGATGGAGAGTATGGTGATTCCAGAACATCAAAAGGAGAACAGGGCAGGAAGATGGGCCCTGCACTAGTAGTTTGCCCTACTTCTGTCATTCACAACTGGGAAAGCGAATTTTCTAAGTGGTCAACCTTCAGTGTCTCTATTTATCATGGTGCAAACCGAGATCTAATTCTTGAGAAACTAGAAGCATCTGGAGTTGAGATACTTATAACTAGTTTCGACACATATAGGATTCATGGTAGCATTTTGTTAGAGGTTCAGTGGGAGATTGTGATCATCGATGAGGCACATCGGCTTAAGAACGAAAAATCAAAACTTTATAAAGCATGCTTAGAAATTAAAACCCGAAAACGCTTTGGTCTCACAGGAACTATATTGCAGAACAAAATTATGGAACTGTTCAATCTCTTTGACTGGGCTGTGCCTGGATGTTTGGGAACGCGTGAACATTTTCGGGACTATTACGATGAACCCCTCAAGCATGGGCAGAGGTCAACTGCTTCGGAAAGATTTGTCCAGGTCGCTGATGAGCGTAAACAACATCTAGTTGCAGTTCTGCGTAAGTATCTATTAAGAAGGACAAAAGAGGAGACTATCGGGCATCTTATGATGGGGAAGGAAGATAATGTCGTATTTTGTGCCATGAGTGACTTACAGAAGCGTGTTTATAGGAGGATGTTACAACTGCCCGATATCCAATGCCTCATAAATAAAGACCTCCCTTGTAGCTGTGGAAGCCCACTTACACAAGTGGAATGTTGCAAAAGGACTGTTCCTAACGGAATCATCTGGCCTTATCTTCACAGGGATAATCCTGATGGTTGTGAGTCATGCCCCTTCTGCATTGTTCTTCCTTGCCTTGTCAAACTCCAGCAGGTTACTGAACTTTTAAACTCTTTTGTATCAATGCATCTTGATGAATGAGTTTTAATTATGATGCCTCTAGATTTGCAATGAATTCATCACATGTTCTTTAATGTTTATAGTAAATATATTACATAACCCTCTTTAGAAGCCAAAGGCTAAAATTTAAGGTTTTGGCCCTTCACCAATCAAGGAACTATTTCAGCCTAGGAAGAAATGTCTAATGGTGGTTTTGTTTTAGTTATATATACTTCATATTGGAGTGGTACTTGCATCCTATTATTGTGACTCTCTTTTTGCCCTTGCCCTTGCCCTTCCGGGTACCTTTTTTTTTGGTCGTTGTCCCACATTTCTAAATATATAGATACCTACATAGATGTGTACATGTGTGTTGTCTTATGTGTTTTGGGGTTTATGTTTGCAATGAAAGTTTTCTGACAGATAAGCAATCACCTGGAGCTGATTAAGCCCAATCCCAGGGATGACCAAGATAAACAAAGGAAAGATGCAAAATTTGCCTCTGCTATATTTGGTACTGATATAGATTTGGTTGGAGGAAACACTCGGAATGAGAGTTTTATTGGCCTGAGTGATGTTAAACATTGTGGCAAAATGAGAGCATTGGAAAAATTGATGTTCACTTGGGTTACAAAGGGTGACAAAATTCTACTCTTCAGTTATTCTGTGAGGTAACGTTCCACGACATCACTATTTAGGCCCTTCAAGTGCATGCCTTTTCACTTGTATACTTGTTCTGCTGATTAAATTATAGTTAAGTTGTTTTTCACTTTAATCTATTATTTTCACCTATTTAGTAGGAGACACCAAATGAGATAAGAGATAAAAGAAGCTTCATGAATTGATTCTGAAGATAAATAAGTTGATCGCTCTAAATAATTATATTTTACTGTTGATTGTGCGAATAGATGCATATGAATTTTGGTACCTCCATACTTGGGTAAACTGCAAAATGTGATCTATCAGTATACTGATGAAATTTTGCTTTTCATGATCCTTTCAAGTTTGTAAAGGAAAATTGACATGTTGGGCTTTTCTTTGATTCTCGTTTGAGAAATGTAAAATTAAAAATATTGCAAGTCAATTACATGTCTCATATTATAACCCTTTGCTAATCTGTGAGCTATATGTGTATAATGTTATCCTAATGTTTGACATTTGTAAGGTCAAATATATTTAAAAAATATTTGTTAGAGTTTTCGTTTAATGTTAAAGTGATAAATTATTGGTAAAAGATTCATCATGTCTGTACTCAGTTTTTTCTTCACTTAGATCATCGATATCAGAGGCAGATATTCAGGAGAATGTTTCCCACATAATAAGGAAGTTGTGTGCTACACTGGAAACTTGCATCTAACTAGTTATTTACTTATTTGACCATCACATTCAATGTCAACCTGTACAATAACCATAAACTTGCTCTGCTATAAGAAGTAGAATGTTGCACAATTGAGGAGCTCAAGACTCAAGTTGATGGCGAGTGCAAATGAGATGGAGATATTGATATGGAATCAAAGTTTCTTTTTGGGTAGAAAGTGATAGATTGATTTGACCAGGGGAAACTATGAGTATTTCTGGCTAGCAAGATCAAAAATAAAATTATAAAAAGGCCCAGTTAGAATGGTTTGACCAAGTCTAAACCCAGTCTCTCTGAACATTTCTGAAGCTATCTTAATTTTGGTTTGTAGGGCCTTACATGTTACATGTCTGAAGTCTGAATGATACTTATTGTAAAAATTCTTTAGAGAAAATATTTGTAAAAAGAAAAATCATAAGAACTTGTATTTTATCCAATTGACTTCAATTTTCAAACTAAGAAATTGTGAAGCTATACCTTAAAACCCCTAAACTACAAACTCCCAGAAAATGTAATGTTTGAAGTTTGAACAGGATATTGGAGATCAGGTGTTTAGGAGCCTAACGAAATTAAAATCATTGGACTGCCAATGTCGGGGAACTCCTTTACAATTCTGGATGCAAATCTTCAACAAAGTGTGTATGTGTATTTTTTTTTATTTTGTAAGAAAAAATCTTTTCACAGGTCTGTTATTGATTTAAACAATTTTGTGTATATATTTAAGATTGAGATGACTGAACATTTTATAGTATCGGTTGTCATGGAATTTTCTCTTGCTTTCTGTTTTTCTATTTGTTTTCCTTTCTTCTACTATGATCAAGTAAAAGATGAAAGGTAAATTCTATGAAACAATCGTTAAACCAATCATACTTCATTGGACAAAATGCTAAGAACACATTCGCAAAATGATGATGGCCAAAATGCAAATGTTAAGGTAGAGGTATGGCAAGAGCACAAAGGATAAATTAGAAATGTGCATTCATGATGCTGTTGAAGTAGCACCAACTGGAGATAAAATGGAAGAGAATCAATTAAGATGGTTTGATTTTGTCATGTGTAGCAAAGGCCGATAACTGCATTAGTGAGGCAGAGTGATGATTCACATTGAGGATAATGTTAGGAGAAGGGGATGAACAAAACAGATATGGGTTGAGATAGTAAGAGAAAGATATGATAATATGGGGTTTGAGGCTATTTGCTCTGAATAAAGTAGAATGGCTATACTAAATTCATGCAACTGATTTGAAAAGAGGTTTTGTTCAAGTTCTCTCTTTCTTCTGCTGCTGAAGTATTATTACTCTGAGCAGGATGTTGGACATACTAGAAAAGTTTCTTATACGCAAAGGCTACTGCTTCTCAAGACTTGATGGTTCTACTCCTACAGGTATGCGTCAGTCTCTTGTTGACGACTTCAACTCAAGTCCAAGCAAACAGGTGATTCTTTCTTCTTCTTCTTCTTGATACGAAACAGGTCAATTTTACATGAATGATCGAGTTTGAAATATGTCATTCAATTTTCTATTGAAATCTGATTCCTATTACAGGTGTTCCTTATATCAACTCGAGCTGGTGGGCTTGGACTGAATCTTGTCAGTGCAAATCGTGTGGTAATATTTGACCCAAATTGGAATCCTGCTCAAGACTTACAGGCTCAAGACAGGTCATTTCGTTTTGGGCAGAAGCGGCATGTTGTGGTTTTCCGCCTTCTTTCCGCTGGTTCTCTTGAGGAACTTGTGTATTCTCGGCAGGTGTACAAACAACAATTATCAAATATTGCTGTTTCTGGGAAAATCGAAAAACGATATTTTGAAGGTGTCCAGGTAAGGGAACTGATATGTCCCGGTGCTTCTGATGCTTTATCTTCTTACATTAGTATCTGGAAAAAATATCAAATTTCTTCTTGTTCACTCCTTTAGTTTTCTTCCCAGGACTGCAAACAATTTCAAGGGGAGCTTTTTGGAATCTCTAACCTATTTCGGGATCTGTCTGATAAGCTTTTTACAAGTGAGATCATTGAATTACATGAAAAACATGGACAAGAACACGGGCGCATCTGCAGTAAGCAACAGGATTTAACTGAGCTTGGGATGTATCTCGTCCCGTTAAAGGAAGCAAATGAGGCCATATTAACAAGGTCTGAAACCAATAAGCCTAAAGATACAGAGAGGTCTAAGATAACTAAACCAGTGCTCAATGCCCTGGGTGAGTTCATTTTAATGTGTTTCTTTTCTGTTGTCTTCTATGATTCATATAAAGTTATAGGTGGTGTTAGTTCACAGCAAGGAGTATTGGCCAATAGTTTTGGTCCTGGTGCAAATGCATATTTCTTTTACCCAAGCTAGGTAGTATTAAAAGTACAGTAACAATAACTTGATATAACTAGAATCCCCAAGTCAATATTTCTGTTAGTAAAATCCAACCGGAGGTTTTTTATGTGCAGGTATTGTATATGCTCATCGTAACGAAGACGTTGTCAACTGTGGACCTGGAGTCCAAAGAGAGGAAAAAGTTAGCATACACCAGAATGATAGCTTGAGGCAACCAGGTTTCGCTGCTGCGGGCAGAAGAAAATTAGATGCAGCAGGTGGGAAAGAGAATGCTGCTTCTTCCAAATTGCGGAAGAAGAGCCAATATAGCCTCCTTTCTCAGTTCATGGGCATGGAAGAGGTCGAATTTAGCAAGTGGTTACTGTCTGCAACTCCTGCAGAACGAGATAAAGTGCTTCGAGACTATAAGAAAAGAAGGTAAAAGAAACCTGATGGTTGAAGAGCGCGTCCTTGTAAATAAAAGGATTGTTTTACCAAATGTACTGTATTTGTACTGTACATTAATCTACGAATACACTGATCCCTCGGTTTTGTTAGCATTACTTTGTTTAAGTTCGTACTGATTTTAGGCAACTTAAAGCATCTAATTATAGTGCGCGATTATTTGGCCCTACTTTTTGGAGGGTATATGGTCAACATAAAACATCATGTTTTTTTCTTTTGTTTTGTTTTGTTTTATATGCCACCTGATAATGTGATACATATATAATTCAATTTTGTCACGACGCCTTTAACATCAACATCCAAATCACCAGAGGAATACAAATCTGCAAATTGGGACAACGACGTGGTGATCAGATATTTTTCACATTAGCCCAGTGAATCCCCCACAAAGACGAGCAGTTGCCCTGATATGGTTACATGAATAATGGATATATATAGCCTACTTTCTTCTGTTCTTCCATGACATTGATCTCTATCTGGCACCCTCTTTTTTTTTCACATGGTTGGGGCCTGCTCAGAAACTTCTCGAGCTACAATAACAGAGCTTTCTCCCATCATTTTTGAATATTTATAAAGTTTCATCGGCTACCTTCTCTGCATCTTAAATCTGGAAACTGGCTTGGAGGTTCCAGTAGTAGACTACAAAGGCCAAAACCATTACTGGAGTTAAAGTTGGCAAACAAACTATAAGCATCATAGCATTGCTGTATAGTTATTAGAATAAGTAGATAAACCTTAGATGAAGCTTCAGTTTGTTCTCTACGATTCTTTTCAATGTTGTGAGGGTGCTCTATGATGGAACCCGTAAAAGCCTGCAACAAAATGAAAAATGACGGAGGTATGCATTATGATTAACTAAATTCGTTTTACCCTATCAACATAATATAAACAGCTCCAAGGAAACATACCAAACATATGGTACATTATAGGGCATCTGGAACAACTTTAGATATATGCATATATGTAAATGTGTGCATGTACATGATGAACACAAGTGAGAAAACAAATGTTCATTTTATTCATCATAGTAAGATAATGTTTGTCTGTTTTCTCTTATATCCTCAAGTGATTTGGTTGAAGATGACAAAGGACATAGTAGTGGAGCACATTCATCCATGTTGGGTCTTAATGATGAAGATCTGTGCTTTATAGATAAAACTGTCAAAACTCATTTTCAAAACTTCCATTTTAGTCTCTACAGTTTTCACTAGGAAGAAGAAGAAGGAGAGAGAGAGAGAGAGAGTTGCTTCATAACACAATACTACGGGAATTAAAATGAGACATGCTTTTCAACAATCAGCACCAGCCACAGCATAGCAATATCATGCTATCTGACCAAAATATATAAAGAGAGAACTAGGAATTTTAAGCTATTGCAGAGATAAAGTAACTTCTAAGCAATTTTATACAGCACCAGATGCCAACGGCCAGATAAAATATACATTAAGCAGCAAGAATGCCAACGACTCTACAGGAACAAACTAGTAATTACCTCCTTTGTTGAGGTAGGTGCGGCTCGTACATTCTCTTTTAATTCAGGAAGCACCGCAGCCTTCTCTGTGGAATCGGGCTTGTAAAGGGCTAAGCATTCACCTTGTGGAACTTTAAATAAACATTTATAGATTAGATAATGATAGAGGAATTGATCTTAGTGGATGCTATATGCTCGATAATTGATAACAGTGTAATTTTAAATAAACATTCATAGATAATATGATTGGTGGCTTTGCAAAAAAAATGAAAATGTATGGGTTGATAGCAAAAAAGTTCTAAGGAATATTAGTTAAACCAAACTGCCACTATTTCAGGTTGGAAAATCATACATCCTCCGAATTCAGAGGATGCTGAATGGGTGATATGTGAGTGAGGGTCTGGGCCCCCATCACATGACATCATCATGACATCATGTGGTGGGGGCCCACACCCACTCACGTGTTACATTCAGCATCTTCCAAATTTGGAAGATGTATCATTACTCATTCAGCTTTGCTTCATTGGAATGTGGAATTGAAGGAAAAATTAAGAATAACAATACAGTAGTGAGGCTCTGAGAAGGCAAAGTGTAAGTAAATTCTGGCATTGTCTTGAACAAACACCACCACCACCACAAAAAAAATAATAAAAATAAATAAATAAAAGAAGGAAAATTACCTAAAAGTCCTACTTTTCTCTTCTAAAGACCCAAGAATCCTACCAAATTGTAATAAGACTATTAAGTCATACTTCTCAAAATGTCAGTTATACCCTTTATAATTTGTTACCACAATGTCTTCAATTTCACGCAAATTTGATATTCTCTAAAAATAATAATTCTTTTTTTTTTTTTTTGAAAAAAATCTAAATAATTTTCTTATACTTCCAGAAAATAGAGTAATTATTAAAAATTATATATATAATTGACAAAAAGAGTTTGAAGTGCTAAGAAAATATCAAACATGTTCCAATGGTTAAACAAAAAAATTAATTTCAAATGACATATCAATTTCTAGATAAAACCTGTATGTGCACAATTTTATATAATTTGAGAAGGGTCTAAGTGGAAGATTGAGAGGTTTAAAACTTGTATGCTCAAAAGTAGGACTTAACGGTCTTATTGAAATTTGATAGGACTAATTGGTCTTTAAAAAGGAAAACTAGGACTTATAGTTATAGGTTACTTTTCAGAAAAAAAAAAAAAAAAAAAAAAAAAAAAAAAAAAAAATTAAACTAATATTTTGTAAATATTGTTTCCAAAATCATTAATGGATATTTTTTGGTAAAAATATTGGTGTAGATTTCAGAAAACAATATATACACAAGGCCAAGTACACAAGGAAAACTTGGATTCAATCATGATTCATAATAAATATTAATATTAATATATGGAACAGAAAATGCATCAGTGGAGGACTAACCTTCAGATACATGTTGCACCTTCAAACCGTCAAACTGCATATTATAAAGAAAAGAGAAGGAAGAAGAAGTTTATGCCTTCTGGGAGAATAAACTCATCAAACATATTCATAAACTGTAGCCCGGAAAAGAAAAAAAAAATAGAAAAAAAGAAAAAGCAAACAAACTGGACAAGGAAAAAGAGTATAAAGAAGGAATCTCCTACATTCAACCGATCCGAAAATTTTTGTCGACCATGACTTTTACTCAACAAGTCTTCCCTACTGGTATGCTCATCCTTTGACTGCTTCAGCTGATTACTTAACTGATGCCCCTATAAGATCAGTTATTGTAACTTAGAAATTATCTAATGCAAAACTGGAGTAGCTATTGATTTGCTATGTTCTAGCCAAAAGACAGATATTTGAAACATTACCTCTGAATTTTGGCACTTGTCATCAAGAGATTGCTGACTCGTAGAATGACCAAAATTAGCTCTGGTTTTCCCATCTTCATCACACTCACTGGCAGTTTCAGCTACAAATTCTTCATTCTCAAGTTCATCCATCCTGGACATCATACGAGCATATTCTTCATCTTCATCACACCCATTGATACCTTCAGCTGCAAGTTCTGGTTTCTCCAGTTCATCAATCCTGGACATCATATGAGCATATTCTTCTCCTTCAACTGCGGCTTTCATGTTGTCCTTCTTGGAAAATCTAGGAGAATCTGATTGTGCGGGACCTGAAATTTTCACACATATCAAGAGTGTTAACTTCCCAGGCACAGAAAATTTCAAACCTTTGTGTGAGTCAGATGCTCAAGGCTAGTGCTTTTTGTTTTAACATATCAGATTTCAGAAATAAATAAATGAATTTAAGTCCTGGAACTTGACACCAAAAAAAAAAGGTGGAACACAAATTATCAAGAGGGACTGAAAGGAACAGTTGTTTCATTGATGGATAGCAAGCATTTCTTAATACAAAATTGTTGTTGCCCAAAATCCATAACATTGATCCAATACTCATCTCCGCCTCGTAAAAGTTTGACTAGGGATTCCTTCTTGATAGAATCCTGGTAAAATAACTTCAAAATGCAATTTTATTTTTTTTTATTATCATTTTAGACTCAGAAGAGTTGCTTCTTTTTCGTTTACCATCAAAATTAAGAAGGATATCAGAAGACATATAATGGAAAGGAGAAAACCTGTTCGCACAATTAATAGGAGAATCAATGGACAGCATGCAACCTGACCAGATTAAAAGGAAATGAAGCCTCCTATTATGGGAAAAACTGAAACATCTTTTAGGAAATCTTTCATATCCAAGGAAGCGCATTAAACCAGTCCGACCCAAGTGATCTTTGTTGACTAACAAAGTAGTTCATCAAGTATTTGAAAGTGAAGTAGAAGGTGGACCAAGACAAGCTAACACAAGTATTTGAACAAAGCTTTCCCCGGTTATGAAGATCACTGAGATAGCATTTCCCCAAACCAGCGACACTAGTCATGAACAGAGTTAGTTATACTTATTGCTTTTATTTGTATCTTATCTCCTTCCTGAAGTCTTAGTGAGGACTTGATCACCTTTTCCTCAGCAATTACAACACCCAAAATGAACAGCTCATGTTTCCACTTTATATGATAGCATATTCAATCTCGACATACAATTAGAATACTTGCTCAATGCTATGATTTATATGATGTAGCATATTAACCGGGAGAAAACAAGAAAAATGACAGGCTGACAGCATCACCTTAAAATTATAACCTCCGAGCAGATGAAGTAATCCAACTGCAGTCCGAATTTTCAAGACAAGATACTATTAAAAAACAATAAGAGTAGGCACCTGCCTGCTTTAGAAGTATCTTCTATTCGAACTTCCTCAGTATATTCTTCACTTATCTCTACCAGACCCTCCTGTTATACCCATAAAATGAAAATATCAATGGATGAACTTCTAAGCAAGTTGACAATAAAAATGGATAAAGAGAGTGACAATCTGCTGAACTAGCCTCATAAACATAGGTAAGACTATCATACATGGTGAAGATGAAAAATTGAGGAACAAACATAAAGCAAGTAATGAATTTTTCAAAATCAAGACGCTACCAATTTATTAGCATCAAGAAAACATTCCAGAAATAATAAATATATTACATAATCTCGGCAAAGTGAAATTGTCATTACAATTATTAGAAATGCAAGCACATGGGATGCTGATAGTGAAAGCATGATTTGGGAACATATACCATGCAAATGACTAGGTATCTGTGTATCTATTCATAATGCTAGCATTTCAGATCATGGTTCTATTACAGTTGATCTGTTTAGTGGAGATTGGAGTTGCTGCAGGTCCAAAACCTTTCATGGATGTTGAAGGTATGGTGTCAACGGGAAGGCATTGATGATATTGTGGCTTCTGCCTGGTGCTCTGTCCAGGGTGGCCATCCTATCAAATCTCTTCATCAAAGACTCAAGAAGGTGAAGGAATCTGTAAGGGAGTGGAATAAACAGTTTGGTAACATACAGTCTAAAGTTAAGGCTGCTAAGGAGGAGCTGTGTACTGCCTTATTGTAAATGGGAGACAGACAAAGGAATATGCATCAGTTTACCGCTGTGTACTTGTCTCACACAGGACTTGGATATTCTCTCAGCGAGTGCACAATGACGTCACTATGGGCGATCTCACCCCACTAGGGGCGATTTTTACCGCGATTGAGACTTTGTTTTTTTCTTTTTTCTTTTTTTGTTTTATTCCGCGATGAAATCTTACTTAGAAACTGCAAGGATTCCAAGAATCTCATTAGCTGGGGATGTGAAGTCGGCTGTTCTACATCGAGGACCGTCTATGTATATCGACGGGAAGTCCGTCAGAGGGAGGAAATAAGTACTCTCATCTTGCTTGGTTGGTCGTTTTGATAAGGAAGTTGGGGGTTGTGATCGTGTGGAGGAATGGGCAGCGAAAGCATGGAATACGTCCTGTGGTGTGGGGGTTACTCCATTATCTGATTCGATGCTTCTTTTCAGGTTTCCTTCTCAGGCCGAAGCCCAACATGTGTTAAAGGAAGGACGACGTCACTGGGGATCTACAACTTTACGGATCGATGTATGGTCTTTTAGGGTTGGATGTTGTGGCGTCCTTAGAGAAAAGGACTCAAACAGATCCGGATGTTTGGGCTCCCCCTTCATCTATGGTGTCATGCCCTATTTGTTGAAGTAGGGGAGTTATGCGGCGGATTTGTGGGAGCTGTTGCCGATGAAACCAGGGATGCCGAGAGCGTTCGTGTTACAGTGAGGATAGGATCGACTTGTCCGCAATTTGTGTTTATTAATGATGATAATTCTACTACAAGGTGGCGATTTGGGAAGAAATTGCGCCGGCGTTGGTTCCCTCAACAGAGAGTATCGAAGGCGGCGAAAGGCCTACTCATATGCCGGAGAAAGGATGGGTACAAGGAAGATCAAGTCAACGACACGCGCCGGTTACGCGCGTCACAGCTGATAATAATTACTCTACACGTGGCGCTCATAGAGTTTCATTTCCAGATTCCACACTATCCTTATCTACAAGGGTTGGTGAGGAAAATGGGCTGGGCCACACAGATTGGCCTAAAGTTGATTTGGGCCGGAGGGGTTATGGGCAAACTAAAGCGTTAAGGCTCAAGCCTGATTTTGGGCCTAAGTTAGCCCATACTAAAAGACAGGTTATTAGAAGACCAAACTCAGTTTCTGTTTGTGTTCTTAATGACCCAGATCCAAGGAAAGCCCAGGTTAAAACTCAAGCCCAAAATCAAACTCTCTCCTCTTCTTCATTTCAGCGTCGGATTGAGAAAGAAAAGTGGAGACGGCCGGTTGGTTCAGCTAGTCGACAAGGTACTCGATGGACTCGTACTGAAAAACAGAAATGGGTAGTACGCTCTCCTTCTCCTTCTCCAGGTTTGACCCCTCTTTCTCATCCTAAGAGCTCATCTTCTACCCCTTCTTCGAGTAAGGTGCTGGGAAATGGTGAAGGTGTAATGGAGGATCGTTTGGATCAAAAGAGAGGTTTTTCTAAAGCTATTGTACCACGGGATGCAGAATCATCGTCTTCAATGTCCAAGTCCGGAAGTATTGATTGTTCTAACGGGGTGACAATTTGTGTTGTTCGAGACCTTCATTTTAAACTGAAAGATGATTTAGCCATGACTTTACTTAATGAACTTAAGCTCTGTGCTGCTCTAAAAGGCTTAAATGGTCTACCCCCCGTGACTGGGACCAATTCCACCCATGATTTAATGAAAAATTTTATGGATGACACTGGAACAGAATTGAATTTGCAATTAAACCTGTATCAGAACAATACTGAAAGCAAAGGGGAGGACTTTGATGATCAGTCTCAACAGATATGTCCTCTTGCCTGGGATGTTGATCAATCTGATGTGGACTTTAAGGAACCCTTAGCAACTGTGCACCCTGATTGCTTAGAGACAGTCTAAGAAGCAAGGACACGGATACGGGATACGGATACGACACGACACGGACACGGCGACACGGCAAATCCAAAAAAATTAGGACACGGACACGGCGAATAGTATATATATATATATATATATATATATATATATATATATCAGCATTAATAATTTTTAAAAAAAAACACTGATATGTTTAGGTTGGAATATATATATATATCACTGATATGTTAGTATATATATATATATCAGCATCTTTAGGACACGGACACGGCGAATTGTGGCATCTTTAGGTTAGTATATATATATATCAGCATCTTTAGGGTAGTACAAAAAAAAAAAATAAATAACATATCAGCATTAAAAATTAAAAAAAAAAAAAAAATTCCAGAAAAGTGTGTCTGAGCCGTGTCCGAGCCGTGTCTGAACTGTCCGAGCCGTGTCCGTGGCGTGTCCGAGCCGTGTTCGAAAATTAAAAAAAAAAAAAAAAAAATTCCAGACACGTTTTTTGGCGTGTCCGACACGTGTCGGGGCGTGTCCGACGTGTCGGACACGGATTCTTCGCCCATTTTGGAGTGTCCGTGCTTCCTAGGAGACAGTTAACGATATGGGTATGGACTGGGTGTTGGATAATATTGGCGAGGTCAGCGAAGCTTTGGGTGTCTCCTCGGAAGGAGATGATGATCGAACACAAATCATTCTTCATAATATTGTAGAAGGAAACAATAATGTAGAGACCTTTAAAAGCACAAAAGTTGTTAAAAATAAGAAACATGCACATCGGAAAGGTGATCAGGAGGTTAAGAACCTTATTTCTAATATCAATTACGAAAGGAAGGATGGGGTGAATAAAGAAAGGGGAAGCACTAGAAGTGGGAAGCAAGGAGGAGGAGCACTAATCATCTTTGGTTCTCAATGAAGATACGAATTATTATATGGAACGTCCGTGGATTAAATGATCCGGACAAAAGAAAGGTGGTTAAAGTTGCTTTGAAGAAGTGGAATGCCCATGTTATTTGCTTGCAAGAAACCAAGTTGGCTTCTATTTCTGATGCCGTGGTTAGAAGCCTTTGGGGAAGTAGGTTCGTGGATTGGGAAGCTTTGAACGCTTATGGTACATCGGGCGGTATTCTTATTATGTGGGATCGTAGATGGATGTCTAGAACGAATATCTGGAAAGGGCTATTTTCTTTGTCTTGCGTGTTTCAGATGAAAGATGATAACTTCAATTGGGTATTTTCTGGAGTTTATGGACCCGTTATTGATTGTGTTAGACCTGTTTTTTGCCAAGAACTCAGTTACATTAAGGATTTGTGGCCGTTACCTTGGTGCTTAGGCGGGGATTTCAATTCCGTTCGGTCTCCATTTGAAAGATCCACAGGGGGGAGGTGGTCTTCAGAGATGACCCAGTTCTCTGACTTTATTGATGGTCACCTTCTTATTGACTTGCCTTTGGAAAGGGCAACTTTCACTTGGTCTAGTGGTAGAGACCCAGTTACTTTATCGAGGCTTGATAGATTCCTGATTTCTGGAGATTGGGAGAAGTTTTCGGATGTCACTCAGTCAGCTTTGGTTAGAGTAACGTCTGATCATATGCACTTAGTTCTTGATTGTGGAGGCATGAGATCTAGACGGACTCCATTTCGTTTCGAAAATATATGGTTGAGAGCTGAAGACTTCCAAGGGAAGGTCCAGTCCTGGTGGGAAGAAACAACGCTTACTGGCTCTAATAGCTATGTGCTTGCTAAGAAGTTTCAGATTCTCAAATCTGAGCTTAAGAAATGGAATAAAGAAGTGTTTGGGAATCTTGAATGGAAGAAAAATAGAGTCCTGGCTGATATCGCTAATCTTGATCGTCTTGATGAGACAGGGCAAGATACGGGTTCTTTTTGCTCTAGAAAAGCGACTTGTCAGACAACTTTTGCTGAGATTGCCACTATGGAGGAGATATCGTGACGTTAGAAATCTCGGGCTTTGTGGCTTAAAGAAGGTGACCGTAATACTAAATTCTTTCACAGACTTACTAACGCTCATAGAAGATACAATAATATTGGGCGTATTCGTGTGAATGGTTCAGAGCTGCGGAAGGAAGATAAGGTGCGTGGGGGTATTGCTTCTTTTTATTAGCAGCTCTATACTGAGACTTTGGAATGGAGACCAAAACTTGATGGTTTGCACTTCAATGCTATTTCTACGTTGGATAGTGATATGTTTGAAATTCCTTTCTCTGAAGAGGAAGTTCTTAAGGCATTATCCAGTTGCAATGGTGATAAAGCTCCAGGGCCAGATGCATTCACTATGCGGTTTCTTAAAGAGAGTTGGGCGGTGGTGTGTAATGAGGTAATGGGCACTTTTCAGGAATTTTATTCTCATGGCATATTCGAGAAATCATTAAATGCATCTTTTATAGCTCTTATTCCTAAGAAGAGCAACGCCTCTGACATTAAGGACTTTCAGCCAATTAGTTTAGTGGGGTGTATGTATAAGCTTATTACCAAGGTTCTTGTTTTTAGAATGCGGACTGTTTTGGATGGAATCATTTCAGAGTCATAAAATGCTTTTGTTGGGGGTAGACAGATTTTAGATTCTGTTCTTATTGCAGGAGAATGTGTCGATTCCAGGTTGAAAAGTGAAGTTCCTGGTGTTTTATGCAAACTGGATATCGAGAAAGCTTATGATCACGTGAATTGGAAATTTCTTCTTTATTTGCTTCGGAGAATGGGGTTCGGAGATCAATGGATAAAATGGATTGAATCTTACATCTCATCAGTTATGTTCTCTGTGCTTGTGAATAGCTCTCCTGCTAGGTTTTTTCCGAGTTCGCGTGGTTTGAGACAAGGAGATCCTTTATCGTCTTTTCTTTTTCTCATTGTCATGGAGGGATTGAGTAAATTAATGAAAAAGGCAGAGAATCTAGGTTACATAAGGGGGTTCACTGTTGGTAGAGATGCTGCTAACCAGATCGAGATATCCCATTTGTTGTTTGCAGATGATACCCTGGTTTTCTGTGATGCTAATGTTTCCCAGCTCAGGTATTTGAGGTGCATTCTTACATGCTTCCAAGCTGTGTCTGGTCTTAAGATTAATGTTGGAAAGAGTGTGCTTGTCCCAGTGGGGGAGGTCTCTAATATTTCCACTTTAGCTGCTGTTCCTGGATGTGGAGTGGGTGCCTTTCCACTCCCTTATCTGGACTTACCTTTGGGAATCTCCTCTAAGATAGAGGGGACTTGGGATCCGGTGATTAACAGGTATGAAAAAAGATTGGCGGGGTGGAAAAAACAGTATCTTTCGAAAGGGGGGAAGGTCACTCTTATTAAGAGCACCCTCTCGTCCCTTCCCACATATTTCTTATCTCTATTCCAAATCCCGTGTTCTGTTGCTGAAAGAATTGAAAAAATTCAGAGAGATTTTCTTTGGGGTAGAAAAGGAGAGAAGTTTAAGTATCATCTTGTTAGTTGGGAGCAGGTTTGTAAACCATTGAAGTTTGGCGGTTTAGGTATCCGGAAGTTAGTCCCTTTCAATAGAGCTTTATTGGGGAAGTGGTTATGGAGATTCGGTAAAGAACGTCATCGACAATGGAGAAGAGTTATCTCATGTCGTTTTGGGGAAGAGAGTGGAGGTTGGTCCTCTCGTCCTGTTTCTATTACCGGGGGCGTTGGCGTTTGGAAGTTCATTCGGAAAGGTTGGGATGTGTTTTCCACCCATATTCGGTTCAAGGTTCGTAATGGTATGTATGTTAGATTTTGGGAAGACTTATGGTGTGGTGATCCATTGTTGTCTCTTTCTTTTCCTCGTCTCTTTAGCATTGCCGAGAATAAGCATACTTATGTAATTGAGTGTTATCATCTTGATAACAGTGGAGTTACGTGGGATGTGCGTTTTAGGCATTCCTTTCAGGATTGGGAGATAGCTGAAGTTTGCGTCTTCTTGGACCTGTTGTATAGACAGAAAGATGTTGGCAGAGGTTGTGATGATATTTTGTGGACTCCCTCTCTTCATGGTGCTGTCTTTGTAAAACTGATGGTGAGTCCGTGGACTATCTTCTTATGCATTGTCCTGTTGCATCTGATTGCTGGAACCTCATATTTAGTATTTTTGGCGTTCAGTGGGTAATGCCTAAGCACTCTTTCCAATTAATTAATGCTTGGAGAAGATGCCCTGTTTCTGGTCATGCTCGTGATTTTTGGAGGGTCGCCCCACATTGTGTTTGGTGGTGTATTTGGAGAGAGAGAAATAACAGAAACTTTGAAGGGAAGGAATCGTCTTTTGCAAACCTAAAGTCTTTTATCCTACGCTCTCTTTTCTGCTATGTCAAAGGCAGCACTTGCTCCTCGATCGATGACTTTTTTGTTCTATTGGACTCTGTTGGTCCATAGGTTTGGCTTTTGCTCTTTCGTTTTTGTGTATTAGGGACGCGTTCCCCTTTTGAACGTCTTTCTAATATATTTTTACTTATCAAAAAAAAAAAAAAAAAAAAACTTGTCTCACACAGAAATTTATCATCATAGATGATGTGCATCATCCACCCTACCGACCCATCCAAAATTCACTCATCTACTCTCTAAACAATTGACCCTCGTCATGAAATGACACAGAAAACTCCTCTAATGCAAATGGCACAGAAAACTTCTCTAATGCAAATGGCATGTAAAACAATTGACCCTAATCATGAACAAAACTTTGTGACAGGAGAACAAAGCTATGTGCCTTGCAGTAACATAAAACTTCTCTACATCATGCAGTAACAATTGACCCTCATCATATTTTTTTTTTTGATAAGTAACAATTGACCCTCATCATGAACAAAGCTACCCTCTTTAAGCATCTTCAAAATGCAAATGGCCATGCAGATGACATATTATTGCTTTGATGATCTAATGGAAAGAGAATTTAATGAGTAGAAATCGTGAATAAACTCAAAAAGTTCAATACATATGATAGACACAATGAATTTGGAAAATAAAACAGCATGGCTACAATTTTGAGTTTTTTGTAAGCCAAATAACAAACGTACCGCTGCTTCAGCAACTGTGGCATCAAAGAATGAAGCCTCAGCCTTAAGGTCCTGCATTATGGACTTAAGAGATTCAACTTGGGACTCCAACACCTTACCTCTTCTTTTTAAAATCTCAATGGTTTGTTTAGATGTTCTTTCAGCATAGTAACCTTCTCCCAGGAGAACCTGCAAGCAAAATAATTATGATTCACGAAGTTGAATCGTATTAATTTGAAAATGATTTGCGCATGGTATATAGTCTGCAAAGTTATCTAACATCAGTCAGATTAATTGCTTTCTAACTAGATTAAGGTTATCCCAGAAGAGACTTTAGTTTTACTAGCATATGCTGCCAGTTTTAGATGTTAAAAAGAACAATCTAAAAGGAGAAATAACTAGGTGGTGAAATTTAAGAGGGGAGAAATTAATTAAGAACAGGAGGTTAAAGATGCAACATGGACAGTAAAAGATGAAAGAAATTTGATGTGGAGTAGATTGACTGGATGTATGAAAAGAGTACCATAAGATGTTCTAACTTCTAGGAGAACCAAAAGGAACATTATCAAAGGAAACTGAGTAGTGGAATGAATAAGTCCAATACATTGGAAAGACGAACCGGAAATGCTACAAGGCTTGGCAAAAAATTAGAAATAGAGAAACCTTTGAAACATACAAAAAATATCAAAAAGAAAGTCAAAAAGTAGTAGGAGAAGCTAAGAATAGAGGACAATATGATTTCTATTCTAAATCAGGCACAAAAGATGTTTTAGTCGTATTATATGCATCAAAGTGAAGATTTAAGGGTTCTAGTAAAAGATGACGAAATTAAGAAAGATGGAAAAGTTAGTTTGAAAATTTGTTAACTAAAAATCAAGTAGAAATTTAGGCTTAGAAAAAAAATAATAATAATAAAATAAAAAATAAAAATAAAGTACCCCTAGGGATAACATATTTTTCCATAGGGTCAAGGTGTGTGAGGTTTAAAAATGCATTAAAGAAGATGACATCAGGAAGTGCTTTAGTGCCCAATGGCATTCCTATTAAGGTTTGAAAGTGTTAAGGAAATAAGGGCTTGTCTTGGCCAACAAAATTGTTTAATTAGACAATAACAACTAAGAGAGTGTATGATGAGGGCACACAAGTATTTTAATACTTGTATATAAAAATAAATGGAATATGCAAAGTTGTTATAATTATCGTGGAATTAAATTAAGGAGTCGTACTATAAAACTTTGAAAGAGTGATTGAATAGTAATTAATAAAGGACATTGTAGTGTCAGAATATAAATTTGGATTCATGCCAAGAAGGTCAACAGTGGAGGCTATTTTGAGGAGACGTGGAAAAATATAAAGAGGGAAAAAACTTTGTACTGCATGATTTTATTGATTTATAGAAAGCCTGTGATAGGATACTTAAGGATCTAATATGAAGAATTTTACAAAAGAAAGGAATCACAAATAGATATATCGACAATTAGGATTCGTGCCAAGGAGATCAACAATGGAGGCGATTTTGAGGAGATTATGGAAAGATATAGAGAAAGGAAAAACCTTTATATGATTTTTGTTGATTTAAATAAAGCCTGTTCTAAGGTACTTAGAGATCTAATATGGAGGCTATTAGAAAAGAAAGGAGTCAAAAATAGATATATCAACACAATAAATAACTTGTATCGTGGATATGTGACTATAGTTAAAATGACTACGAGGGAAACAAGTTAACTTACAATTACAGTAGGCTTACATCAAGGGTGGAATTAAGTCCATACCTTACTTTTTTGGTTATGGAAAAGCTAACAAGAAACATACAGTATGACATTCCATGGTGTATGGCGTATGTTATTTGTTGATTTTAATAAATGAAACTAAAGAAGGAATCAGCGCTAAACTAGAGAATTGGAGGAAAGCTCGATAATTAAAAGGTTTAAGATAAGTCAAAATAAAACTAAATATATGCCATGTAATTAATAAATCTAGAAATACAAATAAGGAAGTAGTGAAGATTAAGGATCAAGAGGTACAAAAAATGAACATTTGTGTTATTTTAGCAATGATATCTGTGATGAAGAAGAGACTAAAGACAACATTAATAATAGAATCAAGGCAGGATGGGTTAATGGAGGAGTGCACCTAATATATTATAAAATATGCATATCCGGTTAAAATTGAAAATTGTACAACAACTAGCAGACCAGTTGTTCTTTATGGGACAAAATGTTGGGAACTAAGAAACAACGTGTGCACAAGGGGAGTATGGAGGAAATGTGAATGTTGAAATGGATGTGCAGCAAGACAAAAAAGATCCGAATTAGAAATGAACACATTCATGAGATGTATGGCAGAGACTTGGGAGTGTGCGTGAGTGTGCTTACCTAGCAAAAACTGATTAAAATTTTTTACAATGCTTAAAGAGCGGTGACTGTACCCGTGCTCTGATTATCACAACAAATAAAATAAATAACAATTTTCTGCAATGCAAGGCAGAATTACAATCTAAAACTCTTACATAATGCATACATGTAGACGTCTAAGTGTGGTGCGTGCATCCATCTAAGTAGTGTTTTATTGCGGAATTAGTGATTAGAATGAAATAATTACCAGGAATTCATTGGTGTGAATCACACGACCCGGAAAGAATGCCGCCTTCCCAAACGGAACCTGTACGCATTCACAAACATAAATATAAATATTGATACCCTATATATATATATATATATATATATATATATATATATATATATATATATGCATTACTGGTTTCGATGACTTGCCATGATGTCGTGGTGGAGTTCATCGGGGAGTTTCTGGACGAGGTTGACGAGGTTGGTGTTATCGGCGATGAACTCCCGGACTTGGTCGAGCTCTTTCTGGCGCTCGGTGATTGTGTCGTGGACGCGTTTGGAAGCTTTCTGGGCTTCCCCTGCCGGAAATATGGAGGACAACGGCGTTACCGTTCCCTTCACTGGCTCGTCCATAGCCTTTTGCTTCTAAATTTACGAATAATTCGATCAGACTCTGGCCCTAAATCGAACCGTCTTTGGCCAGATGCCAGAAGATTTGAGCCTGGTTAGGGTTTTAAGGGTTTAAATTTTTTTTTTTTTCCCTATAATTTAAGGGTTTAAATTTTAATCAGTGGTAAAATTGACGGTTTGTGTGGATAAGCGGGAAGGAAATAAGAGGAAAAGGGAATAAAAAGCGAGTAGAAAGTGTGAAAGTGTGAAAGGTTATGAAATAATATACCGTAGTACATAAAGTTGGAGAGAGAGGATAATTATTGTGGATTAAAACAAATTGCTAAGGCAGTTTGATATATAAAATATTATTATTCTTTAAATAAAAATTTTCCGAAAGCTCTGAAAATGCAATACAGTCAAGAATTATAAAATACGAAATATTATTATTCTTTAAATAAAATTTTTCCGAAAGCTCTGAAAATGCAATACAGTCAAGAATTTTAAAATAAATTCTCTTTTTCAATTTTCTAAAGAATAAGGTTCTCTTTCACTAAATTGAACCATAAAACTCCTAAGAGTCGTAATAATTAGTGAAGATAAAGAAAGAAAGAAAAAAAGTCATCTTATTTGGTAAATATGTTAGAAAGAAGTTTTTTAATTTATTATGTGTTCAAAATATAAAATTAAAAGACAAAATAAATAATTTTAAAATCTGAAAGATTGTTATTGGAGGAGTTAGCACATCTCTTTCCTCTTATTTATTTAGTTATTTTTTTATTCTCTTACTTTTCCTTTCATTTTTTTGGGTTAGTTCTCATCTCATTATTGTCTAAGAGCATCTCCAATCCAAAGCTAAAAGGCCCGTCATTTATAAAATATAGCAATGAGACTTCAAAATGGGCTTTGCAATGCAATGCTAAAAGGGCTGCTAATTTTTAACTTTGCCAAAAGTTTTGCCAATTGTAGCATAAGAAATAGCTATTGCTATTTAGAGGGGGGGGGGGGTTCTCAGATTTGGCATATATATATATAAGGGGGGGAGGGAGGGAGGGGTTCTCAGATTTGGCATATATATATATATATATATATATATATATAAAAAGATCATAACAAATTTTACCAAATATTATTTAGTTTGCAAAACAAGAATTACAGACCTTGATTAAAAAAAGTAAACAAAAATTGAACCTCTTTCTCAATGGGTTTGGTGAAGAGATTCTCGGCCTTTGATGTCAAGAAGGAAGAGAGCAGAGGTCGCCTCTGCCATGGATTAGTTGATTTAGAAAATAATTACAGAGCTTCATTAGTTGATTTAGAAAAAAATTTAAATCAAAATCCATACATACAAGTTAGCAGTTGCAGAGAGAGAAAGGGGGGCAAGCTTGAGAGTTGAGAGCCAACAACTGAAGCTTATGAACGACGAACCTGAGCTGAAACAGAAAGAGAGAGAGCAATTTCAGAGCTAAGAACGAGAATAGAGATTGAGGCGATTGGGGAGGCTGAAATGATTTGCCCTAAAAATATATATGGCTATTTGGGAGGCTGAAATGATTTGCCCTGAATATATATATATATATATATTTTTAATAATAATATAATCAAATATATATAATATACATATATATATAATATATATATAAATTTCCTAAAAAGAAAAAAGAATTATACAAAAAAATTATATAATAATATAATCAAATAAATAAAATTTATACATATATATATATATATATATATATATATATATATATTTGGGTCCTTTTTTGACCAAATATTTTAGATTTTTGATTCTTTTTAATTAAGTTTAATTTTAGTTTCCTTCTACTGTCTACAACTTGACTTGGAATGTGCCTAATATTAACATTACTGATGCAAATATATATGGCGGGAATGGTAGTTGAAAAATAATAGTGGTTGTGTTAAAAAATAGCATTTTCATCATTGGAGCAGAATTGCTAAAATGTAACATTTTGATACTGTAACACTGTCAAAATATAGATTTGGCATCTGAATTTGACATTTTTACATTGGAGATGCTCTAAAACCCAAGGCAAAGCAATCTCTCTCTCTTTCCTTTACTTGCTTTTTTTTCCCTCTCTAATCCATTTAATCCAAAAATGGGGATCCCGAGGATCCCATGATCCATCTTGTGCCTTCAAACGAATAAGGCTTTAAAAGTCGTCGGTTAGTCATTCATTAGTTTTTATTTGTTTTCATTTAGGTTCGTTTGATAACTTTGGTTAGGCGAAAATTTATGATGGAAAATGAAAGTAAAAGAAAGTGAAATGAAAGAAAGGAAAATCAAGTTTCCGTATGCATTTGGTTAGTAATAATTTTTTTTAATAAAGTTGTGAGAAAATATTATTTTATTAGTTTGAATAGCATGAAAGGGAAAAGAAAATGATTTACTTACCAAAACTACCCTTATGATTTCAAATTTAAAAAAATGAATTAATTTTGTGTTGGATGAATCATCTTTATACCCAATTATTTATATTAATTTTTAGCAATAAAATAGTAAAATAATGAATTAATAATAATTATTATTATTATTTATATTCATATTTAAATTACACAAACTAAGAAGGACTGTATTTTAGTTGTCAGATTCTTTTTATTTTCTGTTTTCAATAATAATTATTTATATTTATATGTAGAATATAATTTATTTATTATAACATACTTGTGTTTTATCATAAAATAATGGATTATTAATAATAATAATTATTATTATTTATATTCATATTTAAATTAGAAAAATAGAAGGGTTGCATTTTAGTTTCCAGATTTTTTTAGTTTGTGTTTTCAATAATAATGATTTATATTTATATATAGAATGTAATTCATTTATGATAACATACTCATATTTTATTAAATTATTAAATATATCTTTTTTTAAGCCCCCTCGAAGAAACATTAAATGACAATTATAGGATAAAAATTGTCATGCAAAGGTAACATATTTGATAATTTATGCATAATAATTTTATGGTTCATACATAATTTATCAGTCCCCTTTCATATTTTATGAATATGAACCACTTCTATGCAAATTTTTATTTGCAAAAATCACACAATATAAAACTCTATTCAGTTCAAAGCTATATAGACAGTAAAAAATAAATATTATATTGACATCTATCCATGTGAAATTGTTATGTCGTATAAATAATATGATGACTCAAATTAATCTCTTCTTACATTTCTATTTAGATTATTTAATATTCTACCATTCAACTTTTAATTTATTTCCAAAAATTTTAATTAACAACCTATTGGATATAATCAAATTATGTGTCCTAATATATAATAGTTGTTGGAATATTTTCCAAGTCTGAATTTAATAACCACGCTATATTTGTTATGTGAAAAAAAAAAAAAAAAAAAAAAAAAATGGAGAAACAACTGGGGCATTATCGGAAACTTGGATATAAAATGATAGTTTTGTGCGAGAAAGTAAACTTTATTGTGTTTTATGCGGAGAAATATTTTGATAAAATTTATCGATGCGGGAATTCTACTTTTCCAAAAAATTTCCCTTTCCAGGTAACCAAACTCCCAAAAATTAATTTTCTTTTCCGTTTCTTTTCCTTTCTACCTATTTCACGCTAACCAAACGGACCCTTAGGAAAATGTTGTATAAACAATGTCAATGTGTTGCATAACGGATATAATATATTGCAAAGTGCCAAAGTTGGTGTACAATTGTAATATTATATGTTATATATAATAATAATTTTGTCTAAAATTGTATTAACAAAGCACTTAATTTTTTTTTTTAATGACTAAGAAGTATAAGAAGAAATTGAATTATTACCTGCATAAACAATGAGATGTGTATTTTGTGATAATTATTTGTTCAAATTGTTATAGTTGATGTTTTAATATGTGGAAGTTATTTTGCAAGGGAAATTTTTGTGTCTAGGTTGTAGGTTTTGGTATGAATTAAATATAACTATTGAATTTTACTTTTTACTTTTTTTTTTTTTTTTCTTTTTTTGGCAAGTGGAAAGAGAGGAAATTTGATATTTTTGACAATTTTTGGCCAATCTTTGTGAAATATGATTTCAAAATAAAATAATATTATAAAATTTTTAAATATAATTGTTGGTACAAAGCATTTAACCAAGGATGATTTAGTCATTTCGATGATTACAAACCATTAATGGTATTTATGGACTAATGTTTACTTTGAGTGTTATAGACAATTCATATTAAAAGAATGAAATCAATATAGATCACATTAATGGAAAATAATGGATATAAAGAGACGTGAAGTTGCAAGGAACAAAATGCAAGTCCATCAAAAAATAGCTTGGACTACAACGAGCTAGCAAGCAACTTAAAGAAAGTAAGAAAGCAATAATACCTTAAAACCTAAATGATCATGAACAAAACTTTAAGAAATGGGTAGATAGTTTGGTAGGTGTTTAAGATTCCATGTCAAAGTATTTATGAATCCATTTGAAACTCATCTCTACAGGACTATGCATATCATATCATCATTCATATGTTCTTATATCCATTAGTAATAGTTTATGAACTTCATAATATATATATTTGAGATATGAAGTCATTGCTAAAGAATAAGTTAGTTCAAGTTTGCATAAGATTTGAAATAATTCATCACTTGAGCTAGAAACGCTAGGACCATGCATATCAATCACATGATTCATATTGGTCACTATAATGTAAAGGTTAAGGAATATGAAGCTTCTGTTACCATGACTTTGTAACGGATATTAGGACCCTTGAATGCGCCTCATGAAAAATTGTGTTTTTAGTTAAGTGTGAAAAATGAATTTTTGTAATAATGATTATTTAAAAATATATTTTTTCAGTAATTATTCCTTCAACTTCAATTAGCCAAATTTGATTTTTTTCATCAATTCTACATCGCCATACACGGAGGATCAAGTTTTACCAAAAATGTTAGGAATCTCAATTTGTACTAAAACTGAATTTTTACATTTTGATTTAGTTGTATTTTAATTTTCTTGTATTTTTTATTGAATCCAAATAGGGGATGCTTCATTATTTACATTAAAAAATTAAAATAAATGTTTTCAATGGAAGTAAGGTGTGCAGAAGTTCCTGCAGAAGTAACAACCCGTGATGTCTATCAGATGACCAAAACAAAGAAAAAAATTTTTGTCATCTGATCGATCAGATCACCTCATAATTATTGATAAGATGACAAAACCGATGAACTCGCATTTTTTTGTGGTTTATCATGTAATTGATCACTTCACCAATTTAACCGATCAGACGAGTCCAAGCGACCGATCAGATGCTTTATGTATTCAATCAAATTATATTTGGATCTGAAGCTAATGATCAGGTCATTCATCTAATCGATCAGATGACTCTAAGTGACTGCACAAATGGTACATATAACCGATCAAATGGACTAAAAATTCAAATATGATAAATTGAATTCACCCCAAACGGTTATATTCTTCAAAGGGGTTATAAATACACAATGTATTGGACATTATGGGTAGGCATTGGAAAGAATAGAGAAACCTTGTTGAGTATCAAATAGTTTTTGTTCTTCATCTTATTCATCCTCTCGTACATATCATTCGTAGACTATCGAGTTTCGTTTGTATTCATTTATACTTTAGTTGTGAGCTTTGATCTGCATATCAATCTTTGAGAGAGATTATCGTGCAATAAAATTATATCTACAATCAATTGTAATAGTTGGTGTTGTTGGGAAACGTGCAAATTTTAAAAACTTTTCGAGGGATTTTAATTCATAGATCTTGATTCATCATATAGAGACAAGATTTATGCAAAAATAAAAATATAATGTATCATTCAATTAATAGATTGAATACTTACATCAAAGGTCTGAGTAAACCTTTAAATCTTTCCTCTAAAGTGAATGTTCTCACTTATTGTAGATCCCTTAGCAAGATGCTTTTTCCTTGGATCTCCATCTTCTTGGTAATTGTTTTGCCTTTAGGAATCACTCATAAGCCTCCATGAATGACCTTGGAAAACTAGGCTTGTGGGAGCCTCCATTAGATGAGAACATAAACCCTAATTTTCTAGAGAGAGAAAATAAATTCATTTTTCCTTCTTCTAAAAATCATTCCTAAAATATACATAGACCATGTATATTTATAGGCAACATAAAGGTAAAGAAAAGGAAACAACGAATCATTCTCAATCTCTAATTTACATGTCTCAAATCTAATATAATTCCAATATCAAGTTGGGCTATGAGTGAGAATCCATTAGACTTATTATTTTATTGGCTACAATGAATTAATAATTGGCCCGGTCTATGAACCCAATTCAATTAATTCATAAATTAATTTCTACTCCACTAAAAGAAATTAATTGAACTCCAATTAAATAATAAATAACCTCTAAGTCAATATTACATTTTGACCCCTCTATGCATAATTAGTTATCGGATAAATAAAACCATCAATCCGACTACTTAATTAATATATTTATTTTGGTACCTTTGATTATTTCTGGCTCGATCACAATAAAACATTTGTTTGACAAAAATAATAATTTAAATAAATAAATATATAATAAATCATTTTGTCTAAAAACACACGAAGGCCTTCGAATTTGCTTTGTGATCAACCATAATCAATACAAAATAAATACAAGTAGCAATGATGCAAATATTGAAAATATAACCCTCTAACTATTAATTACATAACTACCCAAAGTGTCGGTCTAAGGATCCCGAATAATCCGCCGAACAAATCAAAGTAATTATTAATTAATAAAAAAGTTTATATTTTTCTCATGCTTAAGAGTCAAATGCCATGACGGTGATAGGGAGCAATTGCATACGACGGCTCTCGCAATATATCTCAACCTAACGCTGATCCAGTTCAAGTCTTAATTAATTATGAGTCCATCCATAATTACTGACTATGAACAATTTATGATTACTATTTATATATCATGCATTGATTGCCATCACATACATATATATATAAATATCTCTTGTAATCAAATGGACACTATCAATTCTATAATGAATCAAAATATAATACATTGAATTTACCAATTGTATAAAACATAAATATTTCAGAAACGTCAGGAACATATGTCACTTAATTCAAACAAGAATTTGCTATGCCAGGGCATATAAATCCCAACAGGTGTGACCCAGTAGAAGTCTAAGAGAGGATTGTTCTCTCAACAAGAAGAATTAGAAGTGATGTGCTTCTTGTATCGGTTTGCTCTCCATCCGTAAGAAGGTGCTACAGTAGGATTGAAAAAGTCTTAAGAGGGATTTTGAACTGAGGAGTGGAAGTTACCGAACCTCGCTAAATCGTTGTGTCAAGTGTTTGCATTTCTTTTCCCTTATCTCCTTTATAATTGTGTTATTAATTACTTGAGCTTGTATCTTAATTATTGCAGAATTGTTATAAGGTGTTTATTAGAATTTGCAAAACCGTTAAAATTGAAAATTGGCCATTGTTTTCAATAGGTTCCATTCACCCCCCTTTAAAGTCAATACTCGGGCAACAATTGGTATCAAAGCCTAAATTCAATTTAAATGATTTAACAGTTTTAGAGTACGATCATGGCTAACAATGGCATATTCACACGCTTAGAAGGATAATGTATCGATAAACCTCTTTTGTTTGATGGAAACAACTATAACTGTTGGAAAAACACGATGATAGATTTTACCCCATCCATAAACTATCAAATGTGACTTGTCATAAATAATGGACCATTCATTCCCATGAAAGAAGTTGAAAAGACAATAGTTCATAAAAAAGAGAAATAATGGGATGCAAATGACCATAGATTAATTAAATGCAATGCTAAAGCCATAAGTAATATTTATTATGCATTAAGCATAAATGAGTTCAACAAAATTGCTAATTGTAAAACGACAAAATAAATTTGGGACTCACTTAAGATATTTCACGTTGTACTTGTAATGTCGATGAATCAAATTTATGCATACTTATCAATGAATATGAATCTTATAGCATGAATGATAATGATTCAAATAATGAAATACATTTTTGTTCTATTTACCTTAGTAATCATTTGAATGCTTATGATAGAACTCACTCATCATCCTAAGGAAAAAGAAATAATTCAAAAGAAGATTAAAGCTCTTTAAGCTTCCAGTAAAGAAATAAGTGACATCAAAGGGATGGTTGATTATAACGAAGATATTTCCTATGATGAATTAGTTGATGCACATAATGAATTATATGATGTTCTTAACCCTAACTTTCACACCTCTAACCCTAACTTTCGCACCTAAACATTTATTATTTTAAATTACAAAACTACCATTTTGGATATGCTTGGTTTCTCGTATTTTTCTAATCTTTAATTTTTTTGATCTCTTTTGGCGGGACGAAAAAACATAATGCCCCGGTTATATGTATTGAATAAATTATTTCTTTCTACACGTCTCAAAGATAAAATAAAAAAAGTACCCAAAAAACAAAAAACCAAAATAACATATATCTTTTTTGCATAAATTATTTTTTTGATAGTAGTATAAAAAAAAGAGTATAAAGCAAAGTTCTCTATTGAATAAATTATTTCTTTTGTGAAAAAAAAAAAAAAAGTTGTCTCTTATTTTGGATAAATTAACTCTTTTGACATGGCTGAAAAAAAGTATAGTATGCAAAAGAAAAAAAAGAAAAAAGAAAAAAAGAAAAAGAAAAGAAGGAACCAATAAAAAAGAGGTATCTCATAATATTTATATAAATTATTTCTTTTGTGAAAAAAAAAAAAAAAAAGTTGTCTCTTATTTTGGATAAATTAACTCTTTTGACATGGCTGAAAAAAAGTATAGTATGCAAAAGAAAAAAAAGAAAAAAGAAAAAAAGAAAAAGAAAAGAAGGAACCAATAAAAAAGAGGTATCTCATAATATTTATATAAATTATTTCTTGTGACAAGACCGAAGTATCTTGTCAATTCGATTAGACTAAAAAATCATATAAAAAAAAATGTAAAAAAATAGAGTGAAAATAAATTAATAAAAAAATAAATTAGATCTTTCATTCACTGCTATTACCACTTCAACTAAGCAAACAGGCAACCGGGGATCAACTCAAGTTAAATTTATAATTGTGAAGTCTGAATTGAAGAAGGTCTAGTTGAACTAGATTTTGGTTGGCAGTTTTATGCCTGAGAGAAGATTCGTGCATAATTGGTCGGTGTGGGTTGCACAGTGAAACCCTCACGGGCCACACGATCTAACGACTGATGGATATTCAACCCTCAATTCGTTTGAGAATAAACTGAATAGTGTTCCTATTATTCGAACGTGTATTCGACGTGCATTCTAGCGCGTAAAACTAAATCTCAAACACAGTATTAGTCACTTCTACGACCTACATCTATCCATACCAAACAAAGAACACAGACACAAACAACAACACCAACAGTACAGAGCAACAGCCAACGATACCAATTAACTTCTCGTGGCATATCAGAGAGAGAAAATTAAGAAACAAAATCCTTCCAAATAGCACCTAAAAAGTCTCTCTCAATATATTTAATATAAAATTATGTCTATATAATTGTATATGAATTATTGTATTTAGGGTTTCCAAATTTTACTGGTGAAGGAAGGTTTGTTGTTTAAATAATATCCTAGTTTAATCGGTCGTTGAGCTCTCACTTTCCGTCTCTCGATTCAGTGTCTTCGTCGTCGTTGTTGGGTTGTTAGTTCATATTGTTGACTACACTTTGAAGCAACCCCTTCCTTCTCTCTCTCTCTCTCTCTCTAATCTTGTCTGTCTAAAACTCCTTCTCTCATGGGTCTTTTGTTTTCTTCTTGGTTAATTCGAGATCAGCAGACTCGATTCCCGCAGAAATTTCAAAGTTGAATTGTGGAATGGACTGTTCTGATTGATTCTGACGTGCTCATGTCAAAAAGTTCAGATTTTTTGTGGTTGGAGGGGAAGAGATTAGGGCTTATGTATCGGATTGTTTTCAGTTTGTGGTTTGGAGTTATGCTTTCCCGGCCTGTATCTGGGCTGAGGCCTCTGAGGGAGAGAGCTCGTTCGTGGGGTGATGAGGTTAGTGTTGAACTCAGTTTATATATGCGCAATTATGGTACAGCTTGTTGTTTTGGTTCCGTTTTTGCTACTTTTCGATCAAGATTATGCAAATGTGACACAACCAAGTGTTTCTGTGTGACGCTGAATTCGAATAAATGGTTTTTGCTTGCTCATGATGTTATTTACTATTTTTACTGTTTTATGCTCTTTAAGGATACCAACAATGAATTTAGGATCCCAAGTGACGTAGTGCTATGACATGTGATAGTCTCGATACCTTTATATACTAAACAATGTAAAATTATTGACTGATTATGTTGTTGATTCTTCTCATTTGTTGTATTCAGAAAAATTTAACTTCAATTTAGTAATTATGTCGATGCCTTTTCAAGGTATGCTATTATGGTTTATTTTGGATTTAAATTTATGTAATATCTACTCAATGAAACTTGATCAGTCTTGTGTTTGTACTAGTTCTATTTTCAGGGATTGTTTGACATGATTCACATCCTATTAGTTTGAAGGGGAAGCTGAGGAATGGTGGGTGGGATCTTAGGTTTGTTAATTCCATAAACATTATGTGGGGCTGGTGATCAATGGATGGAATAACATGTAACAAAAGACAATCGACATGGAGCTGTTAATTAAGTTCATGGTGCCACATTTGGTGGGTGGAGAAGAAAATTTAATCGATTTGTTGTAGTTCTTTAAATAATATCTTAAAGAGCAATGGAAATGTAAGACATATTATCTGCAGTGAGCCTGAATTATGAATTGGAAATGTATTTCTTGATAACTACAAACTGAAGTAACAAAGAGTTTCACTGCAGGGCATTGGTATTGTATCTGCATTGAGATGGGGATAATGGTGTAGGGTAATAAAAATAGGCAGTTTTATAGCAGCAAGCATGGTTTAAATAATACACCAGCCCTCTGTTTGCAACAATCACAATTACATTTCAAAAGAAAACCAAAAGAAGTTTGAAGAGGTTTGGAGCTTAGCAAGGCCTGCATATATATATATTTTTTCCATTAGTTGGTACTCACACACCCATGCCTCCACTAAGGCTTGAACCCCTGACCTCCCTTTGAGAAGTAGGGGCTTGGTACCGCTGGGCCACTGACTCGTTAGTAAGGCCTGCATTTTTATATTCTTAAAATTAAATATCAGAAAGAACCAAGGACCTTTTTTGCCCCGGTAAGGTAAATAATCAAGAACGTAAAACATGAATGAATGGAAGTGGGAGCAAAGGAAGAAAATTGATGCTCATTCCAAGTTGTATATTCCTCGGTAGGTATCTACGAACATTTGGGTACTGCTTTAGTAAGGTCGGGAAATTTTTTCTTTCTGTTTTTCCTTACAAAATTCTTGAAAAGAGTTGATAATCAGCATTTTAATAGGTAAAACACCTTTCGAAACGGAATGCTGGTTTCTTGTAAAATTCTTACTTCACCATTCTTTAGGTCTTTAACAAAAAACTGAAGCAAAATTGAAATTAAGTTTTAACAGCTATCAGTTTCAATATTGCAGTTGTTTTGTAAGAAAGTGATAGAAATCCTTTGTGTGGCAGGTAGCACAACTATTGCCTTTAGATGCCACTCTGGAAGCTATTGCTTCTTGATGCCAATTTGGAACCAATTTTCGGGCTGCCATCAATATTCTCTGGAATGAGCCAAAAAAATAAAAAATAAAAAAATGAAATCGATCTTTTCTCCAAACCAACCTAGGATTGGTAGTAAAGGTCTTACTATCTAGGCTTTGATGGTGACCATTCTTTATCTAATATCTAGTCAACTTCACTGTTCGAATTGTCTGTACCATTTTCTTCAATTTTTGTTGTATACTTGTGATGTTACGCATATGAAATCCATCTGTTACATCAAGGACTGAAGCATCCAGCCGGGCTTCCATTTGCCTGTCCCAGATGAATCTTCCACTTCCACTTCCTATTTGTTTGGTTGAAGCAGATAGCAAACATCTTTTGGCGCCCCTTTTTTCTGAATAGGTAGCACGCACACAACCACTATTGCCCCCATGGGCACTTGAGCCTGAGGAGATACCACTTGAGCTAAAGCTTTGGTGGTCATCATTTAGCATTTGTTCTTTCTCTCCAATTTTCATTTCCCCCTTCCTGGTTTTATGGACTGATTAGATTAAGTACCATTGTGTCCAGCCTTCATTGTCCATCCACTAAATAAAAAAAAAAAACCAATACCCTTGTTTCAAGAATTTGCTCAGTTATTAATATGCAACCCTTTTCAACATTGGGTTTTATTGCTTTGCATATATATATGGGCATTTTTTGTTTTTAGACATTGAGTTTATCCACTGGAAAGGTATTTGTTTGGCACTATCTTGGCTGAAATGTGTCTTCAAATTGCGGTTAGCGGTTAACTTTGACTAATTTCAGTTTATATTTCATTGTGTTTGCTTCTTGCAGTGGCTGTTCATCAAGAAAGATGAGAATGAGTTGGGTCCTTTTTCTGCTTGGAACATAACAGGGACCTATAGAGGTTTGTACCTTATCTAGTTGCAGGTTTGATCAACTAATTGCTGAAGTCAAATAGGAAGAATCCTTTTATTAGTTCTAAATTTCATAATGCAATCGATTCTTCTTTAATTGCATTCTGTGTTCTCCATTGTTGCAGACACACACACATAACTACATATTTTTGGTTATTGGATTCGAATGCGTGTGATGTCTATAGGTCAGTTTGACATGTATGACACAAACATGTTAATACTTGCCATAGTAATACATAAAAGAACACTTAGATTAGATTTGGATGTTGGCGAGCAGGGATTTTATTGCTGACAATGATGATTTTCCATTAAAAAAAAAAAAAAAAATGGTCCTTATCCATGGCTGATTTACTCTTATCAATCTTATACTTTTTTAAGAACTTGAAGTTTCACTTGGATTTGTGTCTAGCTTGAGGTAGGTGCTTTCTTCGTGAAGTGGGCGACCACTGGCTTGGGATCCCATATTCTTATTAAATTTGGATGCGGAAATAAGAAATGCAAATAGGAAAAGGGAAGAGAGAAAGATGGAATCACATGCATATACATGGTTCGGCACCAAGGCCTACATCCATGGACAAAGAGCCACTAAGGACTACATTTCTATTATTCAGATCTGTATATTGCTTGAGTACAAAGAGCCTATATATAGGCATGGTAAAGATAAGAATATATGGAAGGTGTACATTAGTCAAATGAGGCACCGTTAGTGGAGGATTTTGCTCCACTGTTATATAGAAATATTTATAGTTGGGAAATTTACCGGATCACCGTGATTGGTGGAGGATTTTGCTCCATGATTATATAGAAATATTTATATATTTCAACAATTCCCTTTATGGGGGAGGGTGAGAATGTTGACCCGGGTATGGATATCACTGATCAGCCCCCTTTCCTGGCCACTAAAGCATTACCTCGACTCTGGCATAATACATAAAGGAACACTTAGATTGGATGTGGTTGTTGGCGAGCAGGGATTTTATTGCTGACAATAATGATTTTCCATTAAAAAAAAAAAAACAATTTGGTCCTTGTCCATTTCTGATTTACTCTTATCAATCACATAATTTTTTCAGAACTCGAGTTTCGCTTGGATTTGGTGTCTGGCTTGAGGTTGAAGCTAGCTTTTCTTTTCATGAACAACTTATCTAGGCTTGTTTGCTTAGTGTCTGGAATTCAGTGGCATCTAGCTGAGGCAATTGGAGTAAAGTGCTGGTGGAATGGTGGGAAACTAACACTTTACTAAGCTATAGGTGTTGTTTAACAATGAACTTTATATTTGGAAAAGAAGGAACTTCTTTATCTGGAAATCCTGATAAAAGATCATATAGAGGAGGGATATAATTATGATCTAATACTAGAATCTACTTTTCTGTTGTTGATGAAGTTTGTAATTTATGTCTGTACATATTCTCTTAAATTGACTAATATACCATCACAGAATTTGTCTTTTGCCATTAATATAATAAACAAGGAAAAAGGTTCAGATTGGGTTATTTTGCTTAACCGTTAAAATGTGAGAAGATATGGACGAAATTGTAAGAATTAGATGGTTGGATATTTTTTTTTTGGGGGTAAATAACACAGCATAGTTGGAAAATGGAAAAGAAGGGAAAATTAGGGAGAAGGCAGAAACTTGTGTTGATGCATCGGGGATGTAAATTGATTATTGCTGAAAGATTACAGAATTGGTGGTCTCTTTTCATTATAAATCAATAATTGCACTGATGAAGTCCAGTTTGAGGGTAATGTTAGAGAAAAAGGAATAGCAAAATTATTTTTGGTTACAACAATAAAGACATGATAATATTGTAGTTTTACTGAAGTCATAAAACAGATTCGTGTAATTAATTATCAAATGGTTGGGGTAAGTTTCTGTTGCGATTAGTATCTTGTTCATTGCAACTGAATGTCTTCTTAACTTCTTGCAAATCACTTATCCATCTGCTGAGTTGTATTTTTATTTATTTATACACAGAGCCTCCATCCATTGTTAACCTTGCCTTATTTTTTCATGTATGTGAAGTTTACTTGTACTCTACATCAATTTATACAACACACCTGAGATAAGATGTCTCCATTGACTAGAATAATATGGATGCATTCAAACAATTTTATTCAACCCAACCTACAATGGACCAAGTTGATGCATCAAAGCTCTAGTTGTGACCCAACCTGCCATGGGCTTTGGTCGAATGCCTCCAACAGATGGTATGGTGTTCCAATGTCTAACATGAACTTATTCAGAGGAAGCTAATTGAATCAAATTGGGGCCCAAAATGCTCTATGCTGACTCCCAGTGAAGGAAGCTTTTGTCGTAGATTTGGATTTTTTTTTTTAATTTTTATTTTTTATCAGAGTCCCATAATCCCATTCTGATCCTTCAATTTCAATAAAACACATTTCACATGTGGGTCTTCATCATGATGTAACGTTTTATTCAGATCTGTTGATGATAATGATAGGGACTCTGCATCTGTGACATTTTCATGATTTGTAGTTTTACTGTACCTTCTCTTCCACATCCCTCCTAGCATGTACTGCTATCCCTTTTTCATAATATTAAATTATCTTCTATGATATTCATCTACCCATACAAAGAACACAAACACCAACAGTAAAAATTTCTCCAATGAATTACAGACCTCCAGAACCTGATCCAATAGGGGCAAGGCGGGGCAGGTTACTCAATTAGCCATTTTCACCCCATTTTTTTTGCGGGATGCCACTATCATGATCTAATATCTCCATATAATGAATACTCTAGTGAGATTCAGTGAAATTGCTTGTGTCATCTCACACCATTTGATTGATGTGATTAGTTATGTATGAAGGTTTGTGTTGGGTTCTATGAGATTTTATTGCATTTCTCTCTCTGCGGGAATTCTATTTTTGGGTGATATTTAATGACTAACTTTTAGTTCTTTTGTAGTTGTGATGTCCAATGTATTGGGACTGCATTTGAATGAACAACAAAACAATTGCTTAGGAATAGGGACTGCCAATGCGTATTGAGTTGCTGAATTCATCCAATGTACACTGACATGAACTTATCAATAATTGCTTTGCATTAGAGATTTTCACTCGTTCAATATATTGTTTAAATATCTTCACAATTTTACATAAATATGACAAAAAAACAAAATGTACAGTATAGTTTATTGACTTGCTCTGCAGTAAGAATATATGCACATCATTATCACTTGCTGAAAAGTTTCCACTTTTACTATAATATATTCATTTACCTTTTCTTTTCTTGATCTGATTATATACTTATTTGGGCACGAGGATGCAGGATCTTGGAGGTTCCTTGATTCTACAAATAGCTCTTCCAGGTTTCCAGATTTTAAGAAATCCAATGGCAATTCAGTCCTTGAATTAGTTAGTACGCCAACAAAAATAACTGGTGTACATTATGTTCAGGTAAGATGATCGTTCTACTAGTAAATTTTGATTATATAAGAATAGAGGAAATTAAACCTTCAAGTATAGCATATTTTTTCTGTGTCCTTTTGTAGCAACAAATTGTATTTGGTGAACTAGAAGTCTCTGTCACATATAGAATAGTTTTACCGAAGAACAGATCTTATTTCTATAATGGGGAAGTTTTAAGATTTTTCTGCTTTTAATAAAGTATTTCCCTTAAGAAGCTTGGACACAGAAATGGGATACGAACATGGATACATCAACACGTCAAATTTTAAAAAAGTAGGACATGGACACGGTGTGGACACGGCTAATATAAATATAAATTTACATTTATATATCTATCGAGTACTAAAACAATTAGAGAACTTTAATTAATTTGTAATTTCTATACTAAAGTGTCATAAGTTATTCGAATATAAAAAATAATTTATGTAGTATATGATATTACTCCCCTATCTTGTCATTATAGTTATGTTTTTGGTCATTGCATACTGTGATATATTTAATTCAATTTTTTAAAGAAAAAGAGGCTGGACACTGATATGTATGTTGTTTCCAGGGCCATGTGTTTGTTTTATATTAAACGAAGAGTGTAGGATGTGTTAGTCAATTGTTTGGAATGTGTTGACCAAGTGTCCGTGATGTGTCGGCTAAGTGTCCGAAATATAAAAAATTTGGGTGAAATACCCTGACCTCCCCCTGAGGTTTGTCCAAATTTCTCCTAGATAAAACTACTGTCAAAATAGCCCCTAACCTCCCTTGAGATTTGGTGTGTGGTAACTGTGGTCACAGATACTGTGGATTTTAATAATATGCTTCCACTTCCCACTAATCGCAAGCATATACATGACCCGGGAGGAACTTTTATTTTTATTTTTTATTATTATTTTTTTTAATGGTAAATATGCTTGCATTTATGCGTACCATGTGATCTTGTTTTCTAGTAGAAGTCGGGAGATGCTTTGTTCACATTGAATTAAAGGGTGAAAATGCTAATAAATGTTTTGGAGTTCCAAACTATGGAGTTGGTCACTGTCTGTTCCTGATGTTGAAACCACCAGTATTAATGTTTGTGTATATTTCTATATCCACATTATAGAACATGTATGATTCATGGGGTGTACATGTGATAAGAGTTGGTCAAAGTCCAAAAATCATTGGCAACCAGTGCTCCGACATGCTATATTTTCAGCAAAGCAACTTTTTTGCACTCTTTCCTTGGATATCTTAAACTTTGTTTATGTTGATCTTTTATGGTGTGAATTGTTACTTCTGAAAATAAAATATTGTTTCATTTATATTGTGTACAACAGGGGGTAATTATTTTCCAGGATGTGTTTGACAATGAACATGGAGTTGGTGGTGCTCAAATCAAGGTGGAAGGTGTATATATCTGGCCTTTCAGGCAACTTCGAATGGTGGCCAACAGGTAGATTTCCTGTATTTGGTTTCTTTTGGCTGTACGTCTGTAAGTTTCTTCAATTGTATATACCCTAATGGTGCTCTCTATCCTCTTGGTGTTTCCATGTTAAATTTGTGTTTCCATAGGATGTGATCTTTTTCCTATATGGTAGATCTTTTTTGTGCTTTAGATTTAGATAATGAAGGTTATGTTTCCAATGTTGGTTTAAGTTGTACATTTTATTCCAAGTATATTGCATTCAGAGAATTTTTATTGTCATGATAATCGTTGTTAATTTAATGGCATGTTTTGATATTGCCACTACCACTCATCTATTGATTATCATTGCCGGTTCTCATTTTATAGGATGTCTTCATATAATACTTATCAAAAAGAAGAAGAAGATGTCTTCATATAATAGAAGAGATCTGTTATGATCTGTGACTATCATTGTCGTTTTAATAATGTATATGGACTAATTCATGGTGCTACTGAATATAGGTGAGGTTTAGTTGTATGGTCTCATTCTTGCATTTGAACCCTGGTTCAAAGCATCAGTAGTGCTGCATGTAGCAGCCCATTGAAATTAGGCGAGCTATTGTGGGATATGTTGGTTTGCTGGATTACATATTAGCTTTGTTGAAAGGACTAGAAGGGCATGAGGATTGAAGAATGGCTCAGCTGATATTTGTATGAAAATATATAATCTGACTTTAGAACTAACAAGTAAAAAATGCCATAATAATCTACCAATGTGCTTAAAGTATATCAATATACACTGAACACCTAGGGGCTGTGATGAGGGTTCATTTTATAAAAATGCTAGAAAAAGAGGCAAAAATTCATTAAAACACGAAGGATACCCAAAGAAACACACTATGGAACTTGTTTAATTCTGACACTTATTAAGTAATCTTCTTTCTGTATCTTATCTTAAAAAAAAAAAAAAAAAAAAAAAAGAAATCTTATTTCTATGTTTGAGCTGTTGGACACTCAAATTGAACCTATGTATGGAAGTAAACTTGTAGTAAGATGTTGTACCGATTTATATTAGTAAACTTTGTGGCAAGATGTAGAGACGGTGTGTATGGAAGTAAACTTGTAGTAAGAAATTGTACCGATTTATACTAGTAAACTTGTGGCAAGATGTAGAGACAGTGTAAGACTATGGATAGTTTATAGGTCAATTAATCTTTTTTGTAAACATGTTTGCCTGCTAATATATGGATATTTCTCACCATAAATGTCCCATTCTTGATTTCTTTCCCTGTCATGAGCTGCAGGTAATTTCCAATCTCAGTCTTGATGTCGCTTATGAATTTGTTGGTTGATGTTACTATGAGATGCAAGAATTCTTCTTTTGATAGATAAGCTCTGCATAATCTGCTGTAGTTTGCTTGGTTCTATGTTTGAAGTTTTCTAGTAATATGTATACATTGTAGTTGCTAAATATGCCACATAATCTGAATATAACACTCCAAAAAGGAAAAGATAATACTTAAAATGAAAAAATTGGTAAAAAAGAGGGGAAAAGTTCCCCTTGTGTTTACACAAATTAGGCTAATACATTTATTCACTATTTTTCTCCAGCTGATCCATCATAGATGCTATATTGAGAGTTGTGTCTTAACTGGAAATGGCCTTTGGGCTGTCTGATGTTCGATCAAGTGAAACTTTTTTGTTAAATGATTTGAACCAATGAAATTTATCTATATTTATAACTATTAATTTTGCAGTGGAAAAGAGGGAGAGTTCAGCCAGGAAGAAGAATACATATTATCCAATCCATATCACTTGGTAACCATTATCAATCATCTTGATTAATTGTTCTTGATGACGATTCTGTGGAAACTATTATTTTTAGATAACCTCCTGTTCTTTCTTTTGTGCAATACATTTTACTGTGGCTTGGTTTTATATGTCATATAGTTGCCCCTTATATATGCTAGGATTAGTAGAATGATAGTAGAAAAACTGGTAACATGCCCTACCAACGATGTGCCGGATTTGATGTAGGACCCATGAGAATGATGGCATTGAAATTTAGGGAAATTAATATTTCTCAAAAATATTAGGATTTGAGATTTTAAATGATGTTACCATCAAAATTTGAATCACTTAAGGTTTAACTAGTGAAGCCCGAATCATTTTCTTCTTGGTTCAGCCTTTTTAAGGCAACTTTGGTCAGGATACTGTGGAGAAGAGATTTGAGAGGAGACTTGGTGAGTGGAAGATGTCGTACTTGTTGAAGGGAGGAATTTTCTTTTACGAATATAAACTTGACGTTATTGATCCGCTTTATGTTCATTTCAAAATTTCAGCTTCTGCTATGGAGAGGCTTGAGAAGATTCAAAGGGATTTTGTGCGGAGGCACCGGGGGCAAGTTCAAGTTTACCTGGTGGCTGGGATGCAGTTAATGCCCTTAACCACGTCTGGGTTTCAGGAATTTTAGGCAATGAAGCCAAGCTTCTTAGGGTCTTTGCTGGGGATATGGCTGTGGAGCTCCCTTCTGTGAAAGAAACTCTGGCATGATTTCCTAGGAAGTGATAGCTTGTGGAGAAGGTGGTGGAAGAGAAATACAGGGTGAACTTAGGTGATGGATACAAAGAGGCGTCCAGTTTCGTAGATTTGGCCTTCTGAAAGAAATTAAAAGTGGGAAGGAGATCCCCAATCATATTGGTTTAGCGATGGAAGACAGCTGTAGGGTGAGATTTTGGTATAACTTGGATGGGGGCGCTATTGATATCTGTATACTCAATAAATTTTGCATTGGTTGAATCGAAAGCCGGTAATCAAATTATGTCAGGCTTACTGAGGACGGTCTAGTGTTGGAGCCCCTTTTCCTTGGAGCATTTCAGGACTAGGAGTTGGAAGTCGATGTTTGCTTTCTTCGAGTTATGGTAGGCGTCTTCTAGTTGTGCGGAGAGGATGGACTCCTTGCATTGGGAACACAACAAAAACGGTTATAGGATGCTTTCTGATAGCCATAGGCTAGGGTTTCCCTGTAAGGAAGGATATTGATGGATTAAAGTGTTTTCCCAAACTGTTGTTCTTTGCATCATCAGCTGCTTGGGATGTGATTTTAACATTGGAACTTCTGGGATGCAAGATGAATATGCTTCTGAACTAGATCTGCTTAGGAAGGTTATGGAGATTATTAATCGTCCTTTTCTCCATTTCTCGAAGGCTCAAAAGCGGTGCAGGTTATTCACTCTTTTTGAAGTTCACTGAGTCAGGCCATGGTCTCTTGCAGACCCTGTTGTTGTCTTAAGAGGTTGTGCTACTGAAAGGATCTGATTGTTCGAGTGCCTCTATGTATCATGTGGTGTTTTTCAGAACAGATAATAGCTGCGGTTTTGATGTTGGTAGATATGCTTGTTCAGAGGTTAAAGCAACTCCTATTAATTTTTTACAGGTTTTGATGATTAGGAAGTTTTCAGATTCTTTACATGGTTTTATAGACTTTATAGGGGATTTGAGTTGTTTAGAGGGAGCCTAGTTTTCTTGGTCTTGTATACTCCACATTAGGGCTGCAAATGAACCGAGCCGTTCATGAACAGCTCGGGCTCGGCTCGTTAAAAGTTCGGGTTGGGCTCGTTTGTTTAGTAAACGAGCCGAGCTCGAGCTCAATTTTTAGACTCATTTAGTAAACGAGCCAAGCTCGAGCTCAATTTTCAGGATCGTTTAGTAAACGAGCCGAGCTTGAGCTCAATTTTTAGGATCGTTTAGTAAACGAGCCGAGCTTAAACAATGTTAAGCTTGGCTCGTGAGCTCGTTAGCAGGCTCGTTTACATAAATATAAATTATTATATTTTTAAAACTATCCCATGTATATAATTCTAGGCCCAAATTCATAAAACTATATTTTCATTAGCCCATTTAGTATTTGGCCATTTAGAAGCCCATCTAATTAAGTAGCCCACTAACTAATCATAGATTCATCTCAGCCGTTTGGTTGTAACTTATCATTCTTTAAGGGTTAAGAAACCCTAAAAGTAGCCGCAAAATGTTGCAATGTCTTCTCCAATCCAATTGGGGGCAACAAAAATCCAGTCAGTGCAACATCCTTCTACTCCTCAGGCGGTTGTCTTATACTCCTAAGGCGACATCAGGTTAGGTCTATCTCTTCCCCCCCCCCTCTTGTTTAATATTATTCATAAATCTGATAAATCAAACATTGATTAACTTGAAGCTACTGAAGGAGATTTTGAAGAAAGGAGAAGATGAGTGTTTAACATGTGAATTGATAGTGACATTTTCCTGTTTCAAAATGGTTCTCCTCGATCCATTTGATAGGTAAGTGATATATATATATACAAACACACATCTCAACATACGAGCCCGAGCTGAGCTTTGCTCGGGCTCGTAAAAAATTTATTGAACTGAGCTTGAGCCTTGCTAGGCTAAGCTCGGCCGAGAGCAGCCTAAAGCTCGACTCGGCTCGGCTCATTTGCATCCCTACTCCACATGTTCTTTGGTTGCACTTCCTTTGGCGCCTTTTATTTAACATGCTGTTCAAGTGAGAAATGTTGCATGGGATTAGTGTTAGAAGGTTTCCATGTATCTAAAGCCTGTAAGTTGGTCTCTTGGTGAAACAACCGAGATATAACTTTGGGGATGGATTAATATTATTTAGTTTATAAGAGCTTTGAGCTCTCTCTCTCCCATTTGATTTTTTTTTTATAAGTAAAATTATAATTAAAGGTGCTCAAGAGGGGAGCGCTCCTAAAGAACAAAAGACGCTTGCGATGACGCAATAATTTCAAACTATCTACAAAATCCAAAAACAGATCCATAGATATAGAATTCTGCCCATTAACCCCCCCGGAAAAAAAAAAGGAAAAAGAAAAAAGAGAAGACACTATATTGAATTTGAGAGACCAAATAGGGGACTCCTTGCCCTCAAAAGGATCTCCTATTCCTCTCGTGTCACAAACCCACCATGAACAAAAGGGAGTGGCTCTCCACTGTACACCATTTCCAAGCCTTCAACATATCCACCGTGGATTCCGAAACAACCCAACACACCCCAAAAACAACCAAGAACATAGACCAAACATGTGGCGACCTATGTGGGCGGGTGCGAGGCAATGGCTGGCTACCACACTGGGCGAGTTACAGGTGCACAATCCCACATCGTCTGGGTGCGGAAAAGGTAAGCGTTATATGTAGATTCAACACCCTTCTATGAAAAAATGCGTTTTAAAGCCATGATGGTTGTGAACTCATCATAACTCCAAAGTTAAGCGCGCTTACTCTGGAGTAGTACCAGGATAGGGCGATCTCCCCGGAAGTCTGTGGTCCAGGGGAGCCAAAAGCGGACAATATTGTATCTGGATAGGGTGAGGGTTGTTACAAATGGTATCAGAGCCTGACCAGCTGGAACTGTGGCCAACGGGGATGTTGGGCCCCAAAGGGGGGTGATTGTGGTGACTTATGTGGGGGTGTGTGCATGGGCAGGTTTGAGGCACAAGCATGCTACCACACTGGGTGAGCTATATGTGTACAATCTCACATCGCCTGGGTATGGAAAAGGCAAGTGTTATATGTAGATTCAACACCTTTTTATGACACAACACGTTTTAAAGCCGTGATGGCCGTGAACCCATCAAAACTCCAAAATTAAGCATGCTTACTTTGGAGTAGTACCAGGATGGGTGACTTCTTGGGAAGTCTCTAGTCCGAGGGATCCAAAAACGGACAATATTGTATTTGGGTAGTGTGAGGGTTGTTACAAAACATCCCTTGCCATAGGGCAATGCAGCAAAAGATGGTTCATAGATTCTCCTAACTTCTTGCACATGCAGTACCAATTCACCACGATTTGATGTCTCCTTCTGAGGTTGTCGAGAGTGAGGATGCTTCCAAGGACAACATTCTAAGCATACTTGTTAAATGCTCAACGCGCACAAAAGTGCAAATGCCTCCTGGAGCCTGAGGCGCAAGGCGAGGCGCACGCCCGACTGAAGCTAGGCGCACGTTGAAAAAAAAAAAAAAAAAACCACCCAATAAAGTATTTTTGGGTAAGTGATTTAACAACTAAACATTCTTTCAATAATAGAACCTAATTATAAGAAAAAAATATAACAGTACATGAGTAATTATTTCATTTTAACAATTTCATTTTAACAAAATTATTTCATTTTAACAATACATGAGCTATTTACAATTTGAGATTGTCTTCTATAATTTAGAGTACACTTAACTAATTATTTCATTTTAACAAAATTAGATAAAAATGCATTTCCTCAAACCAATAACATGTTAGAATGGAACAAATACAGGCTACAGCTGTTCACACAAATAAAACAGGATCACACAAATATATAAAAAAATAGTGAGAGCAATACATTGTACTAATCTAATCCAAGCAGGAAAATATAAAGTACCTTACACAAATAAATAAAAAAATAAAAAGAAGAAGAAAACTCGAGAAAAATAAAATAAAATAATAAAATAAAATAAATAAAAAAATAAAAAGAAGAAGAAAAATAAAAATAAAAATAAAAATAAATCTGCCAGACTCCACTCTCGAGAGAGCCGAGACTCGAGAGAAGAAGAAGAAGAAAAGAAGAAAAAAAAAATCTGAGACCGATCCGGCTGATTCGAGAAGAGGAGGAGAGAAGAAGAAGAAAAGAAGGAGAGAAGGAGAACTTACCTGCAGGCTAACGCAGATCCGAGAGTCCGAATGCCTTCACTGCCTCTGTCGAGTTTGTCTTCTTTCCTTTGCTTTTTGCTTCTCTTTTTTTTTTTTGTTTTTTATGTTGTAACTTGTAGGCTTTCTATTATATTAACTAATAAAATAATAGAATAGAAATAATAATAATATTTTATACACAAACAATAAACAAACAAAACCCAAAATAACAAAAAGAAGTAAAAAAACAACATTTTCAAGTAGGCGCGCCTTTAGCGTGCTGTAGCCTGGCGCCTTGGTGGAAAAGGCGCACGCCTTTAGCGTGCCTGTAGCCTGGCGCCTTGGTGGAAAAGGCGCACGCCTTACTTAAGACAGTCGCCTTAAGTGTACTCAAGGCGACAACACGCCTCAGGCGCGCGCCTCCGGTGCCTTTAACAACTATGATTCTAAGTGACGAAAGCCACCTAAAACGGGGCTCTAGTCCTACAAATAGCTTTCCAAGGGAAGGTGTGGCTTGGAGACTCCATAAGCTTAGGTAAAACAACCTAACCTCAAACACCCCTACTGAGGTGCCCGGCTACACCATCTCGTCCATACCCATGCCCTCCACCACCTGCCTATAGATCAAACCAAGGAAATCTGTGACCTCCAAAAGCTCCCACTCATTGAACTCTACAAAACTGCACGTCTCAAGTCACCCTCCCACTATTTAGCCAAAGCAAAGTCCCCGCACCAATGGTCCTCCCCAAAACTGACATGTCTCCCACTCCGAACTCTGAACCAGATCCGTTTGGAGAACTCATCCTATCCATTCCGGATGAATTTCCAAGAACCCATACCTGCTGGTGATCTCACCTCCCTAGAATGCCGCCCTCCATTTTTTTCCCATAATGGTATCCATATGATTTAGAGGCTTGGGATACTTATTTTGGGCCTTTTGAAATCTTCATCTTCCCCTGTTTTTGCCGATTTATCATAAACATCATTGGCATGAGATAAATAAATTTGGTATTGGCGCCAAATCCAAAAGGTGGATGTGCTTGTAAGACATTCTTTTGTCTCATTGCTAGTAAAGCTTTGGGGCTGTGGATATATATTTTGCGATGCTACCTTGCAAGATCGGACATTCTTTTGTGCTACCTTGGGTTTGTAACTAACGAGAAAAATGAAAATGTTAGGATTGTAAATGGCTAGCTCTTGGCAATCCCAACTATGCCTTTTATTTTGAGGAAAAGGTCTAGATATCCCTCTGGGCTCTCTTTTCTAAGATCAGTAATTGAGAAAGGATTGGAGTATTGAATAGTGTAAGGCATCTATTGGTGCCTAATAATGGTTAAAGAAGTTTTGAATGTTGAAATGACTAGTAGTTTTTTATAAAACCTTCGGCATGCCCATCTAGATTTAAAAACTCAAGAATAGGAATGTTTCCCACTATTATGTTCTCAAATTTTAGAATGGTATTAACTTATCAAAAAAAAAAAAAAAAAAAAATTTAGAATGGTATTGGTGCTAAGACGCATGTTAGGGGTCTAGCTAGTTAAATGATATGCAAGGATGAAAAATTGGGAACCATGTATCTTTTTGTTTGACAAGTAAAGATATAATAGAAATCGTTTAAAAGGGGAATGCATCCCAAGAACAACATAGAGGCTGCAAGGGAACCATATATCTGAAAATATATCCTTGATCCAATCATATTTACCTATATGTCCATCTCAACTATAAAATGGTGTGCGCGCACTACTATACTTGGTGAAAGTCCAAAAGGTCCATGTACACAACTAAGTATTTGGGGAATATAGTTCTGTTGAAGTTGGGTTTGGAGAGGAATTCTAAATCTGGCTTTGGAACATGGGCCCAGGTTTATTGTCTGGAGTACTTTGTTCACGATCAGTTTGTATGTTGCTAAACCCATTGTAGTCCATTGAAATGTACTTGCATTAGGAAATGGAGGGTCATTGTTTAAATAAATGTTTATGATCTCTTAAAATTTCTTTATATTGAAGATCTCTGATACAAATTTTTTGCATGTGTTCATTCTTTCTAGCTTGGAGTCTTCTCATCCCAGGTTTTCCAGGAATCTCCTCGAGAGAAGATTTGGAAGAGGAAACACTGTAAATTTGTTTACTACATTTTGATTATTTGGCATTGACTTTGTTTGCTTTTACTTTTTATTGACTATTAATTTTTATTGCAGCACCTATTTATGAAATGGAGAAACATTGTAATATTGAAATTGCAGCACAAATTTCACACGTCTCATCCGCTCAAAATGGTACTTGAGTTATACAAGTGTATGGTTTTTTTTCTTTTTCTTTCGGTTGTATGCTTACAAGCATATCCAGGATTTTTCGTCTTTGTTTCCATGTGAAATCATTTCTGATGCACACTGCTAATGATACTAACTGTTGCACCATTTGGGAACAGTTACATTATATGATATAATTCTTAGGTTCTTGATACCTGGAGAAGCAATTACAACCTAATAATCTGCCATTCTGTTTTACATGGAATTGGTATCGTTGATAGTTTGGATATCTCTCTAGATGTCAAATCTATCTAATTACCAAAAATGTATGCATGCAGTTTCTAATTACAACCTAAGTTGGGTGTATGCATAAAGTTTCTATCGTAGCTTTGTTTTTGATGTAGTATGCCTATGCATAATAAACCATGGACACATGATACAGTTACGTCATAATATGGACAGATGAATGTTGAAAAATTCTAAAAAGATGATGTGGATACGAAAGATGTATTGAAAAAAAAGGTACTTTGATGATTGATGAACAATCATTATGTTGATACGAAGAGCATACTGAAAAAAAAAGTACTTCAATGATTGATGAACAATCATCTTGTGTAAATTTGTTTAATATTTTAGCTTTCCAGTGCTCGTTTCTCTGTGCTTGTGAATGGAGCTCCGTTGGGTTTTTTCTCTAGCTCGAGGGGGTTGAGGCAGGGAGATCCGCTATCCCCTTTTTTGTTCCTCTTTGTAATGGAAGCCCTCAGCAGGTTGATGAGGAGAGCTGTGGAGCTGGGTTTTTTGAGGGGTTTCCGGGTGGGCAGGGATGTTGCCAGTCAGTTGGAGATTTCGCACCTGATGTTTGCAGATGATACTTTGGTTCTGTGTGATGCAGATGTGTCTTAGCTTAGATATCTGAAATGTGTAATGATTTGATTCCGAGTGGTGTCCGGCCTTAAGGTGAATGTTGGAAAGAGTGTTTTGGTTTCAGTTGGTGAGGTCCCTGACATTGGGATGCTTGTGAGCATTCTTGGTTGCCGTACAGGCTCTTTTCCCATTTTCTATCTAGGGTTGCCCCTGGGTGCTCCTTCGAGATGCGTGGGGGTTTGGGATCCAGTCGTGGATAGGTTTGAGAGGCGGTTGGCAGGGTGGAAGAAGCAGTATCTTTCTAAAGGGGGGCGGGTGACTCTGATTAAGAGTACCCTTTCTTGTCTTCCCACCTATTTTATCTCCCTTTTCCAGATTCCCTCCTCGGTGGCGGAGAGGATTGAGCGTTTGCAGCGCAATTTTTTGTGGGGAGGGAGAGGGGAGGATTTCAAGTTTCACCTGGTCCGTTGGGAGCATGTTTGTAGGCCGATTCGGAATGGAGGGTTGGGGCTTAGAAGATTGGTGCCTTTCAATAAAGCTCTCCTTGGGATGGGATGTTTTTTCGGCTCATATTAGATTCAAACTCCGTGATGGTCGTTGCATTCGGTTTTGGGAAGATCTCTGGTGTGGGGATCAGCCTCTTTCTCGTACATTTCCTAGGTTATTTAGTATTGCTGTTGATAAACACACCTACGTAGTTGATTGTTATCGGCTTGATATGGGATGTGCATTTTCGGCGCTCTTTTCAGGATTGGGAGATGGACGAGGTATGTGTTTTTCTAGATCTTCTGTATCGGCAGGAGGGCGTTGGTAGAGGTAACGATGTTTTAATTTGGGCTCCTTCTTCCCATGGTCGTTTCGAAGTTAGATCCTTGTTCTTATGCTTGTCAAATTTTGTAAATCGAGATTTCCCGTGGAAAACTATTTGGCGATCTATGGCTCCAACTAGGGTGGCTTTCTTTGTTTGAACTGCTGTGTGGGGAAAGATTCTGACAATTGATAATTTGAGAAAAAGAGGCAATTGTATCGTTAATCGTTGTTGTCTATGCAAGGATGATGAGGAGTCCGTTGATCACCTCCTTTTGCATTGCCCTGTGGCGAATGACTGTTGGAATCTTATTGTTGGGTTGTTTGGTATGTGTTGGGTTATGCCACGATCTACTAAGGAGTTAATTCATGTCTGGAGAGGTTGTCGAGTGAGGAGATAGTCGCAATTTATGGAGAATTGTACCACATTGTGTATGGTGGTGCATCTGGAAGGAGAGAAATAGTAGAATGTTCGAAGGGAAAGAGTCGTCCACGGCAATGATCAAACTTTACATTCTTTGTTTTCTCTTCAATTATGTGAAGATGAGCTTTTGTTCTTCTTCTGATGATTTAATTACTTTCTTGGATTCTTTGGTACCTTAGTCCCGGCTCCACTTTTGTAATTGGGATGCGTTCCCCTTTTGAACGCTTTTATTTATGTTATTTCTTACTTATCAAAAAAAAAAAAAAAAAAAAATAAATAAATAAAGCTCTCCTTGGGAAATGGTTATGGAGGTTTGGGGTGGAGAGGCATTGGCTTTGGAGGAGGGTCGTGGTGAGCAGATTTGGGGAGAGTAGAGGAGGGTGGTGCTCTCTTGAGGTGCCTGGTCCTAGGGGTGTGGGGGTTTAGAAGTTTATTCGACAGGGCCAGGTTGATTTTTCCAATCATGTTCGGTTTCGTCTCAAGGATGGTAGGCAGATTAGTTTTTGGGAGGATATCTGGTGTGGGGACATCCCTCTTGCTCTTGCTTTCCCTCGACTGTTCAGGATTGCTTTGGATAGGCAGGCCAGGGTGATCAACTGTTATCATCTTGATAATGGGAGATTGGTTTGGGATGTTCGATTCAGGTGTCTGTTTTAGGACTGGGAAGTTGGCGGTACCATTCGTCTTCTGAAGGTTTTGTATCAGCAGGGTGTTATGGTCGAAGATTCTGATATTTGGATTTGGGCTCCCAATGCTCAGGGCCGCTTTAATGTGCGGTCTTTCTTCAGGTGTCTCACTCAAGAGCCTGCAGGTCCTTTCCCGTGGAGGGCAGTTTGGCGTTCTAAGGCTCCTCTTAAGGTGGCCTTCTTTGCTTGGACTTCTGTTTTGGGAAAGATTTTGATTCAGGATAATTTGAGAAGAAGGAATCAGGTGGTGGTTAATCGGTGTTTTACGTGCTGTCGGAATGAAGAGTCAGTGGACCATCTTCTTTTGCATTGTCCTGTGGCCAAGGATTGTTGGGATTTGATGCTTGGCCTGTTTGGTTTTCTTTGGGTTATGCTTGGCTCTGCTAGAGGTTTGATTGAGGCTTGGAAAGGCTGTTCTGTGGGGGCTCACATTCGAGAGGCTTGGAGGGCCACGCCTCTCTGTATTTGGTGGTGCATTTGGCTTGAGAGAAACAGGAGATACTTTGAGGGAAAAGAGTCTCCTATTTCTGTTATGAAATTCTCCATTGTTTTCACTCTTTTTTGTTGGGTTTCGGGTAGCGATTATAGATCTTTTGAGGGCATTGTTGATTTTTTGGCCTCTTTGAAGGCTTAGTGGTTTTTGCTTCTTGTTGTTCCTTTGGGATGCGCTCCCCTTTTGAGCGCTTTTTTATACAATTCTTACTTATCAAAAAAAAAAAATTTTAGCTTTCCAATTTACTACGTATTATACAAAATAATGTGAGAAAACTGGAATTATATTTACATGGAGCAAGACTTGGTACCATAATCAACCCAATTACCCATATTATTTCTCATCATTCTCTTCAAAATAATTGTCAAATGACATTGTCATATATGTTATTACAATTGTACCTTAATTCTATATACAAACGGCAGCAAGACATCCAAGGAATGTTCCATGTTTCAAGAATATGCAAGCAGCATACATTATTTCTTTGCATATAAATACTGTAATGTCCAAACTTGCATAAATCTAGATCGGTTACATTTGAGGAATATTTGAGTTTTATTGCTATCCAACGCTGAAATAGCTCCTTCATGGACGTATCTATGCTAAGCAGATGAATTGTGAAGCATAATGTGTTACGGGCCTTTTGTATCCTTTCTATTGCACATAGTAAAACTCTTTTTAACTTTGATTCTTTGATTTGTGACAATGTTCTAGAACATTTAATTCATCTTAGGTTGCTACTTACCTTTCTTGTAGATGGAGATCGTGATCGTTATCATATAGAAGGATTAATGGAAAGTCCTTCAGTGGATGAGGATGGAGATTGCTTTTCACCCATGCTAGTCAATGCTACTTCTGTCAACATTGAGGTTTACTACAACAAGGCAGTTAACTACACCTTGATGGTCACTTTTGTATCCTTCACTCAGTGTTCCTTCATTAAGTGTTAATCTTATGACATGATCACATTGTTATCAACTGCTTTTGGGTTGTTTCCTTGTTAATTTTTAGCCTTTTGAATTGATCACATTGTTATCAACTGCTATTGGGTGGATTCCTTGACAGATGACTCAGGTTTCTTTCCTTCAAGTTCTTCTATTAATTCGGCAAATGGAACACAGCAACACTCAGTCTGTAATATTTTCTGTCTTGATGTTTCTTGATACTTAGTTTTTGTGACAACGTTGTTCTCAGTTTGCATAGATTGCATGTGTATATGCGTTTGCACACACGTGTTTGCTTGTGTGCCTGTGTATATTGTACTTCGTCAACATTTTTGCTGCATTTTGATTTTGTTAAAGCAAAATGAATGATGTATTTGATATCCTTCTGTTAGGGGGCCGCCAAAGTTTCAATTTTAATGATTGGGCAACAGGCTATCATGGATGCTTATCTTTGCCTTTTACATCTGACTGCAGGGATACTAGTTGGTAAGTTCTCCAAAAAAGTCAGGTTAAGGTTTTTTGCATTTACCTGGGCTGTTTACAACCTCCCAGAGAAGTTCCTTTGTTTATATATGACTCAATCATGCCTTCAATAAAGTTGTTACCACTATTAATCTAAAATAACTTTTCTATCCAAATCTTGGAATGGATGGGAAGGGTTGGGTTACATGGACATGCGATGGTACTTTGCCACCTTATTACTTTTTACATACTGTTATTACAAACACAAACTATTTCTTTTGGAATTACTGTTGGAGAATTTTGAATGCTTAATACTATCTTGCTAATCAACCAGAAGTTTGTGATGAATGTTTCAACAAAAACATCTGCTTAGAATGAGTATTCCCTTTCTTCCTCAACCAACCAAAAAAAAAAAAAAAAAAAGAGTTTTCATTCTGCTTACTTGCAATCTGATATGTAGACTACTAAAAACAATATGTCCCAACAAAAACACAATTGCATAATGGTACTCCTTTTGAAATTAAGATGTTGGAAGCTTGGAACGTAGCAAATATGCGGATGTACTTTTTGCAATTGGCGTAGTCCACGTGCTACTTTTTTATGCTGTATGTGCCGACTACTTTTTTATGCTGTATTAAAACCTTGAGTTTCAAATGCTGGCCAGAAAGTGATGGCCTTTCCCTAACAAATATAAAAAACTACTTGCAAGAGGAGTAATATAGAAATATATTTATTCTAGTTCGAGCTAAATGTTTGTCTGTGTAAATTTTTCAGCAAAAATACACTATTTTATGTTGTCATCCATTAAAGCGTACATTTTCTTGCCAAATTATTATCCTTCTCTTTTTTTAGTATTTTTGCATGTAATTTATACATGTATGCACATGTAACATAGGCTGGAATGGCGTACTCTGGAAATTTTTGTTGTCCTATTTAGACATGTATTATCATTTATACATGTCAGTCACATATTAGCTTGACCACATTTGTATAGCATGTGAGCCTTCTTTGGTGTTACAATTTTTGACATCCTGCATTTTTTGCGAGAGCAATTATTATTTCAGTTTTCCTTTAAAATAACTTGCATGCAAGGGTTTTTGCGGGCCATGTGTTTCATTGGTATTACTTTTCCTATAGTGTGCCTCAATTATGCAGTTGTTTCTGTATAAGATACTTCTTGCATCTGCATCACACATTGACATTTCCTCTTTTTCAATATGAACTTAGTTTCCTTTTGTTTGATCCTTGCTCATTATTAATTAATTCTTGATCTATAAAGTGAGAACTTTTTGTTGTTTGTTTGAATACAGAATCCCTATTTAATGCTTTTGCAACTGCTGCCTTTTTCAAGTTCGTAGTCTTCTCAATATTTGAGATGAGATATCTTCTCGCCATATGGAAGGCCAGTAGACCTATGAATAATGGGGAGGGCTGGGAAGCAATGAGGCGTGAGCTGTCAGTTCTTTACAGCCGTTTCTGTGAGTATACTCTACTGAAAGTAAAGTTCTGTGAGCCGTGTCTGGATATCCATGTCAGAGAGTTTCTTGGAGACTTTTGATATAATATATTTATTGTATCACAAATACACTTGCTCTTGCTTAAAATTATTTATTTCATGGAAACATAACATATTTCAAACCTTTTTCTTTTATCCTGTGCCTGGTAATATAATTGATAGAAAATATCATGAACACTCAAATGTCCTGTGTTAATGATTACTCACACCACTAATTTTAATGTTTCCTTCTTGTTTCATACATCAATGTAACATTCTACACCTTTTTGAATTGAGTTTTGGGTTTGAAATTGTTATCGGATTGGGTCATAGTAGAGGAGAGAAATTTCCATCGGTATTAGATGTAGAGGGGTTAATATTTATGGCAGGTTGAAACTCTGTTCCCCCTTTAGTTGGCATCCAAATGACTAGAATCTGGATGATATGAAATGATACATCAACAATAGTGTTCAGAGTTATAAAAATGCTTACATTAATTTATGTACGCCACAACATATTAGATCTGCGAGCAATCCTTTTTATTGGTATCAAGTGAACTACTCTCAACCGAGAGTTTTGAGCTTGCGAATGTTGGGAAGAATTTCTCTAGGTTCCTCTATCTTGGTTTAGTTGTAGTTAAATTTCATTATATTTATTGCTGACACAACATATTCTGGATATGTGAAGGCTGCCTTGGAAAGATGAAACTGCATTTGTTCCAACATTCTTTTCATCATATGTAATTCCGATTCCTCAGAGTACATGATGTCATGAACAAAGAACTTACAGCTATTGTACCAAGCAAGAATGGTCAACTTGACGACTTCTCAAAAGGCATCATAGAATCAGTTAAATATTGATGGGGAGTTGATAATATATCTCTTCAATATTGATATTAATAGAGGTCTTTCACCGCTAGTTTCAAAAAATTTCAAGTGAACAATAAACTTTCTAATGCATATGATGTGTGCATTTCTGTAAGCCAAGCAGTGTGATTGGTGATGCTTTGCTTTATGTGCAAAATGTTACTTTTTAAAAAATTTATCTATGGATACGTATAATTGATTTTTAAACATCTCTCACACTCAGCCAGGACTACTTCATTCTCATCATCAGCATCCTCCTCCTTACTTTGGTCTGTGGAGGTTCATGTAGTGCCATGAAAAGACAAATGCTCTCTTCCTCCGAGGCAGTTTCTTTTACCTCTTCTGATCCTGAATTTCATCCTGAGATAAAACCCCCCTTTTCAAATCTGTTCTTGTTGCTGTGCACATCAGGTCTTCTGTGAGTTTGTCCTTTAGAGTTGTTTGGACAATTCGTACAAAATGTCCCGACTTTCCACACCCAAAGCAAGTCTGTCCTTGAGGCTGTCCTCTCTTTATGTTTGTAAAAGTAAAGATATTGGTGTGTCCTTGCTTATCCATGTCCTATTTTTTTTTAAGAATCTGTCTTATTGTCATATCTGTATCATATTGTATCCGCACCATGTCTGATATGCTTCATAGCTTTTGCCAGAGATCATCTTTTTTACGGTTGTCCAGGAACGATTCCTATTCGTTATTGCGTAAGATTCATTCCTATCTGACTCTGTAATTTTATGAACATGCTCCATACTCAATTCAACACAGTGTTTTTCCAACTTCTTGGGGATAAAAATGCTCTGCATTTGTATTATTTCCTTTTGGTTCCTTGGACTACAATCGCATGATAATTATTTTTCATTTAAATTGTTTGAAACCTGCTAATCAAGTTTTGGGTTAATCAATCCGCATAATTTTCCAGGGCTCAATTCTTTCAGGCTATTACCTTTTTTTTTCTTTTTCTTTTTTCTTTTCTCAGTTTCCATCTCAACCCTGATTATATATATTTTTGACAATTATAATATGATTATCTTGTGTATATGACGTTACGTAATATTATTTGATATGGAAACCTTTCTATGGAATATTTATGTGAAATTATTTACATAATTTGCAGATGGGATCCTTTTAGGTGGTATTTTGGTCATGTATGAGTTCCATAAATTTCTGCGGCCTATTCTTCTCCTTATGCACTCCTTTTGGATACCTCAAATAATTACTAATGTTGTTCGTGACTCAAGAAAACCATTGCATCCTCATTATATCTTAGGCGTGACCATCACTCGGCTTGCGATTCCTTTGTATGTCTTTGGCTGCCCTCAAAACTTCATGCGTATTGAGCCTGACAAGAATTGGTGTATCTGTTTGGGTGTATTCATGGGATTCCAAGCATCGATTCTTCTTCTACAGCACTATCTTGGATCTCGGTGTTTCATTCCCCGTCAGGTTTGATGCAACTCGATGATTTTCATTCTACAATAAATTTTGTTTTTCTGGTAAATTCTAACTGATAACCAACCCACCCGTGTGCAAACAGGCACACACACTCCCATCTCGTTACTGCATTAATAAGGTTCTACTGAAAATTTGTATGTGGAGCTTTACATGAACCTTTAAACTAGGGTGCAGTATACGGTCTGTTGGAGCACAAAGGGCAATCATCTCTTGCAATTACTTATAAACTTTCTGTTTCGTTCTTAACATTTTGAATGAATATCTAGCACCAACACCTACCATGTACACATTATACAAGCGTGACGTATGTCGTAATATACTACTGCAAACTAACATTATATGCACAACCATGTGTTGTGAACTTGCAGCATATGTGTTCCATTACAAAATTATGTCCTAAGAGAAAAACAAATGATTTTCTCGTAATCACCCTTGAGTGTTGTTTGGTTCAGACTTGGTGAGGTTATAGAGAAGACAGTGCAAAGAAATAATTTTCCCTTGTTTGGTAAAGACGGAAATAGGGAGGAAAAGAAGATGAGAGGAAAAGTAAGGGAGACATTATTAATTTTACTACTTGTTTTCCTTTTCTTATTTCTTCTTCCTGTTTTTTCAGAAATTTGTAGTTTGTCATCGTATTTGATTAGAAGAGACAACATGAAAGGAGATTATTTCCTTTTTCCTTTCCCTCGTTAATCAAAAAAACAAAATGGAGTCTTGTTGGAATTTAATTGGAATGGGACATGAGTGAAATTGAAATCTGTGACTATCACACAGCCGTTAATAGTAATGGAGTCTGAATGAGGATTTAGATCTGCAATTTTCCATGTTCATGTGCCCTGTCACTTGATTTATCTTTATGGAACTTGACTCAACAAATCCTAGACCCAAACTTGAACAAATGACTTGAGCTGTTTATGAACAAGTTGGTTCAGTTCTCTTGTTGGCTCGTTCAGTTTACAAACAATTTGAGCTCAACTCCTGCCTCAAAATTCATTGAATTAGCTCACTGAACCCAAACAGGCCAAGCCCTGGCTTTACAAGGGTCATGAAAAGACTAGTAAAGATATCCAGGGGAAAAAAAAACAAGAAAGACTAGTAACAATCTGTGGTTTTACTTGTAGTTTATGGTCATTAATTTTGATATGGTGATGCAGATTCTGCCTGATAAATATAGCTATTACAGACGGTTTGATCAGGATACGAACCATGCCACTGACTGTGTCATATGCATGACTGCCATCGATCTCACTCAACGATCTAATGATTGCATGGTACTCCATACTTATTTTTAGTTTATTCGAAGATATGCTCTCTTTTAACTTCTGATTCAATCTAACGGGTAAATTCTCTGTAGGTGACTCCATGTGATCATTTCTTTCATTCTGGTTGCTTACAAAGATGGATGGATATAAAGATGGAATGCCCAACTTGTCGGCGTCCACTTCCACCGGCCTAAGGAGATCATGTAACTTGGTCTTCAAACTACTATGGATCAACTGACATTGCCCAGCCCATTAATTGTGGTAATATGGGTTTAAAATTAAAGCTATTTTGAATTTTCAGGCATTGACAACTGTTCATTTTCTTAATTGATTATTGTAACTTCTAGAAAATATGGATTTTTTTTTTTTTTTTTTCTGTTGCCATTTATTACATGATTTTCAAAATATGACCACCGGGAAATCCAAAAATCAATGTGTAAGAGTTTCAATTTCTTTTTATTACATTCTCAGATTGCAGCATATGCTTCTCTAATTTTAATTCAAAATTACTCATAATTTTTAATGATTTCAGTCTCATGCTTGCTTTAAATGGATTCTACTGATTCATTTGAATATTCATAATTATGGTTTTTATCTTGCTATGTGATTTTGCTGTAATGAATATTTGCATATGGCACTCAGCTTATGGGGGTCTTTACATTTTATTTCAGGTAGGGAAAGAACCAAGATTATTCCGTATCACATCTAGAATGAGATTTAACAGAAGCAGTTCATACCAGTTACAGAAACAGTTTGCAGCAGGCACAACTCACATATTGTTTGTATAAATGTATATTTCCCTTGTGTAATGTTTTGATGAGAAGTAATATTTTCTCCTTTATTTTATTTTGTTTCCAACTGCATTTATTTGTCCTTCCAAAAGTGGGTTAATTCAGATAAATGCATGTCATGGTGGGAAACCAAAAACAGTGATTTTGAAGCTGCAACTCAATGTAGATTCATGATTTTCTCGCATCATTACATGGACCTATGTCCCTGTGTATAAATTTGTCAAATTTTAGAATAAAGAAAGTGCAATACAATGCGCGCATTAATGCTTTCTCCACTTCGCTCTCTTCTCATGTTTTCTCAAATGCATACAATATTTCTTCAGCAGATTGCCCATTGCCTGATTGTTACTGGGAAAATATTTCGGTATATGTTATGCGTGTATATATATATCTATATATAAATAAAAACCAAAAAGAAAAAGATAAATTTGCTTCAAGATATCACCAAGTGTAGTTTTCTTTCTGGGATTTGTTAAAAAATTAACTCAGCTTGGGCGCGGCTTTGTTACACAAAGGATCCACTTAGTGACGGCTTTAGAACACGTCTCTATAACGATATTGAATCTCTTTTGTGCCTTCTTTACGAGACACAACAAATGAACATAAGTTTCTGGTTCGTCAGATGATAGAGAAGAGGCCTTTGTTATTACATACTTAATCAAGGATCTGGATCTTAACTTATACACGATAGTGTCCGAGTATTGTGTATCCCATTATCGGCCCAGGGTCGGACACTAGAGAATCTACTGTTTTATAACTAAAAGCTCTTCTTTGCCGCTAGGTTTCCTAGTTAATAGAAACAAGTCCAAAGGCTGTGGTCACTTTTATATACTCACTCTTAGGAAAGGAAACATGCTAGAAAACCTATTTACAGAACATTTAATATGAACATGCTTCAATAGAAAATATGTTAATTTTTACAAGATCACTTACAAGTTGGTTATTGCCCATTTTGGATCTTTATTTTTCTTGAAGGTGACATAGGCAACGCCCCATCATGCAGTATCATATATATTAACGCATGCAGTGATCCTCGTAGCAATCAACAGGATGCTCATACACAGCCTCACATTCCTTCTTGCTCCTCTGCAGAGGCTTTTCGGGCAAACAATTCCGACGATCATCAGACGCAATCCCTTTGGAAGTCAGATTGCTGCAAATCCCCTCTTCCTCACAGAAAAAGTTGTAAGAGAGAGTGAAGTTCACCAAACTTGGAAGAACACATATCCCCACGGGCACATTTCCACTCATCATGTTATGAGCTATATTGAGCTGCTCCAAGTGAGCTAACCCTGCAATGCTATAAGGTATTGGACCTACTATCTTGTTGAAGCTCACATCTAGTACTCTCAGTTTGTATAGAGACCCCACCTCAGGTGGCAGACACCCTGAGATGCTAGTATTGATCATTAACAGCTCCTCCAAAGTATTGGCAAAGTTGGCTATACTTGGCGGTAAACACCCTCCAAAGTTGTTGTTAGCAAACACCACCACTGAAGCCGAGCTTGAGCCTAAATTTGATGGAATTACAGAAGTGAAGCGGTTGCTATTAAGAAATATGGCGTCGAAATTTTTATTGAATAGTTGAGATGGCAATGGCCCTTCAAACTCATTGAATCGGATATCAAGATATTTTAGGGAGGGAAGACAGAGTACAACAGTAGGGAAAGGACCTGCAAATCTGTTATTACTGAGGTCAAGCTCAAAGAGGAGTGTGAGGTTTTGTATGGTGAGTGGAATGATACCACAGAAGCGGTTACTGTTGAGATGGAGGACTGCAAGATCAGTGAGGAGGCCGAGCTCATCGGGGAGGTATCCGGCTATATCAGCACGGTTGAGGTCAATGGCAGCAACGGCTATGGTTTTGTTATGAGGTGGCAATGGCGCACAGTAGATGCCCGTGTAGCTGCACACGGAGGGCCCAACCCAATTGGAAGTGAAGTTCTTGGGGTCAGAGTAGATCACGCGCTTCCATGCTTGGAGGGCGATATAAGCTTGGTGGAGTCGAGGGCTTGACGGGGTGGAGGAGTGGTGGGGGTGACGGTGGTGGCGCGTGGCAGAGTAGCTGTGCTTGGCAGCCATGTTGTTGAATAAGGAAGATAGGTAGAGTAGTGAGAGAATTAAGACATGGGTAGCAATGAAAGAAGAATATGAAGCCATTAATTCCTATGTGAAGGAGTTTAATTGTGGCAATGGAAGTGAAAGAGAGCGAGCGAGCTTGTTTGTTTTTGTAAGGAAGGAGTTCTTTCCTTTTCAATTGAAATGTTAAGTCTTGTGTTTAATCATGCTGTTCTTGCTCATGAATAAGAACAATTGATTTCGTTTATCAATTGAAATGTTCAAGTCTTGGGCTTAATGATGCTGTTCATGGTCATGAATAAGAACAATTGATTTCGTTTACTGATTATAACATCAATGGGAACTATTACAACGACCAGTTACAGCGACCGTTAACCGTTACAAGTAGCCCCAACATGTGTTATGTTTTCAAAATTTACATGGTTGTGTTGGATGTTCACATTGGACCAAACTAATATAATTATATATATATATATATATATTTATAGTGAAGTGTTGCTTTTAGTTTATAGTGGTTGCTAGAGTACTCATGGTATACATGAGAAAATGTGATTAATCTGGTGTGTACTAGAATTATGATTGTAGGCCATAGGGTTTTTGAGGTAGGCTTAGAAAGCTTGGAGGAGCGGAGGACTACATGTGTGCGCATGACAAAGACTTACCTCCTTCCCATGTAGTTTTCACAGTTTCTGAAGTGGAGCAGGAGAAAGACAGTTACAGACCCCTTTGTGTGTCTGTGCGTTTGTGTGTGTGAGAGAGAAATTCCTTGAATTTGAAGGGATAGACCATATATTCTAGTAAAGGATTTAGGTGATTCCGATAGGGGAATATGTAGCTTCGTATATGTAGTAAAACAAGTAGCAGTTCATAAAATTCGTCGGTCTTGAGGCAATGATAAAATTAATGACATGGCACGACTCATTTTGACTTTTGAGGCATTCTAAAACCACATAGAAGTAGGTTCATACTTCATACAACAAATTTCTGGGGGCGAGGAAAGGATATACACTGGTTACACACCTCATTCTGATATTAATGCACAAAGTGGTTGTTCTCTTTGCACGTTTGCAGCTTTGCTTCACAAATTGCAACACAGTTTCTCAAACCCTTGCTATATATGTGCTTATACACACACACACACATATGATTCCCGGAGAAGGACAAGACTTTACCTATAATCCAATTTTTACTATTGGTTGCAACCCGCAGTTGCAAAACATAGTAAATTCAAGTTTGCACCACCCTCGATTCAAAAGTCGGTAAGAGAAAGACAGAGGAGAGAGTGAGCCGATGATCATCCGCAATAAGAGTGGACCACCATAAATAAAAAAATTGCCATACAATAATCCAACAATAAAATCATCACAGTGCAATATTAAGAGATCACACACACATCATTACATTTATATTACATTTTATTAGTTAATTCCTCACCAAAAAAGCCACTGAAATTTACATTCTGGATCTCAAGAGTACACAACAAGAGTAGAACATTAAAATATGTATTTTGGTACTACAAAACTAATAGGAAATCCTTAGTACATTCTTCAGCAGATTTATTAAAACTCATAGGAGAAAAAAAAAAAAAAAAAAAAAAAGGAGACCTACATAATCATCATGCTTCATTATCGTCATCATCACCATATCATATTAACCACCACCACCAGATCCATATTTCTTGCCTAAAACAATAACTTGCAACTTGTCATAACCGGCAAGCACACCGGCTCCTGCAACAGCACGGAGGATGTTTGCTCCAGCACCCTTGAAGAGTGATTTAACGCCTTCATTCTTGACGATCTGACGGAACGCGTCCAAGGAGTTCTTGTATTTGACAGCTTCTCCTGAGGTCATCATCATTCTTCTACGCACGGTATCAATTGGATAAGAAGCCAATCCAGCACCAATGGTGATTCCCCATCCCAGCAAGAAACTTGCAAAAAAACTATCCTGCAGGTTACCAAAACCCACCTTGTAATTACAAAACATAACCACATCATGTATCACTCAAAATCAGACGAGCTTAATAGCCAATTCTCTTGTCAGATAAATGAGTCGAGTCAATCTGATTTGATGAAGATGATCCACATGGGTGCATGGGTGACATAGTGCCATTTAAACCAAATTTAGAAGGCATGACAACAAAATTATATTCAGGACTGTGGACTTAAGAGGATGACTGTGGACTTAAGTGGTCCTCTTCATATTATCAAATTATGTGCCACTACGTTCACTGTACAAAGAGAGAATATATGATCAAGAAAGCTCCAATATCGAATTATGTGCCACTAGGTTTGCTGTACAAAGAGAAAATATATGATCAAGAAAGCCCCAGCAGGAAAAGGACGAAAAAACAACCTTAAAAAACAATTTGGATCCAATATTAAAATAATAATAATCACAATAGGTACAGAGTGTAAGTCCCTATAATTTTATTTACCTGCAACTCACCAACCAGAACTACAGGTTTCAGAGAATCATACAATCCAAAGTATAGTCCACGGTACACTATAATTCCCACACATGAGATGCTGAATCCACGGTAAAGCCCAGCAATGCCATCTGATTTGAGGGTTTTCTTGTAAACATCAATTAAACCATTAAACTGCCTTTCCCCACCCTTTTTGGCTGACTTAGCATCATTAGCTAAACGTGTTCTGGCATAATCCAAGGAATAAACAAACAGAAGAGATGAAGCACCGGCAGCACCACCTGATGCCAAGTTTCCAGCAAACCACTTCCAGTAGCCATCCCTGTCTTTCTTGAAGTTGAACAGACTCTTGAAGTAATCTTTGAAAGCAAAGTTCAGCGCCTGAAGAATGTCAACAAATGCAACTTTAAGAATTAAATCAATAAAATTGGTAGCACAAAATAAAATAGATAATGCAAGAGAAAATTCTATACTCAACTACATAAATTATTCTCTGATTTTCACATAAACAAATACAGACCACAGTCAGCAAACATCACGATATAATTTCATCTCAGACATTCACGAACAGCAGGATGAAGATGTTTGGGGTAACACATCATTTTCGATTGAACATATAATTTGTTCTTAGCAACCTTTTGTAAGTTAGTCTCTCCCTTTTGTTTGTAAAAGTATATATCGATACTTCCACCAATCAGAACCAGAATGAAGAAATAAAGATAGGGCAAGACTAAGGCTCCATTTGTTTGGATGTAAAATATTTTTCAGAAAATATTTTTTTATTTTCTGGTGTTTGGTTGTCGTAATTTTACAAAGAAAAAAAATATTATAACCTAACAAAAATAATTTACCCATCAATTTTCGGCAAGTTATTTTACATATTCCGCCCGATGGACTCAACCTCAATCTCGACCTAGACCTTTGCCAAACACCAAAAAATAAAAATAAAAATAATATTTTGCCCGGAAAAGGAAAATATTTTTTAACCCTACGGGGTAGCTCAATTGGTCAGGCCTTGGGTTTGCTCCCCAATGGTCACCAGTTCGAGTCTCCGCAGGGCCGCTGGAGGCTTACTCAGTCGTTAACTTCAGGGCCTCGTGAGATTTGTCGAGGTGCGCGCAAGCTGACCCGGACACCCACGATTATAAAATAAAAAAAAAGGAAAATCTTTCTCGAAGAAAATATTTTACGTCAAAACAAATGGAGCCTAAGAGTCTCTCCCTTTTCTCAGTAAAATTATACATCTACATTTCCACCAATCAAAACAGAATGAAGAAACAAAACATAAAGCAAGACTAACAAACATCAACCAAAAGTAAATTGACCTGGGTTGGGAAGTATCTGATAACATTCGCAGTATTGCCTCTCCAAAGAGAAAGGACACCTTCTTCCTTGATTGTTCTGGCAAAGCAGTCCATAATTCCCTTGTATGGTTCAGACAGTCGACCAGCTTTGATCATCTCATCCTGATTCTGAATTAAGAGCTTAACTCGCTCAATTGGAGCAGCAGCTGTCTTGGAGACAGCAGCAGAGACTCCTCCCATGAGAAAATCCACCATAAAACCACGTAGACCTTTTTCTTTTTCTGACGGTGCTTGTATGAAAATAGGAGAGAGTGGTGATACAACCTCCAAGCCAATGCCTCGATATGCTGGCAGCAGAGCACTCTGCAGACCTCCATTCACGTACGCATCAGTCAGAGTGTGTAAACCAGCATTCCTTGGGTGCAAGTTAGAAGAAATTTGAGAGAGAAGGTAAGATTGCCCGTGTATCTTCTGAAAAATTGATGAATGTGCTGATCCATCCGCCATCTCTACAATTCAATGCAGTGACCTACAACAAACACTACATTAATTAAGATAAAACTTGAAAAAAAAAAAAAAAAAAAAAAAAACAAATACAATAATTCCATCAGTTTTAGTGCAAGGAAATCAATAAACAAGAAGAGCTTTCTCATCACAACCACTTTCTACTACAAATGTCAACAATCACATAGTAGTTTCAATGAAGATAATCAAGTATACTTAAGGAAATGACTAATGTTATAGTATGTACTTCAATGTCCAACTGAGAATAGCAGTAATACGTGTATCATGTTGACAGCTGGTGCATATGAGCATGTGCACTGCAAGATTATACGTATACACATATGTCTCCTTTCCCCAACCAATATACAAAAAAAATTGTAATAAAAAGAGGTAAAGAATTTTATTGAAGTTCAACAAATCAGTGCATCTTTCCACGTTTGAATTCCTTATCTTTTTATTAAGGAAACCATTCCTTAATATATGGGCATACTAAATACCGCAAATGTATATATTTTTTCATGTATATATTTTTTTCTTCATATATGTGATGAGCTAGCTTGTTTATCCAAGACTAAATGAAATTCAATTATGAAATCTGCCTACATGAGTAAAGTCAATGCATGTAGCATGAAAGTTCTACTACCGTGATCACTGGCTGGCTTGTACAATTGTAATACAAGCCAGAACTAGAACAATATTTCTTCAATTGTTTAGGCAACCAAATAAGGAGCAATTTTTTTTTAAAAAATAATTTAAATAAATAAATAACTAAAAAACTGTGAAGCTTATAAAAGCACCCAAAATCAAATTAATCTGCTTCAGCAACTATCAGAACTGAAAGTAACATCATCAATCAAAACTAAAAAAAAATATACAAACTACTACAACCAAATAAAAAACAGTAATAGGTCAAAACTCATTTGTCATGATCAAATGATTCAAAATATTACCAATGCAATAATCAATATACAACCGAACACGAGCACTAAGTTACCTAGTATGAAACCTTAATAAGTTACAAACGGTAAAAACAACGCGATGAGATCTAGAGAAACAGCATGTAACATACAATGATGCTCTGCTATATTTCTAAGGAATGTAATTGGAACTCTCATATTAATAAATAAATAAATAAAAGAACAATTATGCATGCTAAATACAACAAGTCAACAACTAAGCTTAGTTGAGATGAATTTTCTGTTTCACTTCAGGAAATCAATACAACTTAAAAAAATTCAAACCACCTTTTCTTCTCAATCTGATCAGTTTTCTCAGCAACCAAACAGATCCTAAACAAGAAAATTTACAGAGGTGACGGTAGAGAGAGTAACCTGTCAAAGGTCGCCGAGACAGCGGTGCTCTGTCAGGCTCGTCCCTGATTGTGGAGGGGAGGATGACAAGAACAGCCGACAGCAGCGCGTGTAAAGAGAGTACCAGATGGCACTAGGGCTTTCCTGAAATTACAAATCTGGAACATTTCTTTCTTCTTAATTACTACTCTGCCACATTGTTAAGTCCATGCTCAATTTCATTCATGGTGGTGATGGTAGGACTCAACTGCATTCAGCTGTTAACAATTAAATCCTATCAATGAATTATACAGTATCTTTATTGTTTTCTGTCAGGTGGGTGAAATTTCAAATTAATCGAATAAATATTCTATCAGTAAATGTTAGAACAAAACTTAATTTAAAATTATGATTTATTTTAATATTTATAATACATCATCATTTTAATCTTTTCATATAAACAGCATTAAATAAGTTCTCTTTTGAAGTTTTGGTCGGTTTATTTATAATTTTTTTAAACAATTCTTTATTACTTTATCTATGTAAGTTTTGATCGGTCTCCTTATTACTTAAATAATTGACTAAGGAGCATGTCTTCTCGAATAAGTATTCTATTTCACTCGGTAGCCGTAAATGAATTTTGACTTTGAACATAAACCTGAATTAGAATGGATAAATGTTATTGCAGATCAGAACAGGGGAAAAAAAAAAAAAAAAGTTAAAGTAATCATAAAATTGGAGTAAACGAGGAGGAAAGATGATCAGAGAAATTGAATGGAATACAATCAAGAAAATTTATTACAAGTTCATGCATGAGAAATAATCTACAGAGCATCATTTACAAACACATGCATACACAGCACACAAACAATTCAGTCACAAGGTTTATCACGGAGGGAGTGATCTCAATCGGCTTGCAACATTGTTGACAAATCAATACATTATTTCTTCAGAAGTCTGAATTCCGCATGAGACTGCAGATGCTCCCTTGTCAAACTCCTGCTTTACAATGGCCATTTGTCAGAACATAAACGTGCAGATTCTACTAATTTACTTTCCTAGAAAACTCAAAATGGGACTACAAAAATCTTTATATATTAATACACATATATGTACATATGCAAACACATTCGCATAAATATTATATGAGTTTATATTTGCTCCAACGGTGGAGGATACACAGCATCCTTAATTGTTTGCCACATACCATGACAGAAGGAAAAAGGTACACTGTGTAATATGGCAGGTTCTCGAGGAAGAATGTGCAAACATAGTTAGAGGATCGAATATAAGAAGTTATATAACTATATATAGACAAACACATATATTTATAAATTTATGTGAAAGGCACTTACCACCATTTTGATTTTGTTTTGGCTGCATTGCAAAATAAAACGTAGATTCCTTGGAAAGGATTAATAACAGTCTAAGCAGAACACAAGGAAGTCCTTTGCTTTATCAGTAACTGCTTTAGCTTTTTAATCAGCTGAGGATTTGAGCACATGTAATCCCGGAACGACTCCCTCAAATTCTGCAAAATCTTCTTGGGATCATCGTTCGGACTAATGTTAAGCAGCTTTGTGAAAAGGTTCTTCCACAGCTCAACTTGCCAATAGCTTAAAGTTGTATGAGCGGAATGGAGAAATACTGTGTCAGTGGATTGAAGAACTAGACTATGAACAGTAAAACAGAAAGACAAAATAATACAACTAAGAATTTTTAGTTTCCAGTACTAAGAATCTAGAGAAATCAACTTAAAACTGACCACATCATCTCCATTAATATAACAGTGTTCAACAAGATTAATAAAAAGTGACTCGAAGTATGCAGAGACAAGGTAGCGAATACCGTTTGAAAGATGTTTTGGGTTGATAAACATAGCCACCATCAGGAGATTCTTTTTTTTGGATCTCCATATATGAATTATGCAGCATCAAATGCACAATTACACAGAGGCCGTAAGTGTCTACCTGGTGGACAGTGAAATAATATTTTTAATGTATAGTCAGTCATAAAACAATCATCTGAATTGCGAAAGGCTACATATTCTTAAGTGGAAACTGGCCTGAAATTTCCATGGCTTTTTCTCTTGCATTTCAATACAACGAAAGCCAGAAGTTCGACAGTCTCCCTTAAACTCTGTGTTGTCAGGAAATAGACTCAGGTCTATTCCCCTTCCCCAGTCAACAAGGCACAGTCCCTGCATTATTAAACTCTGAGAAATCACATTTGATTAAACCAAATATCATTTTGATGCAACCATAGATGACCTGATCACGCCAAGGACCAGTACGGTCACGAAAATTATCCTCTGTAAGATCATCCCTGTCAAGAAGCCAGATAATGTCACTGCATGCTAAATTTCGGAAGACATGGAAATGCACTTACAAAGTTTTCAAATTCGTAAAATCAGAAGTAAAAAAGATTATATAAACTAGTTGATGCTAAATCAAGATGAAACTGTATAGCAGAGTGACTAGGCCATCTTCAATAAATATTTTGCTATGTAAAACATGGATGAGCTGTAAAAAATTATTAAACGCATCGTTATCTATCAACAGAATAAAAATGGATAACAAGTTATTCACGATGGTATTCACTACCCTTACAAAGTTTTACGTGTTCCTGTTTTGATTCAATAAGATTTATTGTGTTCGCATATCCATGTCATAAGTCAACTGTCCATGTCGATGCTTCATGGATAAGTATACTACAGCAAATAAAGGCCTCGTGTATAGAATACACTATATTCATATAAACAAAACTAAACAGATGTTAGCGTGGGTAGTGGCTAAATAGGCTATCTGGAATCAACAGTGCAATGCATCATTGAATGTGCAAATTCCCCATTCAACATGATAAGAAATAACAAAAGGGGGTATGCTATCATTTTCTAGAAGCCTCAACTTTGAACAGGCACCATATTGTTGGAGAAGTGGGGTATGCATGCTTGCATGGCATGAAACACATATATTGGGAAATGAAATCAACAGACACATGGTAACCTTCACAAAGAAACCAGTATCCACTAAAATACAACTTCCTTGCCCTAGTTTATCCTAATCAGGCATATGGTTACGAAAAAAAAAAAAATCGAACAAAAATTGCATCTAGAACTCAAATTGTCTTGTAATACCATGATGCTTCATACAAGGTATACTGATAACACAAGCCAGCATCGATGAGAGTAAGAATTTATTACCTAGCATAGCAAATAAGCAGATTATCAGGCTTGAAATCACCATGAATGATGCCAGCATGATGCAGAGTTTCCAGCATGGAGAGCATCTCTATAGTGTAATAAATACATAAAACTTCTTCCATAAACCCACCAATGACCACATTAGAGTTTATGGCATCCTGCAAGATGTGCTCATATAAACAACAAAAAATAGACCAAAACTGAAGCAAACACAAAGTATCATACACCAACCTGAAGTGTCCCATGAGATAAATAGTCAGAGACAAGTATGCTGTAGTCAGAATAGAGATGCAATCTGTGAGCAAAACCAAAGCGCGGCCTCTGGCAAAATTAGACATTGAGAATAAGCGGCAATTTCATAACCAGCAGATGCCAATAAATAATGATAATTCCAGGAAAAAGGCATACTTCCTTGTCTGGGATCCGCATATCCAGTTGGCGATACATGTAGAACTCCCAAGGGAAAGCAGGCTTTTGTATCTACCAGTGATTCTCAATGATTACAAAACAATGCAATGAGATTTGATTCGTGCTGAATCTGCAGTAAGGGAAGGGAAATATTGAGATACCAATTACCTTTAATGCAACAACATCATTAGGGTTACTGTTGATATATGCTTTGAATACTTGAGCAAACCCACCCTGACCTGCACAACCTTTGATCTGGTACTTCTTTCCACCTTTGAGCATCACAAATTCACAACCGGGACAATAACAATCAGTAAAAGCTGATTCCTTCACAAATGCCTCCAAGAAGATTATTTAAAGAATCAGACGTCATAGAGACAACAGTTCAATCTAAGGTTGATGCTATAACGTAATATATAAGACTACCAATTGGCCCAAAAAGCTTAGAATGTTGAGAAATTTGCAGATATAAAGCTCTAACATCTTCCCTCACATGTGACCCTATCTCAGATGTGGCGAGGCAAGCAAACTTGACCATGAGTAATACATAGGTACCTCTTTGTCCTTTTCTCAATTCTCACTGCACCCGGTTTCTTATCAACGTATCACTTGCAAGATTCATGTTTATGAGTTTGACAATAGATGTTACATGGTCCGTACTAGGCAAACCCTCCTTTCTGGTTGGGACCAGCTGTGCAAATGGAAATATACTAAGAATAACACCAGTCATGTTCGTGGTAATGCATAAATCAAAGGGGAAGCTTTCCTTGGCCTAGAAGGCTGGAAAAGCCCACAAATATGTGAAACGTGCAATCAACAACAACAAAATCACACCTCAAAAATTTTCAACCTTTTCTTATATATTCATTATGTATATGTATCTCTGTATTGCAAGGAAATTATCCTTTTTTTCTGTAATCACCGTCAAATTTGTTTTCTTTTTCCTCAATAGAATGCGAAGATTAACTTAAATCAGACATGTATTTGTATTAGGCTACTTCATGAAGGTTCTGTGTTTTTTGTTCCCAAATAATGAAAGATTTTGAAATTAAAATTTCTTATCAACCAAACAAAGCGAAATATAAAAGGACAAAATGAACATGCTGATGAGAAGAGGAAAGATGGCGAATGTACTTTGAATACAAACTATGATTAGTTTTCTATCTAATTTTTATTAAAAGAACATTTTCTGAACATCTTTTCTATATTCAATAATTTCAATTGCATATTCACAAAGCATGCCGGTGAAGAATAGAACCATATGTATACACAAATTGGAACATAAAACGAAAGAGCATGTAGTACTATAATTATATAAACAATATAATATTTACCTATCTCAACAACCTTGTTCCGAGCTGATTTATGCAAAGAAGACAAAGCTACTTTTCCCTGATAAGCTTTAGTACTTGGATGGTAACCCTGAAACAATTGTTATGAATACTTGTAAGAAAATAGCAACTAAATTACTTAACCTGACATCAGAAAAGAATAATAATTATGTCATCTCACTTCGTATTTCATAATTTTAGGATTCATCTTCTGCAGCAGATGTTTAACCGTGGAGATCGACCATGGGTCAATGAACCTTCCACCATGCTCTAAAGAATCACTAGCATCGATCTACATATGGCAAAAGCACAAGGATCAATTATCTTGCCATCACGTATATAAATATCAATTAATCAATACTTCTCAACAAAGGTGTGAAGGAAACTATCAAAAGATTACGAGCTTCAGGTGATTTAAAATCAAAACAAAGATATGTCTATCAGCAAACATATTGGTCAACATTTACTGTACTTTTTTTCTAAAAGGCATATCATTATTTAGTGTTAGAGAATTCACGAAGAGCATTCTTTATGAACACGATGATAAGTTGTCATGGAACAAGATTTTCAAAATGAAGGAAGTTGAAGTGAAGATGTCACAAGAGGCACGTCAATAAAGGACAGGATTATGAGTACAATAAGATAAGAGAAGTTGTAAGATTGCATGAAGTCCTATAAACGAACAAGCAATAAGTGAATGTAATTGAGACTTGATGACCAATGATTTAACAAAATATTCCCATGCAAGGCTGAGTGGTGAAACAACAACAACCAATCCTTTTTCCCAACTACTTGGGGTGGGCTACATAAATTCTAGGTTTCCATGCTCTATTTAAGGCCATAGCCACAATCAATCCACATGCTATCATATTCTTCCTTAGTAACTCTACCCATGTTAACTTTGGTCTTCCTCTTCCCCTAGTATTACCCTCAATGTAGACTATGTCACTTTTTTCTAAATAGAGTAGGCCTCTATTTAGTCGCTTATGCTATCTTGGGCTATTGTTAGTCATTAGTGTGACCAATTGCTTTTGTTGCTTGTTTCGATTCTAGTTTCATCACTAATAGAAACAAGGGTTGTCTCATATATATGCCAAATGATCACAACAATACTTAATGACACAGTTACTTATTTTCTCAAAGTCCGTGTAAATTAGCAAGCTGACAGCAAAGTATCAAACAGATGACATTTATAAAGCTATTATTTGGAGCCAATGTTCAACTGCATAAAAATTTTGAAGGTCTCAGTTTCTATGACAAACATCAATTCAAGCATACCTTCTCAAGTGAACAAGTATTCACGATTTTGGAGACTCTATCACGAAATAAGGCATGCGCCTTATTCAACCTCTCTACTGGCTCAGCATTCCTATCAACAAAATAACTTTAATTATAAATTGAAATCGATCCGTCGGGACATTCATTCTTGTGTATAAACATATATAGAAATAGAGAGAGAGAGAGAGATTAGAAACCTTGAAATTCCCAATTGATAAACCATAAGTGCATCAGTTAACTTTCCCTTTGCTTCCAGAAACAACGCATATGATTCATAAAGCATTGAATGAGTAATACATATCTTATTCTGCTCCAATTCTCTGAAAATGCTTTCAAATTCTTGACTACTGTCCATCTGTAAAAGTAATTGACCCATCAAACAATGACAGTTACCGTGAAATGCCCAACAATAATGACTCAATGTTAGAGAGATATTAGTTATTACATAGAGAAACCATATCTTGAGAAATCTGACATCGTTTCTGTAGCGACCTTCGTTCTTGAAGGTTCCGATACAGTCAGATAACAGGTTATCGAGAACTGTGCCATTGTTAGTGACTGCACCTGGATCGTCTAATTCTTTCTTGATTGACCTGGATTAAACGAAAGAGACAGCATAATGTGAATGAATATATATATATATATACGCATACATACATATATAGATATAGAGATAGATAGAGAAGGTACCAGAGCCATGGCAATAGGGGATCATCGAGGGAGGGAGTGTTGTCGTCCGGATCTCTGGAAATGACGGCCATTTTCTCTCTCTTCCTTTTTCTCTCTCTACGTGCGGCCTGCTTGGAGCTCCAATATCATTTTCCGGTCAAAAGAATAAAATTTGATTTTGGTGGTCGAAGCAGAGCGCGGGAATGTATCTTTTGAATCCAAAAACGAGATCGAGTTCAATACTCGGGAGGTAGTGTCTGGCTGCGGAGATAATACTATCCCTCATTTTGCTAAAATTGTTTCATTACTCAATTTGTAATACTCGTCATAAGGGACTAGGGCTAAAAAAACACAAAAAAAATTCTCCAATTACCATCTCACTGAATTCGTGCAGGGAGGTGGGTAAAAAAACTGACTTGGCAGAGTTAAATTCTTATTTATCAAAATTTTAATATATACATACAATTTTCTTTTGGTTGAAATTTAAACACTAAAAAGAATAAGAAGAACCCGGTGAAGAAAAACAAAACAATGTAGAAGAACGAACGGAAGATATATACAGAGAGTGCCAGTAAAAATAAAATAAAAAATAAAACCCTAGCCACTTTTTTTTTTTTTTTTTTTTCGATCATTCTCTTTAGAATTTAAGGTTAGGGGATAAGATTTAGTTTGTGATGCAAGAATTAAAGTTGGTCAATTCGACCGAATTCTATACAACCACGGTTCAAAATTTTCGATTTGGAGAAGTTTTGTGAATCGAGGGATTTGGATCTATTTTTGTGATAGGATACTACTCCTGACAACTCATTATTAGATGATTTGTTCTTCTTTATAATCTTGTTTGAGTAACATGTTCTATATATATATTTTAATTTTTGTTGAATTGTTTTAAAGTGAGGTTATTTTGGTTTTTAATTTTATTTTAATTTCAGCCAAAAGATAAAGTTGAATTATATAATAATATACTCTGTATTATATACTAGATAATATATTGTACAAAGTATAACATATAAATTGGTATTCATATATGTAGTAAAACAAAAGTAAATTGTTTTTTTAACTAACTGACTTGGAGCTGACAAGGCTATGTTAGGGGAGGTGGTGTTAATCACCACCGTTAGATGCTCACTTGACATTGTCTAGTAAGCGAGTAACTGGATAGAATTTTTTTTCCACCTCACGATATTACAAATGTAGTATCAAAAACTTTTAAAAATTGGATCATCCTCTCCATTTGCGTCTTCTATATATATATATTTTTCCAATTTTTTGTTAGATAGTACATATGATAAGTAAGGATAGTAAGGAGGCGGGTTTGGGCAGGTGTACCCTCATTCGCCCCTGCAACCGTCTAAAAACCCCGGCCCTGTCCGCGCCCAAAACCGTAAAAACGGGAAAACTTTCCACCCCATCCCCGTAACCTTTTAATATTTTTACCCCCCGCAGGTACTTGTCCCACCCCGTTTAAGACCATAATTTAATTATTGTTGAAATGGATTTGCTTTTATTTTTTATTTATTTATTTATTTTTCAATTATTCACCATTGCAACTTTTCTTTTAATAAAATTCATTTGTTATTTTAATATTGTTATATAAGGTACTTAATATATATAGTGGGAAATATATTTACTAATGAAATAAAGGTACTTAAGTAATTTGCTTATCTAAATGGAGCGGGATGACCTCCCCCCTCCCACGCACCAAATCCGCGCTGATTTTTATTGCATCAAACTATTCCCGCCCAAATAAACAAAACGATCCCCCAAAATGGCCAAAATTTGGGCGGGCTGGGGCAAGTCAAATTGCAATCCCTGTTGATAAGGTGCAAGGATCATGTTGTCATGCTAAAGAAATAAGGTGTCGAATTGGATAATAATTTTAGAAAATTATTATTAGAGAATATTGTATATTAAGGTTAACTACTACGTCAGTATGATAGTCATCTGTTACGGTTGCATAAGAGACCCATTCCTTGCTACATCAGGATTAGATAGCCACGTTATTTGTCACCTCAGCTGCCACGCCATCACCCAGGTCAGTGCCATGTCAGCCCTATGTTTCATTTTTCTGCCATGTCATCACCATACGTCAGCTATCATGTCAGCATAAGTCCCTTCCCTGTCTCAGAAATTTTTCCGAAGACACTATATAACTCCAGTTTTTCAAGCTGATTTTAAATTTGCAGTCTATTTTTGCATTTGAGATCTTTAAATGGCACAAAATGAAATCGTTCATCTTATTCAAACTCTTCTCAATGAGCTTGACAACATGAAGACAAGCTTGCAGACTCTCAGCGCTCTTGCATCAATACCTTCTTCGTCAACATCGTCTCGTTTCAATAGACGTGATTACTCCCTGTATGATAATGTTACATGATAACAAGGATAGGTGAAGGCGACTAACCCTAACCCTATTATACAATATACAATATTATCTAAAACTATCAAGTAAATAAAATTTTAAATGGAAAAATGCTAAATAAAATAAAAATAAAAAAAAATAAAAAACAAATCAGGCAATGTTTAAATGGTTCGTTGGATTGCTACCTGAATTCAATTAGAATAGATTTAATTATTGATTTCAATCGAATTAGTTGTATTATTAGGCGTAAAATAACAAAACATACATAAAATTGAGGGCAAAGTACAAAACCCCCTCTCGACTTGTAGCCTTTTCCAGTAAATCCCTCTCATTTATTTTTTTTTACCAAAGAACCCCCATTGACTTGTAACATTTTTCCAATAAAACCCCCTTGTTTAGTTTTTTTACCAAAGAACCCCCCTCAACTATCTGAAGGGGGTAAAAAAGTTGATATTTAGACCAAAATGCTATTTTATTTAAATCTTAATTCTCCCGAATTTCAAAAATTCATATCTCACAAACCATACATTTTAAAATTGTATATAATATATGCACGGAAAGCTTATGAAATAAGGATTTCACAAATATAAGACTTGTACAACAAACCGTTATAACCAGAGAGAAATATGTAATATAAAAATCTACTCCAACAATTATATTTTATTTTTAAAAAATAAAATAGTCGAGATATTTGCAAGACAATTTTCAGAATTATTCATTTACATATGGAGCCGAATATATAAAAAAATTAACCCTAACAGAGATCGATTTTATGAGATATCATATTTTGCGTCAAAATGTTTTCATTTTTTTTTTTATAAACTCACCATTTAAAAATAAATAAAAATGAATATTCGGTCTCGATTGGGGCTAATTTTTTTTTTTTAATATGTTATGCTCCATATGAAAATGAATAATTCTGAAATTTTTCTTTCAAATAACCCGAATAGTTTATAAAAAATAAAATAAAATAAGATTGTTGCAGTAGATTTTTAGATTGTTTATTTCTATCTGGTTATAAAATTTTGTTAAATAAGTCTTATATTTCTGAAATCCTTGTTTTATAAGTTTTCTGTGCATATATTATTTGCAACAGTTAGATATACAGTTTGTGAGATATGAATTTTTGAAGTTCGAAAAAATTAATATTTAAATAAAAGAGCATTTTGGTCTAAATATCAACTCTTTTACACCCTTAGATAGTTGAGGGGTTCTTTAGTAAAAAATTAGACGAGAGAGATTTATTAGAAAAAACTACAAGTCGAGGGGATTCTTAAATAAAAAATTAAACTAAAGAATTTATTAAAAAAAGTTACAAGTAAGATTTTCTGTACTTCGCCCTACAATTGAACTATCGTCACAATATCACATGTATCCAATAGGTTCAGAGATAATCAAACCGGAAACGTTCTCAGATGCATCAATTGAGCTTGTGATGCAGGTAGATCTAAATAAACATTCCCAATTATTTTATTTTATTTTTCCCTGCACAATGAATAATTTATTTTGGATTGGGTTTGACTTTTCAGTTGAGAGCACTTATTCAGTTGAACATTGCAATATGTAGTTGGAGGTAAACGTGGTGTAGGTTGGAAATAGAAGTACTTCTAGAGCCCGTGGGGTGGCCCATTGGGCCAGACATTGCCATCCCCACCACTGTAGTAAGAAACGTACCAGGCATTTAAAAAGATACGGACCAAATTCATATATGCAATTGATCACAACGCCTCGGCTAAATGCACCCAACCACGTTTCAGCCCTTGATTGAATAACCCTCAAACAAAATTCTAAAGACAAAGAAAATATTACATTGACCTTCCTAATCAACCAGTGAAAATTTAACACGTCACCAAAACACATAATTGTTGGACCTCACACAATCACAACTCAACTACAGAACCGTCCCATTCAAACTCTGCCCGCGCCATAGTGCAACACAGCAACCAAACAAACAACCTTCCTTTATTTATATACCTGTGTAGTAGTAGTAGTGTAGGGGGGCCACCACTCACGAGAATTAGCAACACGGCCTCCGGCCCCCTCTCTCTCTCTACGTACCCATACACTCTCTCTCTCTCTAGGCTTCCCCACATATACAGTAACACACATGGGAGCTTGGATGATGAAATTATTTGCTGCGGATTATTTGGGAAGCACTTTCTTTGTAATACCATTGCCAAATGAACTTTTACTATTTTCTTTGATCATGAAAAATAAATAATTCATTAGTGTTCGAATACTACAAAATTCGTACTCCGAATCGCCACTAGACTCGTATACTCATACACATATTTTGATATGTATATATATACACATCTATACATACATACATACAAACACACAAAAGACTTAGGATGTGGTCCTCACGCATCCCTCTCTAGCTTTTTCACCTTTTTCTCTCAAAATTCCCGTCCCCCACCACCCAATATATTGAACTTCTTCTCTTGCCGGTCACTTGTTTCATTGTTTTCACTATTTCCCTGTGACCTATATATGGAGGGTGGTAGAGGGGAAGGAAAGCAGAAGATGACGAGAGAGAAGGTGATGATCAAGAAAGAGGCGGCGGAGGTGGAGGAGGATGAAGTGGAGGATGATAAGAAGAGGAGGTCTGGAAAGAAAGGAGTGTCTGGTGGTGGAGGAGGGAGTACTAATTCGATGCGATGCTGTCAGGCGGAGAAGTGCAGCGCCGATCTGACAGACGCTAAGCAGTACCACAGGCGACACAAAGTCTGTGAGTACCACGCCAAGGCTCAGGTTGTGATTGTGGACGGAATTCGCCAGCGCTTTTGCCAACAATGTAGCAGGTTCGAACAAAAGCTCTCCTACTATTATTATTATTTACAAAAATGCTACGATCCATTAGATCAAGTAATTAAGTGACGTCTTCACTCATTTTTCAAGTCATGCTATATTAGTACAATATTTTTTAGCAACGTCTAGTACTCTCCAAGCACAATTTATGTAGGAATTTTCAAATGCAACAAAATACCTACTTCAAAATCACTCTATCTCTAGTCCTCGGTCAGTTCACTAGCTCGTACTATATATATATATATATCATTTTTTTTTTTTTTTTTCATTTTCATTTTATTTAATATTTCCTCTTCCCTTACATAGTTAATTACTTTGCTTTTATATCTGTTGTGAACATATTGACTGATGTTAATTGGAAGCTAATTGAAACTTAATCGACAGTTTCCACACATACACATAATATTCACCGTTCACTAAACCATCAATTAGTAAACATTATCTTACGCCAATACAATGTCTAGTACGGAGAGAAACAGGGAAGATAGACTTACTATTTGATACTACCATTTTGTTTTTTACATAAACTATCTCCGTGCTTGTGATTGTGAGCTTTTATTAAAGGCAAATATTGCACGGAGTCGATAACTTTTTCACTTTGGTGTGACATTTTGTTGACCGGTACATGCAGTCACTTTAAGGGGTTCAATTAAATCAACATTTGCTTTGAGAAAAAATATATATATACACATTTGCTTATGAGAAAAAATATGTATATATTTCAACATTTTGATATGGAAAAGTTCATAATGCTTACTGAATTTATTTAGTATTAACGCCAGTTAGCTTCTTTCATTTGCTGAAGTGATAAGAGAATATATATTCAATTTTCTGATATATATATATATTTTTTCCTGAATAATTTAGCAAAAGAAAATATATGAACTATTGGTAATGTATTACAAAAAACACAACACTTCTTCTCCGTTTGAAATCTAGAATATAATTAATATAGAATACTGGAAGGAAATATGGGTGGAAATGAAGACGCATCACTGGAAGTCTTTCCATCTTACCATTGAAAAAACATTGTGATGGTACTTATCACACACAACACAATCAAACTTTCGTATGTTTGGCTTAGTATTCACTGTTCCGTAAAACATTAATTAAAAAACATTATGTTATGCCAATACAATGAGTAGTGTGAGAAACGCAAGAGGACAAATACTGTCTCCATGCTTGTGAGTGTGAACTTTTATTAAAGGGTGTACAGTCACTTTAAGGGGTTCGATTTCCATTTTACCCTTTTTTTTTTTTTTTTACTATTAGATCATGAAGAGGAATTAGTACGAAATCAACATTTTGCAATGGAAAACTTCATAATGCTTAGTGAGTTTGTTTAGCAATGATGTCAGCTAGTTTGTTTGTTTTTTTTTTTTTTTTTTCAATTTAAGCAGTGAGAAGAGAATATACATTCAATTTAGGGATAATTTATTTTACAAAAAAAAAAAATGAAATGGTAATGTCCTATAGAGACACAATACCTCTACTCTGTTTGAAATTTAGAATAGAATATTGAATGGAAGGGAATTAAGACTTATCACTAGGAGTATTTCCATCGTATTATTTGGTAAGAGTAGCAAGTAAATGAAGAAGGAATAGAAATGATATTTGTGTTATTTGACTATTATCTTATTCAATAATTAAAATAGTGCTTATATAATCATAAAATATAGTAGTAAAAGGGTAAGGGAGTCATCTTCCCTCCTCATTTGCTCTTTTAGCATCTATTTAAATGCAATGATAAGAAACAAGAAAGAGATAAAATCCTTCCATTTCCTCCCTCCCTCTCCCCCCACCCAAAAAAAAAAACAAAAAACACTTGGTATCCTCATTTGAGACAATGTGGTGCAGATTCCATGAGCTTTCAGAATTTGATGAAGCCAAGAGAAGTTGTCGCAGGCGTTTAGCTGGACACAATGAACGACGTAGGAAGAACTCAATTGACAATTCTAATGCAGAAGGCTCAAGCCGCAAAGGGACAGGCACTCACTTGAAGGAAATTGTTTGTGGGAAGGTTGATGAAAGGGGGAGGATTCCGATAGCCATCCAAGAAAATGCCACTTACAAGCATTTCCAGATCAGATGAAGATCTAACTAACTGTTTGCTCTCGAGCATGCTTGCTCTCTCTCTTCTGTCATCCTAATTCCTATGGCTTTCTTGATTGATGTAATGGTAGCAAATATTCAAGAATTGTATCCGAGTAGAACACAAAGCTAGGTCTAACTATGTGAGTTAGCCATTCAGAGCTTGTGCCTATATTCTGCATGTTTGGAGTCATTGCACAACTTAAATGTGAATTCATGGATCACTCTGTTTCATCAATGAGCTTGATTTTATGATCTGCTACTTCGGAAGGAAATTAGATGTCTTCTTCTAGTTAGGGTGTTGAAGCCATAAGTCTCACAGTGAGCTTGTGCTATCGGCCATCAAATAAGGAGATTGCCATCGTCGTCATCATCATCCTGATCCTTGTAATCCCAGCAGGTCGAGATAGAAATTACCTCAACACAATGAAACAATTTGCCTTGGCTCGACATGAAGTCGATTATGAGTTGTGCTTGGAGAGTCGATGCATAGGTTGGACTTGCTATTATAAGATGAAGAAGCAAGGGAATAATAGCAATCACGTGTGCATTTGTGAACACATGAATCAAGGTATGGAAGCTCAAGTTCTTCAAAAAGCTAGGGGGTGAGTTTAATCCTAACAGTTAAATTGCTCTAGTTTCTGTGATATGGTGTCACTTGTGATGTTGATGGGCCACGGGAAGCAATGATCATTTCCAATAAAAACCTATATTGGCAAAAGTAATCATTGATGGTGATGACTAAAACATATGAATTTGTACAATCCAAATAAACTCAAAAGTAAATCTGTAAGTTCATATTAGATTCATTGTTTAAAATTTAAAACCCTTCTTAAATTTAGTGATAAGTGACTGTGTAGGTGGCACTAGTAGGCTACACAGGGCGAGTTACAGGTGTACAATCCCACATCGCTTTGGTGTGGATGGGGCATATGCTATATGTAGATTCAATACCCTTCTATGACATAACGCGTTTTAAAGCCGTAATGACCGTGAAACTACCAAAACTCCAGAGTTAAGCGTGCTTAACTTGGAGTAGTACCAGAATGGATGAGGGTTAGGGGTTGTTACAAATGGTATCAGAGTCCGATCTAGTCGGAAGTGTGGTTAACAGGGACGTTGGGCCCCAAAAGGGTAATTGTGGCGACCTTGTGGGCGGGTGTGTGTGTGCAGGATACTGGACGAGTTACAGGTGCACTATATGTAGATTCAACACCCTTATATAATACAACCCCGTTTTAAAACCGTGAACCTACCGGCTCCAATATCCTACAATATTGTGTCTGTGATAACTAAAGAAAGCTACTCTCTTTATAACCCATCGGAGGTTTAAGGGGTATTGTGATAATTTAGTAATTTTTAAATCAAATGAATCAAAATTATGTCTTTAACAAACTTTAATAAGCACAATCAACATATCTTTAATAAACTTTAGAATGAAATTTGAGCTTACAATTTTACTAATTGCTAAGTAGTATTTGGTGCAGATTACTCAAGCTTTGCTCAAAAGATCAACAAACTTTACTAATATCAGATAGCGTTTTTATTGGTGTTAACTCATTTTTGTTTTATTTTTATTCTTTGCAAATCAACAACAAAAAAAACTAAGAAACAGAGCAACCATATAGTAACATAGCTTTTTTAACATAAGGCAGAATAAAATTCCATTTTACAGTGTGAACTCTTGACTGAATCACAATCTTGAGTGGTTTGGTTACAGACTCTTTAGAGTTGAGACCCAACCCAATGAAGACGGAAAATCAGACAGCCTTTTAAAATACTCGTACACCTACAACATTAAAATACTCAAAATTATATAACTTTTTAAAGTACTCATACACTAAGTCACACAATTTTTCTTAACAAGTGTTGCTCTTACGTTCCGAGTTTGTTCCAGCTCTCACTCTCTCTAGCTTAAATTCTCACTATTTGTGACATAATTTTATCGCTCTAACGCTCTCACTTTCAAATTCACTCTCGCTCCTGTTTTATGCGACTTAATTTATACACTTGCAAATATACATTTTATTTTCTTATTAACAAGTAACAATATTTTGAGCTATGGACATTAATGTATATCATATAATCTCTCGTCTTTAAAGAAATGTTGAGCCTTCCAATATGCAAGGAATTGCTTTCCAAAAATATGTATACGTAAGGAATAATAATATAGGTGTATGCGCCTTTCCTTAAATTATACTCACTATTTTTTGCCAAACCAATTTCACGTTAGATAATCTGATTACTTATATAGATACCATACCATGCAAGTAAGCAGTGCACAGTTTAATTGTATGTGATAATTTCTTTTAAAGGGATAAATAAACAATAAAATTATTAGATTGATACATTTTTTCTTTTATATATTATTTTTTCAATCCATTTCTTTGGAGTAAAACAAAACAAAATAGATGAACATAATAAAAATTACAAGCTAACTTGTTGATTTTTCTGAAATGTTTTTTCCTAAAATTAAAAAAAACTGTCAATAGAGAATTGAACAAATTTACTGGGTTTCTTTATGCCAACAGTGTGCAAGATAAATTTCTGATTAAAATAAAATAAAATAAGCATGGAAGATTTTTTGAAAATGACGAAAACACCCTCAAGGGACAGAAGGCCGTCCACCGAGCCAACATGTGCTTTCCTTCTGCCGTAACATCTGATTCTGAGAAATCCAAAACTATTTTTATATTTTATATGTGTGTTCATATATATACACATATACAGATGCTGTATATAAAAGAAGAAACCAGCTAAATCTCCAATCTATTCTTCCTCTTCGATCCCCTTCCCCTCTATTCTTCTTGGCGTCAGAAGACGGAAAGAGAAACCCAACACTCAATAAATTTCTCTCTCTATCTCTTACATAAACCACAGGAACAAAGAGAACACAGAAAACAAAGCAGTTCCGTCGAAGCATCAATGCCTGCACAGAAGCGTTCATCCTCAGAGAATCTTCACGATGAAGAGTCTTTGCAACAGCACTTCCGTCGCAAGCAATCGCGACGTGAACGAGAAGATGAAGATGAAGAAGAAGAAGAGCAAGACGATGAGGAAGGCGAAGAGGGTTACGTATATTGTTTTAGCTCGTTAATTTACTCTTATCGTTATGTGGGTAAGTGTTTTTGGGTCTTCCTTGATGATCGATTGTTTGTGTTTGATATTTCTCAGATTCCGATGGAAGCCGTTCGTGCGACGACCCTGAAAAAACACCTGAGTATACTCTCTTCCTCTCCTATATACTGATTTGTTCTTGGTTTAAATGGCTCTGCTTTGATTTCCCTCTGTCCCTTTTTTTTAATTCTACTTTAGTAGAAAGTCTTTGCTTTTGTTACTTGTTACGTTAAATTAAGTTTTATACTATCATTTTGAGAAGTTGGAGTAGCCCCAGTTGTTTGGGTTGGTTATTGATGGTTTCTCTTGGTAAATGTGTTTTGATAATCATTGCTACTAAATTGGTTTAGTTATGTAGTTTGATTTTTGGGCTTTGTTCATCTTTTCATTTTGCCTGATTTAATAGGTAATTGTTGCATGTCGCGATCCAGTGTTTAGCGTGTAAACACGTAACTAATTATACAATTTTCATAACTTAATTAGAATTTGTTTGAGTGATTCTTTATTTTTATACAGATTTGTATCTTATTTATTTGAAGTGAGACAGAATAATCTACTATTTTGTGTGCGGATTTGATTCTTTACCCAAAATTGATTCGAATAAGTGTACGTTGATTTTCACTTCATCTCGGGATAACATGTTCGTATTCCCTCGTTTCTCACCAACGCATGCAAATTAAATTAAATTAAATTAAATTAAATTAAGAGCAGTTAGACTTGTTCTCACCAATTTACACAAGCAATTTAGAGCTGGGCAGTTTGTGGAAGCAAATGATAGTCCTCTTTATATAAAATTTTCATTTCTTAACGAAAAATTCTGGAATATCATACAGCTCCATAATAGTCTAGAGCATTCTACAGCTATACACTTAAACTACAAAAAATATACTCTATTCTAAACATTCCATATTATCCTAATTATTAGAAGTCCTAGAAACTGTATATTCAAGCATGTCATGCAGATGCCATATTCTTGTGTTTGAACCTTACAACCATCTTTATTATTGATACACGCAATGGTCCACTTGTAATGAAGAGATTGGCCTCATATGAGAAACATGCTAGATTAGATGATATAAATACTTAATTATGCCATATTTTTTTGGTTTTAACCTCACAACCATCTTTATAATTATAATTGATGCACGTGATGGTCCACTTATAATGAAGAGTTTGGTGCTTGTGAGAAACATGTTAGATTGGATGATATAAATTCTTAATTACTCTCTTTTGAAGAATTTAATCTTATAGAGTATGTGGACAAGCACATGCCAAAGCTCATGTATGTGTATGCATATTTGTGTCATCCTTTCTTTTGATATTGTGCTTATGTTTGAAGTCTATGCATTATTGTTCCTTAACCTCCTTGCTTCGGGTGAATTTTCTTTGCTTTGTGAATGTCCTCTCAGATCTTGTTGCGTTTGGCTATGTAATGTTTTTTATTGATTATCCAGTGTTGGAATCAGAGCCTTGTTGATTCATACAGCATAACTATTTATCTTCACAGTGAAATTGGATTCATGTAGCCAATTTTGTATAGTTGGGACAAGTCTTTGTGGAATTGGTCTATGTTGAGTCTAGCATTGTTAAGTTAAGCTTAGCATTGTGCCTGTTAGCTTCTCAATAATGCCAAATTTATTTATTTATTTCTTGTTTTTCTGAATATGTTGATTATGCTCGTTCTCTCCATATATCTTGGTTGGCCTACTGTGAAAGTTTGTGGTTGAACAATTATGTACATGCTTATTTGCCTGTTACTTTCTTGTCTAAAATGCTGCCCTGTATTGTATTGGGCATCTGGAATAATTCAATGGGGCTATGGGTTATGTGAACATTTATATTATCAAGGCATTTTTCCTAAAAGTTTTTATATATCATTTGTCATCACATTTCTTAATGACCTGAAAATTCATTTTAATTTTGTGAAGGGGAAATGCATAAGTAGTTTATTCTTTTTTTGGCTTTGCAAGTCCAAACATGTTTTGGTGCGGTGTCGTTACAATGAATTTGGTACTTCTCCAGCTAGTTCTGGTTTCTGGTCAATCAAATGAAATCTAGCTTAGATATTTATCTTTCTCATTGTTGCCGTAATCTGAAATAAAATTGAATATATGGAGTGTAACTTTAGTAAATCTAGAAAGGCAAGAGGTACAAAAAGGTGAACATTTTCTTTATTTAGGCTCAATTATTCATAATGGGGGACTAATTAGAGATGATGTCAACCATAGAATCAAGGTAGAAAGATTAAATGGAGGAGTGCATCTAGTATATTGTATGATAGGCGGATCCCCTTAAGGTTGTTTACTGGCTGCCAACATTCAATACCATAAAGAATGGTTGGTCTAATAGTTGTACGATAGAACTTGCCTTTGTGTAAAGTGAGTGTGGCTTAAAATGAGAGAAAATCGGTTAAGATAGTTTGGACACGTGCAAACAAGACCTTAGTGTGCTGGTTATGAAAAGTGACATAGTCCACATTGAGGGTAATACTAGGGGAAGAGGAAGACCAAAATTGACGTGGGTAGAGTTAGTAAAGAAAGATATGACAGCAAATGGATTGACTGAGAGTGTGGCCTTAAATAGTGCATAATGGAAATATGGGATTCATGTAGCCGACCCCAAGTGATTGGGATAAGGCTTGGTGGTGATGGTTGTATTGTTGGCGTAATCTTTTACCACTTCTCTTGTTGTTGGGTTATAGTTTTGACTTAAGTTGCATAGACACATTCACGGGTCACAAACATGATACGATATGGATATGCTGACACGTCTAGTCCTAGGTAGATGATATATAAATATAAAAGTTTACTTTTATACTCAGTAGCAAGACAATTACAGAACTTAATTATTTTTTAATTTTTATACTAAGAGTTATATAATGTGGAAGATTAAAGTATGCGTATATCATAGATTATTATATACTACTCTAGTTTGCCATTGCAATTATATATTTGTCCTCAGTGAAAAAATGTCATTGCATGGTTGCCTTGTGATGGCATGTCTATAAATAGCGTCTTTCATAAAGAATAGAAATTGGACACTTCGAGGTGTGTTAACATTGTTTCAAGATTATTGGACTTGGTTACTGGTAGACGTGTTTATCTTATATATATATATTTTTGATAAGTGACGCATTTATCTTATATAATACTTAAGTTGGGGAGTGTCTGGGACATCTTTGCCAAGTGTTCAAGATAATATCAGCTATGTGTCTTAAACGTGAAATTTACCTCTAAATTATGGGCATGTTCATGGAGTGACGTGTCAAGAGTATCCTTGAAGTGTCGATGCCTGACATGTGTCCAACACAGGCATGGCATGTTCATAAAGGTGTTCACACCTCTTACGTTTTTAGGTTTTGACCATATAATATATGTATCACTTTTAAAAAACAAATGTTCAGCCTTGCTATCCATCTGTGTTTGTGTAAATTAGTCTTTATTGTAATGGTATCTACATTTACTGCATATATAATCATCCCATGAAGCAGGGTGCATTGAAACAATAATTTATTTTCTTCCATATTTAGTGATTACGACAGATGAATGAATTTTTTTCTTTTACCAAGAGTTTTTGTTTGCTTCTCTCAATTGATCAAAGTGAATTATGTTGATGATTGAGTCTGACATATTAACATTGCCCTCTATATCTTATGCAGAATCATCTCTGTGGTGCTGCCAGATGTTCGTAGAGATGTACAATGTCCAATATGTCTAGGTGAATCTTTTTCTTTTTACTTCTTTGAACCTTTTGTTTCATATGATAAATGAACTTTTCTGCATTCTAGCATAGAGGTTGGTGTATTTTGTATGGTAATAACGATCTGTAAAATTAGAAACCACCGAAATTTGGGAAGAAAAACCTATAACTTAGTGACATGTATATAATAACTTACCAAATGGCAAAGATCACGATAGCAAAAGCTTGCTATCAAGTGATACTGGAGTAGAATTGTGCTCTTTTTTATTTTTATTTTTTTAAACAGGTTCTCTCTCTCTCTCTCTCGCTCTTTCCCCCCTTAAGGTAGATTTTACAACCTTATTATATGTGGTAGTTCATATAGTCATTCAACATCAGAACATTAGATTATACAACCTTTTTATGTCTTTGTAGTCCTCAAGGTCATAAGTTGTAATGGCAATGTGTTGCACCTGTATATTTGTTAGCAATGTGAGAAATGCGATATGTTTCTTTTGAGGCAGAAAATTCCATGGAAGAATGCGTGCGTATCCTTGGGGAATCTATAAAGTAGACAATAGAATTCACATATGAAGTCAAATTGCCTTACCATATGGCCGTGGGCGGTAGGCACAAATTCTGGCACATCTGCAATTCTGCAAATGCCATATATAATTAAAAATAGGATGCATACAAGTTGAAATAAACTGAACACGCACATAGACAGCTATACCGACTCATCTTGTCCTCCCCACCCGTCCCCTATTATTGTTGAGTTGCAGTCACCAGAATGTAAAATAAATTTATTTTTTCTTCTTTATAATGGGAAGTTCATTTGCACTTATCTAAGTTTTTACAATTGGCGTTGCAATAGCCTTCAAGATAAGACCCTGCATTTGAATAAGATGATAACTCCCTGTTTGCAATGAATTCTTCTACGGTTTTATGCAGCTGGAATTGTTTATAAACTTATATAGAAGGCCAACTCATATGTCATAACCAGGGACTCTGTTTAAGCTCCGGGCTATTTATGGTTTTTACATCTCCTGCAACTTTGTGGGTTGTATTTTTTTTTTTTTCCATTCGTTTTGTGGGCAGCTAGTAACCAATCCCAACCAAAAAAAAAAGAAAAAAAAAGGCAGAATAAATTGGAAGAAATTATCTTTGATTATGGGTTCTTATGTCATGTTCTAAGGAACTTTAGAGTTAATTTAGTTGAAAATTCTTTCTGGACCACCGACCACAAGTGCTGCAACATAAATCTAAGATTGTAATTACCAAAAGTAATGAATGAAATTTGTACGAAAAATTCTTTTTACCTTACCAAAATTACTTGGTTGGTCATTCTCATTGCTTTTGCTTGCTGCATATAAAAGAACAGAAAAAAGGATCAGAAAATTATTTTACCTTTTTGCAGCCCTTGCCTGTAGTGGTGTTATACCCTGGTGATGGGGTGCAGCTTAAAAACCAGGTGTAGGGCCAGCTGCTGAGGGAACTGATTGAGTCCAAAAGTCAACCACTGTTCTTTGATTCAGTTACCTCATTAGACTTTCAGGTTCAATGCTATTTTTGAGAAATTTGGAATTTAAAAGGCCTTGAGTAGTGCACATTATACATGTAAAGACACAGGTAGGCTGGAGGGAACTTGTTAAACTAAAAGAGATGTTTTTACAAAGCCTGAATTTTGTAACAAAAAGAATAGAAAAAAAGAAGAAGAAAAGAAGTAAGAGATACCATTAGCGATATTTTTATAGATTCTGCTACCTAATAGAATAAATTGCTGAAGGTGTTAAAAAATAAAAATTCTTTTTTGTACAGAAGTATGGAAATAATGCCTTGAAGATCAAGTCCCACGATAGCAAAACTCCTAGGTCAGTGACAACTCCTAGAGCTTGAGACTGGATCAAATATCAGAAACCCATGTTTTCGACGAGAGAAAGAATCACAGTAGAAATATAGCATGTTTCTTGCAATATGGGTGATGGATACTGTTTGGACAATCTGATTACCATTGCCCTTTGACTGAAGTGATTTTCGTCAGTTTAGATGGTTTCTTATGTTTTTTGTAGTGATTTCTTGTCTTGCTAGTACTGGCTGATTTTTACCAGTTGTTTGGAACTTGTGTCATTATGTTACTGAATTTTGCAATGGAACTGTTTGTAACATGAACAAATTATATCATGAGTCCTATGTTTGAGTCAGCTTGCCAAGGATTCAACATGTTCAATTGAAGATTAGAAAATGAAGTTGGATTGAATTGAAGATTAGCATGGCTTCTTGATCAAAAGGGAAAGGTAAAGAGGATTTGTGAACTTCGGGTTTAGGTTGGATAAACAAATAGATTATTGGACTATCCTGAACCTAGCCGAGCATGGGCACTTAATATGACTTAAGTTGATGTTAGACAAATTTGGAGATCAAATATGTATTAAGGAATGTAAATATTGGAATGTAAATGTTCCGCGACCTGTGTACACACACGGTTTCTTATACCCGATATATAGCAACTCCATTGAATTTTTACCTATATATGGCATGTATGTGTGTACATACAACCAACATACAAGCCTCTCTATTAGAGAGGCATTCCTATCATATACAGAAAATTAATATAGAATCTGAACCTTAATTTGATCCATCATATGATAAGGTCACATGGCCGTTTATGTATTAAAAACTGACTCGAATTGGTTGCAAAAGCATGTGGTGAATGACAAAAACTGGTGTAAGATCAAGAGTTGCATGTTTGATGCAAAGATATGTGAGAGTCTAGCAGGCAAAGGCCGACTTGGTGCGACCGCGGCCTATTTCTATAAGGCTCAACTGTCTTTGCAGATTAGAAAATTGTATATACAGATGTGCAATTGCCGAGTTTATGGAAAAACACAGATTGTCAAATTTAAATTAAAGTTGCTCAAATCGTCCAAACTCTTCTAAAAACTACATATACAGATTCTAGTTTTATAATTATCTTCGATAACCCCTTCTCTTTCTCCCTATCTCTCTACAGTATTTATCCATAGTATATGTATATTTTTTGCTAAGTAATGGATGACATAGAAAGCATTCAAATGGGAACGCAGCCCAAGAATCCTCTACAATATGTATACATATGTATTCATGCGTGTGTATATGTAAAATATGAAAGAAAAAAAAAAACGTTCTAAGTCATGCATTAACTTTTGTGGAGAGCCTTGGGAGGTTGGGACTTAAACAGAACTTTTCCTGATATGGATGGTTCGACTTTATGTGGATACTTGTATTGGCTCCTTTTATGGTAATCTCTGCCTCTTCGAACTTTTGTTTTGGCGATTTTGATGAACTTGTGATGATGATGTTGGGTTTAGATTGTTTCTGTTACAGGGGCCTCCTATCTAGTGTACTTTTTTACATTTAATAGAAACATGCAATTGTAATTTGAGTACATATATAATGAACAACGCTCCCCTGTTTTTGTGACATTATGAAAATATATTTGCTGAAGTTGTAAAGAGTATAAGAAAGCAGCAACACCAGTATTCGAGCGTTTGTCTGGTTTACAGGCTACAAGGTGATTCAGTAGTTGGTAATTTGGTGTAGAGTTCAGTTTAAGATATTGGAGCTCGTACCTAATTTCTTTTTGAATTGTATGACTACTTATTTCTGGCTCAATGATAATATCAATCCTCTCTTCAAAATGGACAGGCATTATTAAGAAAACTCGAACGGTTATGGAATGCATGCACCGCTTCTGCAGGGAATGCATTGACAAATCAATGAGACTTGGGTATGTAATTCTTGCATTATTTGATTCAGCAGAAAGTTGAATGATGAATAATTTATTGTAGATTGTATGACAACTAGATTTAATTGCTTAGATTGAAATTGAATTTTTACTGTAGGAACAATGAGTGTCCTGCCTGCCGAACACATTGTGCCAGTCGACGATCTTTGAGAGATGATCCAAGATATGATACCATAATTGAGTCTATATATCCTGATATTGATAAGTATGAGGAAGAGGTACAATTATATGCATGATTGACGCGACTGCTTTCTTATTTGAATGTAATCCTGTGTGTTTCTGACTGCAAACAATCACTGTTGTGCTAAATATCTGGTTGCAGGAACTGGCTTTTCATGATGAGGAGAGAGCTCGTAATAAGCAGGTCAGTTGAAAGGAGCATAAATTCTTTCATGCTTTTAGATGCGTGTCCATTTATTTTGTATTGAGTCCATTTTAGAGTATAGTTTGGGTTTTGGCATTTAAATGGGTTGAACACACACACCATGTATATATTTCTTCTTGTTCGTTTTACATCACACTTTTTGGACAGATTCAAGCATCAATTGCTCAAATATTTCAACGACAATCAGAAGCACTGGTTAAGAGGCGAACAACTGGTAAAGATACAGCTGCTGCATCTACGGCAAGATTACGGCGCAATTATCGGAATGCTTATACAAGAAGAAGAAGGAACAGCCGGGTCACCGAACTACTGGGATCTGATGACAATGAGGAGGAAAATGATCATGATGGGAACAAAGATTCATCTTCAACTGAAGAACATGGAATAGAAACAAAGCAGAGGAGGGGCAGGAGACGCACAGGAGCTCGTCTGTCCCAGCCTTCTCCATCAGTGGCCAATTCTGATGGTAAATGCATTGAAAATGATTTAGAAACAGGCAGAGAAAGTACGGGTATTTCTCCTGGGATTATTTGGAACCCGGAAATGCTTGCTTGGGGCAGAGGTGGCACTCGGAGTCATGCTCGACATGGCAGTGCCAACAGTAGCAAGTGTGTTCGCAGTACCCGCTTGTCCAAGCTAGTTGAGTATCTCCGAAGCTTAGAGGAAAATGACAATGAGGTAAAAAAGAGATAATGCTGGATCATTTGATGAATCATGATTAGGTCATCACAGGTGAACAATGTATCACCCAGAAATTTTTCTTGAAAACCTGATTTCAGTAGGTGATGTCATAATATTTTTATTTAGTTCTTGTGTCACATCTCTGTGGTTTAAGCCTTTTCTTGTTTGCAGTTAGATGTCCAACTCATGCTTATTTCTTTGGACAAACAAAGAACACCAAGTTTGCAGCAGCCCTACCTATGCTGCCGGCCGAGTTTGTCAATTAAACACCTTTGTGAAGTGAGAATACTCTCCCACCATCTTTCTCCATGATTGTAGTTTGAGGAAGCTCTTGTACAACTAGGAGAATGCAAATAATTAAAGTACAGTCGCTTCTTTTATTTTGTTAAGAAGTTTTTCCAAAGTTGGTAGAAATGCCACATTTAATTCATGCTATGCTTTACTGCAATGGTTAGGGCGTGTCATCATGAGCGAAATAATGATCACATAGTGCTGGCCTTAACAAACTCACACAAAAACTTTATCTGTGATTGTCTAATTGTTTCTAAAAGTATTTCTAAACTTGTAGTATTATTAACGTGCACTTTTATATTGTTTTTTAAAGGGTTGAATCTACCTAATTATTAGACGTATTATATCTTAAAAATCATATGCTGATATTGCCAGCTTTAGATAACTGCCCTCTGTAGTGTTACTCTATTTTCTGTCAGAACAAACAGCATTTTTCACTGTACCATCATCTTTATTTTTCTATTTTCCCCATTTTTGGAGTGCTTGTCTTAAGATTGCACATGTAATATCTTCACTTTGTGCAGTACATTGCTCATGAGACACCATTGCAAGCCGATGATGTTGAATTGCTAGTTGTGAAGGAGACTCCAAAATCTAATGTTGAGCAGTCCACTCTCAGCCCTCCAACCTTAACTGATAATATGAATTCCTTCTCCCAAATGAATGATCCATGCAAAGTTGGGCTACAAATTTTGGAAGAACCAGAAACTCTAGCAGCAGTTAGAGCCAATTCCAGTTCGAGTCAGGGCCATTTGGTATGTACTCTTTTATATTGATGGGTGTGTGCTGCGTATATCGTTTTTATTAATCGGACGTCCGTATGCCCCCAGACCTTGCTCAGATAATGAGAAGGGTGGGGTGATGTTGGGTTGGACTCATTGGAGTAGGTCTATCTCAGATAAAGGATATTTTTGCTCTTTATTGTGTTCAAATGCTGTTGCCAAAAAAAAAAAAAAAAAAAACATTTATTAAGTTTGGACAACTCTCATTTGACTGTTTCAAATGGTACAATAATAATCTCTCTCTTTTCCTGTGCCTTTTCAGATTCTAGCATATCGGCAGAAGGAGACTAACTAGCAAATTTTTCAATGAGCCTACCGTGTGCTTTTCAGTTGTTATTAAATGCCAGCCCCTCTGTTTGTAAAGGAAGGTGCATCAGTGTATCAAACAAGATGCGGAAGGCAAGATCTAAGGCTGCTTCAGCCCCAGGTGAAGAATAGTGCTCCTGTATTTAGATCATGCCCATTAAGAATATAAATTGCTGGGGGTATTTACTCCGACCAGCAATATACTTAGCTGCATATGTGTATTCTCTACAGTTAATAGTTTGGGTCCTTTTACTTTGGAAGAGCCGCTAGTACTTGATGTCAACAGTCAACAATTATATTATGATGAATCAAATTGTATGACAGGTATTGCATTAAATTATGCTTGGCTTGATATACACAATTTCTTTCTAACAGCTTGTGAATCTGAAAAATCATGAAGTATTAGTTTTGTCATGTGTGATTGACCCTGGGCAAGAACAGTTGTTGCTTGTGTCTTGTAGTAACTACTTGAATACACCCAAGTCACTACTGGGTGAGGAAAGAAAATTTAATTTGTTTGCACGTATATGTAGTACATGCCATGGAGTGAGGGAGTCTCTTGTATGCAAAGTCAAGTCTTTCAGTGTTTGTCATCAAAAGAGGGAGGGAGGGAGGGAAAGAGGGAGCCCTCCCTCATATGGGAGTTTCCCAAAGGATTAATAGTGGATGTGTGAGAAAGTTACCCTCTAAAGAGGGTTAAGATTCTCTCCCCTCCCCTCCCTTCCCCTCTCTCTCTCTCTCTCTCTCACACACACACACACATACACGCATCATTAGATTGAAGAATTACAAGAATACTGTAGCCATGGAAGCAGAGAGAGATTATCTTTTTGCAGCTTGGCACGTGAACAGAGCTTGATGTACATTATGTAGCCATTAGCATTAACATAGCAGTAGGATTCTCTAGCTGTAGATTGTGATGGTGATTACAACCGTGCTATAGACATTAAAACACCATGAAGAGTGTTAATGCAATTGTAGAAGTAGTGTCATTTGATCAAGTGGCATCATGGTATTGACATGTCTTTCAATTTCCAAACACGGTTTATAATGGCGGTGGAAAGAGCCGAGTATCCAGCAGCTCCTTGCCTATGATCATAATTTTCTTCATAAAAAATTATCTTCAGTCACCTAGCATCTTTTTTTGTTTTACGAAATTATCTTATTGGCATGTCAATGGCGGACGCTTGTCTGAAATAGCTTCAACACGGCGACACATTGGCAGATTCTCCTCCACCCTTATTCTGTTTGGCTATTTCATTGAGGTCTTTGAGCTGATCACAACCAACCCATTGACAAGCTTGGTTCGAGTCCCTGTAGGAAGTAAATGCATGGAAGGAAGTCCCATACAATATCTGCACAATTGGGGTCGAGCCATGACGTACTGATCCAGATAATAAAACTATAGAAGGAACATTATGAGAAACACTAACATGATATTGGTCAGCCGTTAATGCTGCTACATATGATGGAACAATTAAAATTGCCGGTGGTTTTGATGCATGAAGCAAAGGTCTGTATAATCTATACAATTATATGTATACATAAATAGAGGAATTCAATCGCTACATCTTAACCGGCGAAACTGCCGGTTGATGCCATTCTTTAATTGAGAACAGTCAGCTTCACTGTCATGCAAGTATTGTGCTGCATGATTCCATGAATTACTGAAATATGTCGAGAAAAATGTGTTTAAAGTTTAAACATGCCATTTTCACATCATTATAGTACCTTGAAGTGTTCAAAGCCTTTGAATGGAATTAAAATTGGGATTTATTGAATTGTTTAACCAAAGGGTATTGATTTTTTTTTTTTAAATTAATAATTTGAAAGGGTCGTTCTCTTTAAAATAAAAAATAAAAAGAAGAACCTAAATTGAATTAAGCTTAGAAAAATGATCTACTAATATTTAGAGCTCTCTTCTTTTAAGTAGCTAATTTGAATAACTTCTGTTTGTAACGTGTGTTGTGTTTTCCAAACATTTTTTACTTCCTGGATACAAATGATTCCATAGTTATGGGGTTTTGATAGGAAATCTTCGAAGTGCCATGGGTGGAAGGGGATATTTGAAAAAATTAGATAATTAAATGGAAATTTGAAGTAATTAAAAGATAAAATGAGATAAAAAATAGATTTGATGGGGCAACATGAAACTTTGGAGTGAACGGACATATGAGGTATACTGTTGAATTCCAAAAAGTGTGATAATGGTATTGGTCAAATAGCAAAATTTTGAAAGGGCGACTTACACATTGATGAACAGTTGCTCCCTTCTTATTGCTTAATTATAAATGTAATGTCGTCTTTAGTTACAAAATCATAAAAATAATAATTAAAAAAACCAAATTCTTTACTGTAAATCACATTGTGACATTCACCCAACCTTTTTGTTTTTCTTATTTATTACTTTCTTAATTTTATAATTAAAAATAATGTGTGCATTTGTAATGGACTACATCAACACTAAGAAAGAAACACAGTATTGTCTATTTTACCAAGTTCAAAGGCCCAAAATTACTATTATCATACAACTAACGTAAGTAACTTCCTTTCCTTTTTTATTTTTTATTTTTACCCAAAAGAAAATGTAACTTCCTTTGCAACCCCGTGGCCAAAATGTGTGAGACTTATTCCTTAGAGGTTAGAGCTAAATATGTTATCAATTTCGAAGACTTGATAAAACACAAACAATATTTATTTGAACTTTGCAGCAGCATCTTACCTTTAAATTAGGAATGATTTGTTATTATGAGAAGGGAGAAATAATTATAGGAGACACACCACCAATATTTATTGCTATATTGAGGAAGGGTGGGGAGGGAGAGACAGAAATACAAGTCTCCCAGCTGAAATAAGATGTATTCACAAGTAGTACTGTCCTTGTACCGCGTTGACAACTTCTTTTGAGTCAAGCCCAACATTTGTGTTTGAGTGTTGGAGCCATATTATTATAAATTTGTCTACTATTTTAAAATTTTGATCAATTCGTAATTTCACCTTAGTGTCTTGGTCATTAAAAAAGTTGACAAAAAAAAAAAAAAAAAATACCAAGAAACAATTAGACTTTAAAAGTGACATGCACAAATTGTAAAATGAATTCATAGACTTAACACTTCAAATGCAAATTCAAATTACAAGAGAGGAAAAAATTACAATATGATGCACAAATATTCAACTTTCGATTACAATGATGATCATATAATCATCTCTTTTTTTACCCTTTTTCTCTAGGGCTCTCTCTCTATCAAGTATCAATCTCTATTAAGTATCAAAAGCTCAAAAAAAGCCATGAAGCCTCTTCTAAGACCCTCTCGGAATAATCCAGCTCTAAACCACCTCAAACCACCTTTCTCACCTTCCAGTAATCCATTGCAGATTGAAGTATATGACCCTCCACTACCACCCTCGTATCATGGCCAGCATACAGATCAATATCCCCCACCATCAACCAAACCCCTTAGGCCAACACTGAATAGCCCCTACAATAATGCATCTACCTCTAAACAACCAACTTACTACAAACCAAAACACTCAAAGCCCCTTTCCTCACACCCTGCCACATTCCCAAACTCCATATAGCTACAACATAATTATCTTGAGAGGAATAAGTCCATTATCCCAAGGTCATCCAAGCCTCCACTTCACAACTCTAAGTCCACTAAGCATGACCATTCCCCAAAATATACTTACCCTCCAAGAAATTTCAATCCCTTACTGTATAATTCTCCTGGCCATCAAATTGTAAGGCTCCAAGAACAACTCCAATGGTCTGAAGAGAACTTGGGCAAATCAATGGATATGCACTATGAGAGAACAAGACTATTTCTAAACTAAGAGAAGAAGTTTTAAAGCTTAAGACAATGATCAACTCCAACACTGAAAGTACCACTGCACAAATGGTTCAACCAGTTACAACAGACACTACCATCATAGCTCCCCCAGATGCAGAGGTAATTGTCACAGCCGCAACTCAACCTCATCCACCACTGCAAACTTCCACAACCACCACTTCAACACCGGCGGATGATCTCCCTCCATTGTAGGCACCAGGTTTGAATTCAAATTTGAATTTCAATTCCACAAATCCGGTCAACACTACTTTGCAGGCTCCAACAGTTCATATTGCCCAGAAAGGAATTATTTCAACATGCAGTCAAAACAATACCATACTGTGATACCCCTCGGATCTGAGACACGGGTTGATCAGGCCCAGGCCCAAACCCGAGGGAAATATCAAACAATTAATATGTAACTGAACACAGAATACAAGACGAAATAAGAAATAAAAACAATAAGCTGAAAGATTGCTAATTGAAAATCCTTAAAATATAATTATTGAAATCTGTTAAATCCAAACTCCAAAACTCCATAAGTTACAACTCGGGAATCCATTTAGTGGACCCCTTATTAAAATCCCAAAAGAAACTGAAACATCTGAAATAAAAGCTAAAGGTAAACATAGCAAAGATTCCTACGTAGTCGGAGGAATGAATATCTGTATCTGCTCTGCACGTCCAAGCTCTAACCCTGGAACTGACGAACACCTGAAAAATAAGAGAGTAGGTCAGGCCCACATGCAAGTCCTATTCTATTACGATCCAAACAGTAATCCGATACGCAGATACATCCTAGGAAGACTCAACAATATCTAGAGTAGTCCATATGTATATATATAGTACACATTATAGGACGCTCGCTAGTTCAGTAGGTCTGTCTCAGCCTGAGTAGAGATACCATGCAAATCGCACATAATATGGTCATGTGTACCTAGACCTACCAGGGAACAACACTTATGTCCAATTATCCATCCTAGGCGATATACGCGCCCTAACCATGGTCCTGAGACTCAAGCTCATATCATGGTACCATATAGTAAATATATAAAGTCCGTACTTCTTCTAATACGAAATACCATCCATCTGTGTAGTGGTCTGGTATAGGTATAATCATCCGTCCTGAACCCATTTTAAGTCAATCAATTATTTGTTAACCTGACAGAAGTAGGTAATGGACTTAACCTATATGGTTAATCCGTACCTTAATCCAAATTAAGTAGGACTTAGGGTTTGATCCAGTCCATACCTAGTATGTCACCGTCCCATACCGGTACATACAATCCTCCAGTTTACACAGTTGACCAAATAGTGATAATTGCAAATCAACTATACTCCAGAATAAGCACACATACAAATCTAATAAGTGTATGATCAAATTATATATCCAGTATATGATCTAGAAGTCATATTCTAGTCCTTTAAAATGTTAGAGTAAAATACAACATCTAACTCATCTAAAACAGTACCATAACTTGATGCAATAAATAGTATAGTTAAACATCAATTAATTTTCATTTAAGCATACCTATTTTTTTTTTTTTCAGAACATATAATATATGCTTATACAATAGTTGAAAC